ACGTAGCCATCAGGTCTCTTGACACAGCTATATTAAATAATGGAATAGCCCTAACTATCTATACGTACGTAAATTGTGTTCACTGTTTGTTATTTGGTAACTCGTAATGATGTTTACATTTTGCCACTGTGTAGACATAAGTCTAATGATAGGAAGACACAACTTATAGCTTTATTAAAAAACCTACCTGCGCCCACGTTCGTGTGACGATTTTCATATTTTCTTATAGGATTGAAAATTTTGCCGGAGTAAAAATATATGATATATCAGGTATCTGCCGTAGCTTTTGAGTGATGCGTGTACAAATTCTATTTATTATATAATTATGTTACTCAGGCAATATATAGAATAAATACCAGGGCGGCCAAACAATGTATGAAACATTAAGCATGAGTCGAAATATGACAAAAAATTTAGTCTCCCTTACATAGTGTTATAATGTCTGTGCTCATACTAATTTGGCAACTGGGCACGCTATGTTAATATGGAGAGCTAACAATTTTTTCAATTAATTTCAACAGCAATTTCTATCATAATAAAATAAACTTTATTGTACGTGAAGGTATTTATCAAAACAATTTTAGAATTAATAATAGTGTACTAACACTAATTAAATAATTTTGTTTAAATAAGAATCATTAAAATCAGTAAAATTTGCAAAATATAATTTAACTAACACATACTAAAAACGTGTACTTATACTTTGAACTAACCTAAGTACTTCTTTGTTTTAAAAGTCGATGAAAAAAATTCACACATATAACTAAGCAGTAGATCTACTATAGATCTAACTTCAGAAACTGAAAAATAATAATTGAACACTTAAATTATATGCTAGTTTTATAGTATAATTTCTAGGTTATTTCAATCTATAAAGTTGAAAACTTGTGAAACCACAATTTTATTGTATAAATTATATTTTGAACATATTTTGTTTATATTTATAATAAGTTTACTATTGTAAAGTTTTGGGGGAAACAATAAAGAGTATCTATTTATCTGTGTATATTATCATGTGTGGATCGTCAAACCCATTCATCGACGTCTATTTATCAGTACATACTTGTCGTGACCAGCGGCTGTCAAATGAATATAACCCAAAATATCTATCATACCCATTTGCTAAAGTCTACGCCGTGAATCCAGCGGGACTATTTTATGTGATACTTTTGTGTACAAACATTGAATGCGTTGTAATATCATAGGTGTGCCGTTGGTATTAGTCTTGGAGGTGTGTTATTGTGTACTTAACTTTGTAAAACATCTTCAATGTCAACCCGATAGGTATTCACTTTTGTGTATCGACTACATTTTACGAGGCGCACTTTATGGCTCCCAGTTAAATTTACGAGTCCTGATTTTCATTCAGGTTACGAACAGACTACATTCTGCTTCTATTGTTCTTTATTTTAAACACAAATAGCAAGGTAAGGCTCGTGTCTCGAACACACAGCTTAGTGTTTAATATCGTACTTAACATTTGCAATTTAGCGTTAATTTTCCACTTTCCTGAGCTCAAGGATTCGTAAACCTTCCGATCATTACGTAGGTTGGTAACATGTACGAGGTAGGTACCTCCCAAGTTAGGAATCTACCTACTTAATTTTTAATTAAATTAATTAAAGTGAAGGAAAATTCTTGAAATGAGCGTTTAATTTCTTAAAAATTCAGAGATAATGTCTTCAATGTCAAATATAATAACATTGAAAAACTTTTTGATAACTACTATTCCATAAACTGTTTTAATATATCTTCTTCTCGGGCAAATATGACATAAGTTTAGGAGGATTAAGACAGATTTTTTTTACTAATAAAAAAGAGATTTCTTTTTCCGATATTGCCAAGGGAGCGAAGACTTTTATGTATTAGAAAAGGGGGAAATGTGGCCAAGATTATTGATATATTCACAGCATAGATGAAATTGCTGTTCAATCTCAAAGTTTTTAAAAAACGTACAGTTTTCGGTTGTATGTCTCTACTCATTATATACTGATTAGCATTATATACTGTTAGCTGTGCTTGCGACTTTATCCGCATATAGAGAAGATGTTGTTTGTTTGATAAACTAAGTAGTAGGTAACACAGCCTAGTATGTTTTTTTTTCTATACGAAATAGGTATTCGTACTACGCTTATTAAAAACTTGATAATGACCAATAGAACTATTAAGACACCAAAAGACAAAGAATAAACTTACTTTCTGATTTATAATATTAGTAGGTAAGTGTAAAAAAATAAATACTTAATCTGGGATAATATCACATGATGTTATCTAATTCCAAATTAAGCAGAGTTTATACTATAGACGATATAAGTAGTGGACATAAGAATTTAAATATGTAATACTTTTTTTATACTACTATGGTAGGAAACAAGCATACGGCCCGTCGATGGCAAACGGAGTTATCGTAGCTTATGGACGGACGCCTGTAACACCAAGGATATCTATCATGCGCGCGTTGCTGACAATACATGGAATAAATAATACCTAGATGAAGACAGGTGGATATATTCTGAAATAAAAATATTTGTTTTGTGAGGGTATCGAACCGGCAGTCATTGGATACCAACGCCGTGAAATAGGAAAAATACATTTTATCTATCTATCTAGCTATTACCTCAACTAAATATCATTATGTAATATTCAGCAGCGGTTTGGGATCCGATCCAATTTATTATGTCATCAGTGCGATGACGGACAACACGTTCTACCTAAAAGGGATGAAATCTTTCGGGATAGCTTATAGATTTATGTTCTGTTATTGGCACGGCCTGATTGATAGCTGCTGATAAAACCTTGTGTTTTTTTCCAAACCGTTCACGCGTTATAGGACCCATTTGTTATTCTTTCACTGAACTTTTACAGATCGTTTATCCAATCGAGTTTTCATTATTATTAACCTATAATTTATGAATATATAAATATAGATACCATTACATAAGTATATTATGTTCATTTTGTTGCTACTTTACTGGGTTAGTATATAAAATAAATTAAGACATCTTTTTAAGTTTTGAACTCTAATCAATAATCTTTGTTTATTAAACTTTTTTCGATGTAATAAATTATGGTAACAGCAATATTTCTAATCACTGTGGAACATAGTATAGGTTTATTAATTATGCCAAAAGCCGTCACTTTCCTGTGCTAGTTATAGTGCCAATAAGATTTACGGCCCCGCCGAAAACGAGACAGCTTTTGTTTTGCTAAGTCGGGTGCTCGAGACTTGCTCATAACTTTGAACGTACTACGAGGCGTTACTCTGCGTTATGAGCTTTTAAATATTAGTAGACGGCTTAGTTAAATAAGGTTTGTTGTTTCATTGCTTAGTTCAAGAACTTACCAGTAAAGCTTAAAGGTGAATACATTCGCAAAATTAAGGATTATATTTCCACTTCTCTCTCATTGATATAAGCGTATTTAAGAGAGGGGGGGGGGGCTTAGCTATGCGCAAATACATGTTTGAGAGTACACATTATATATACAATATGTGCTTTTTTAAGAGCTCAGGTACGTTACGTCCCTGGTAGTGGCGCCGTCCGTAGGCTTCTGTAACCTTTTACTATCAGACGGATTGTATGCTTGTTCGTTACCTTTGTATAATAAAAAATCTGACTAATTGATTTACTGTTCTCTAAAACAGCTTAAACGCATTCTTGACCACCACCTAAACAGACAATGGGATGTATGCTCTTATTATTTTGATGGCCTCTATAATCAATATTGTCTAATGAATGGGAGGAGTTCCAAGTACTTATTACATTGTTTGCTTCCATTCACATGCTGTTTGTATATACAGGCCTGTTACCAGATAATAAGTATGTTACAGTAAGTACTTAATTGAGGTCGTAACTCATAAGTCTATCCGAACCAAGGATATGATATGAGGTAGTAATTTCTAATTGCCGTCTAAATGTAGAAAGTAGAGCACCGTGTGTCGTAAAGTCGAGGCCCTTGTGGCTATTATAGTGTAATATAATTAGTTAGGGTCGTCTATTATAAATTACAGTCTACAAAATATATCCATTAGATATTCTCATTTACATATATTTTTGGCGATAGTTAAATTCTTTTTCGTTTACGTTTTTCATACGTTATTGAATGAACTTTCCGTTGAGAATGTCCCAAAACTTCAGGATACCAACACGCTCGGATTGCCCCTCGTATTGCAAGCATCTGTAGGATACGAAAACCGTTTACCATTGGGCGGATGACGAAATTTATTAATTGGTTTTCGATAAAGTCAAGGCCAAGATGGTAGTCAAGGACAGGAAGAGCAACATGTGTGCGAGCGTAATTTTCATATCCGTTTGTAGGAAATTGCGACGCCTTTTAAATAAACCTTGTACTTGTGGTAAAATTATATTTATTTATTTATTTGTGTTCAGGATACAAACAGTCATGCATAGTTAATCAATTAAAATAATATAGTTACTAACAGACCTTACAGTACCTTAATAAAGTATAAAATAACTGTAATTTTTTTTATATGTAATATTTATAAATTTATTAAATAAATATATCGTGATATTTGTACTTTAGTTATAAAAAATTCTAGTGTTTCTACTTCTGTTACTAATACAATAATATACGTATAGCGTTATGTTCTAGTCCTTCTACAATTTTCTTAGAGTACGGACAAACCTATGTCGACAAAGATTTTAAAACTCTGTCCTAATATGTTTTACAGTATAGGCAGATTCTTAGTTCTACATATTCCTAAAAATTTTGCTTGTCCACTGATAAACATCCACCCCCCTTGAGGGTTTTGCCAGTAGTTGCCACGCTTGGCAGGCAGATTGGCATCCGCAGTCAGGCTTTAGAGATGTTTTAAGAGGGACGCTGCTGCCCATCCCTCGTCGTTCCTTTGTCGACTTTTACGACACTCACGGGAAAGGAAGGGGTGGCCTATTCTATGCCTATCTATAATAGCGTAATTAAGTACAATAACAATTATGCCATACAGTATTTTTATAACTTATTGAATAAAATTTCCTCAGGATGGTTTCGTATTGGTGGGGTCTGTGGCTGGACAGCGGTACTGGTCTTCCATGTTGTCCCTGGACGCGCGTATTACCTGCGGTTGCTGGACACCCGACGACAACCAAGTGTATCTTGGCACAGCTTCCGCCCAACTGGTAGTGATGGACGTCCACGGAGCTATGGTCTCGCAGGTAATATTGTTAATATTTTTAATAACACGATGAACATAACAAAACAAATTATGAATTTGTCACTAAAAATATGGAGTTCTTTGATTGATTTGATTTTGTTCCACAAAAAACTAACTGCAGTAGCAATTTTGTTTAAATGGAAATTTGTTGCTTTTTTAAACAAAACATGAATTTTATTAGTCATAAATTTATATGAATACGAACTATTAATAGTCGTAAAAACTACACTAGATCAAATTTTTAGTTGATTTTCTTTTCCGATGGTTGTTCTCGGTAAATATTTCGAATTGATCTAATGTCGTTAAGACCTATAAATTCATTCTATTAATATGATAGACAGATTATCGTGAACTTCCAGACGTTCAATTAAAGTACGATCTAACTAACCCGGTTATCTGATTCATAAATAACCGTTAAACTCTGAAAATCTTTAATTGCTTCGGCGATAGCACAGTCTACTTTGATTGATGGATTCACCATCGATTTTAATAGGAACCAATTTAAGTTCTCTCATCCAAGTTCCCCCGGTTGATTTTAAGTATGCGCCAAAAGCTAAAATATTAGTACGTACGCTACCTACATAAAGGAATATTATTATTTTTAAGTGTAATTGTTAACCCACATATAGTAATTCCCAAATATTTAATTGCTATATTTTTGTGTTTTATTAAGTACTGTGCCATAATTAAGTATGTAGATTTAATAACAGTATGGTAGGGTGACACGCCCTCATAGACCAAATCTAAATAGAAACGATTAATTATTTATCTTGATTATATAGGTATTATACTATTTATCTATACGATATAGATATAACTTTTAATTCTGGAAAAATTGAAGGCTATTACTTACCCAGTATGGTGCATTTTACGTTCTAACTTTAAGCGGAAGTTTTTAAAACAATGTTACCATTTATTACGAATCACTATTCGTTTATATATATTTATTATCCCTATAATACATGGATTACCTAAACTAGATAACCAATATACCACGGAAATCTTCTAAAATTCTTGTTAGCTAATAGTTAATCTTTGTATAGTAAGTATATATTGCAATTTGTGTAACTAGGTACATATGTATAAAAAAACAGGTGCAACTTGTTGCTGAAGGCGGTATAACGTCAATGGCATGGTCGTGCGAAAAGTTCAAGATGGAGGAGGGCGAGGAAAGCACTGAGAGCAACGGCGGCCACGTTCTGGCCGTCGCTTTAGGGAACGGTGAAATTGTTTTGTTGCGAGGCCACGACGACGTCAGTCCTGTTCGGGTGCATACTGGACTAAGGGGCAATACACTGGCCATGGAATGGGCTAATTCGCGAGAACTGCTCGCTGTTGCTGGTACCCTGATACCTGGTGAGTAAATATTAACAACTGCGTTAATTATTTCTTTCTTAACCTTCCAGTAAAACTAGCAATCCAATTTTCAAGTACTCAATAGTCTTTATTGTGTACTTTACAGTAGCTTAACTTTTTTATATAGGTACTTAATAAGGTTCTATTCTGTAATAAGAATACATTTTATTATAACATATTGATGTCATTAAAATACTATTATCCCTTATTCAAATGCCCACACATTGAATACTAATAGTAGACGATCTTAGCATCGCTACTAAAAAAGTTTCGCGTAGGTACTTAAACACTTTCTTTGTTAAATATGAAAAATAGGTGCGATGGGAGCGTCTATTATAATGCTTGACAAACGACATACAGCCGGTGTTTGCTTTTCAATCTGCCAAGATATTTACAATCTATGAAACTTTATACTTTAAGGACATCGTAAGGAGTCGCGGTCGGATCGGCGCCATATATAAAACTAGATACAATTGTGTTTTATCTAGCACGCGCCTTCCTTTATACGAGACCCTTAGCTCATAAAACATGCAGCATTCACGCATTTTGTTTATATCAATGCCTCTTAGGAATACCTTTTTTCACAAGTTAATAAATAGTGTAGTTGTTCTATATGTCAAAGGCCACCTTGAGTCTATTCTGCGCCATGGTACAGAAACTCTGTGTACTCTCCCTGTCAAAAACATAAATAAACAAAAGTTTAACGATATAGGGCGGAAAGAAGCGCTTCGTAGAATTTTCTCCCAATCACAGACTGAGTAATTTTATGACTGTAGAATTAAATGGATTACGTTAAAGTTATTGTAAAAATAAATAACTGGAATATTTATTTTTTATACTCATACTGTATTTATACACTCTCATCCCTAAACCAAAAGTTTTTTTTAAATGAAATGAGAGTGTAAGGTGTTTTTAATTAGTTGATGTTTAGGACACAAGTAGTAACTGAATTATGAATGAAATACTAAAGGAATTGTAGCTTAGCTCTATTTTGTAGAGTCTGTGGTAAAACATCAGAAATAAAGGAATTGTTGTGCATTGCTTATTCGAATCCAGAAAGAAAAGATAGTATTATATGCTTAAAATGTAAATTACTTTGCGCTCTGCTACATGTGCTATATCTATTAATCATATCTAATTGCTTTGAAAACAGAAGCAGACGAATTTCCCGATACACCTCCATACAAGAACGTCGTTAAATTCTACTCAGACACAGGAGTTCTTATTTACACTGTGCCAATACCATACACACAGGTCAGTACAATGAATTAAGTCACTTCTCTATAATTTTTATGTAGTCATCACATGTCATCTCATATAAGTGTATAAAATTACTGAAAAAATTGCATGATGTGTATTACAAAAACTTATGAAATGTTGTATTTAGACATTTATTGTAACGAAAAAATATATAAATTACAAAACCATAATTAACCACCAGTAATTTTCTAACCAACATGAGCAAAATTTTACAAGTGTCACATAAAACATTTAAATTTTAAATTAATTTGAATTACAATAAAATCAAAATGTAAATTTATTGTTTTAAATATAAATTTTCAATATGTTACATAGAAAAGGAGATTGGTAAGTTAAAAATAATGTTTACAATTATTTTACAAATATCAGGTAAGAGTAACTGTCGAAAAGCAACTATTTATTACCTGTTCTGTTTTTAAATGAATAAATTCAATAAAAAAAAGCCAAAATTGTTCACTAAATGTGCGATGCGCGTGCGCGTGCGGTGGGCAGGCGCGCGTGTCGGCGCTGACGTGGGGGCACGCGGCGCGGCGGCTGTTCGTGGGCGTGGGTGGCGCCGTGTGCACGGCGCGCGTGTGGCGCGTCGTGGCGCCGCTGCAACTGTTGGCGCGCGTGCGCGCCGCGCAGGCATTGCGCGAACCGCGCCTCGCCGCGCTGCTGCCGCTGCCGCCGCGCCTGCAGCCAGCGCTCGCGAATCTCTTCGCTCACACCATACGGGTAGGTTACCTTCACACAGTCACCACTTTTCATCAAGTAAGCCACAAAATAAAATAAATCTTTATATAATATGCTATCTATAATAAACTTTTTATTGAATGCGTCTTTCCTTATACACTGGCTCCTTCAAACACCATACACCACAATAATGTACGTCTACATTTGCCCACAGCTCTCGAGTAACAACTCATTCCGTGTATGTGAACCAGAGATAGCTTGTAGCTTTCGATCTGTTTGTATATAGATACCCCCAAAAATACTATAGTGTTCAAACAATTTGTTTTGTAAGTTGGGTACAGGGTTTAAAATACTATCTGTTGAGCTTCTTATGAGTCCTCAACAGAAAATAACATTATAAATCTAGTAAAAGAATCATTAAAAAAATTAAAAAGCCTTTTTATCACACTATTTTTTAACCTTACCGTCGAATACAATTAACAAGTAAATACAACCGAGAAAAGCTAATAAAAAACTTGACTAGCTTCTTTTAAATTCTGGGATTCGTTTTATAATAATGGAACGGACCCAAATTGGCCATAGCAAGAATAGTATGTATGTGCAAGTGTTGAGTGATTCCCAGTGAGACTGGGACCGTAAGTATCTGCAGTGAACAAACATACTCAAATTACCGCCCAAATGGCCAAGTTCTGCAAAATAAATATATTTTTTTCTGTAAGATTCTACAATCTGTATAAAAACACAAAGCACATTCATTTTGTCTTTTTTAATTTTAAAAGCAAATATATATTATTACTGTTGCTTGTTTACGTAGGACAGATAGGTATAAAAGTAACCGCAATAACATGAAAAGAGTTTTTTTATAAACAGAAACCTCAAAATTGTTTACATTTAGATAATTAACTAATATTACCTGGAAAAAGAATTCAATTAAAAATTCTATCTATTTTCCGTGTAGATATAATGGATAGAATAATATAATGTGGTACATTATGTTATTTCCTTAGGGCAAAAATTAAGAAACTGGATGTTTTAGTACTATAAAAGGGATTATCGTTAATCTAAGTATTAAGGTGGTAACTATATTTGTTCTTGTAATGTTACTATTAACAAGGAATAAAACTTAATCATATTTGTTTACAACAAATTAAAATTACGATTACATTTTAATTTATAATAAATATTATTAGTATAAATGAGACTTCAACCTGAAACCCAGTGATAGTGTTCATAAAATTGCCTCCGCAGATAAGTTACTAACGAAACTACCTATTGGTATCGTTTGCCACTTATTTTCATTATCGCACGTTTTACGAAGAATAATACATTTGAAGTTTTTTTTTTTTGTTAGAGTATATTTAGTATGAGGTTGCGAATATATCTATCAATAAATTCCTTTGTGATTTATCTAGGAGGCTTAATAACTTCCCCACAAAACATAGACACAATATGTAAATACTTTTTATGTTAATTAATTTATGATTTCCAAACATTTAAGTATAAAGTTACTTGTGGTTCCGAAAACTAATTTCATAAATTTGATAAATAATTCGTATTCAAAAAATTCAGTAATTATATATAAGCATTATTACTGAAAATTTTTTATTACTGAACTCGTAATTGAAGAAGAATAGAAAGTAGAAAAGAATGGTTGCTGGTGTTTTATACCTTACAATAAATATATCAATTGTGTGACCGCAAGGTTTACTTGAATGGTCCAGAAATAGGAAGATACGCGATTACGTTCCTTATAATATTCATAAAATTAAATAACGAGCAAAAAGATACTTAATTTAATGAACATTGCCACTGGGTATTCGGTGTATCTGTGTGCAAGCATCATGCCTTACCTTTGTCACCGTGCGTGTGTATGCGCGTACGCAGTGCACGGTGCCTGAGAGCAGCGAGCTGCGGAGGTTCGTGTCGCGGCCGCCAGCAGCCGGTGGACGGCTGCACTGCACCATGTTGCGGCACGACGACGAGGAGGCCGGCGCCTATACGCTCTACCTCGAGCACCTCGGCGGCCTAGTTCCACTGCTCAAGGGCCGCCGCACCAGCAAGATCAGGCCCGAGTTCGTCATCTTTGACCCACAGGCTGAAGGTACCTTTTTTTAAATGAATGATAATGAATTGGGGTACCATTGAGGGATGATAGGTGCTAAAATCAGATCAGTCGGTCTGGTTTATCGTGATAAGTTAACATTACTAATAATTCCCTGAAGTACCTGCCGAAGGTGCTTTTTGTGATTTGATAATGAAATAGTAACTCCGCTTACGCTGTTGGCATATGCTGACAGAGTACCAGTAAAGAATGATAAATGAAAATAAAAGCTAGTTAGTTGGTCCATCGTGATGAATACATTAAGAATTAATGACGACAGTTTCCAGGGGAAACAGCATGGAAGTCAACCTAATAGGGCATATTGCTAGCAACGTATGTACATTAAATAAAATAGCATATTAGGATAATATAATTCACTAGAGAATTTGTAAATATGATACAGAGGGCGCAAGCAAGTCGGCGGCGCGCGAGAGCAGTAGCAGCAGCAGCGGCGCGGGCAGTAGCAGCAGCAGCAGCGCCGGCGCCGCCGCGTCGCCACGCACGCCGCGCACGCCGCGCCGCACGCACCACGCGCCGCCGCCCCCGAACACTACGCACGCCTTACAAGTCGCGCATACCTCGTCCTCCGACACTGAACGGGAAGAAGGTGCGTGCTCTGCTCACTAATAACGTGTCCAGCTTACTTGTCTTACTCAGATAGATATGACAAGTAAGTTGGCCATCCACTTGATGGAAAATCACAAAAATGCTCTAGGACACCCATAATACCTGTCATGCGATGCCGTCCCAATGATTTCAACTCCTATTCTCATCCTTGAAACCATGGTACATATGAAAGCACAAATTTGTGTTTCTTTACGGCAAACATGAGTGAATTAATAGCCTAATGCCTGCTACTGACTGTACAAATTCTCCATCTTTTTTTGTTTGTCGGATATCTAAAATGGCTGCATGCTATTTTTTTGGATAATACTTTTAAGCTCGGGTTTATATCGATATGATGATGATGCCAGAAATAGTTATACCAATCATGATACCATTCTTTTGTTTTTGAGGCCATCTGCTTGAATTTTATGAAGAATGATTAGGTAACCTTTTATTATACTTTTTAGGTTGCTCCGGTTCACCGAGATTGCAGAGACGTAGACGTGCCCGTGAAAGGAGAAAGGTACGAAATTCAAGCGAAAAGGATGACGCACACGACGAACTGGCTTATATTGACTCTTTGCCAGAGGTATGCATTTAGCTTTCGTAATAACAGTCCTGCAAATTACTTATAACGCCAGCTTGAAATATTCACATCCATTGAGTTTCTTTATATATTTTTTTCAAACCTATCTTCGAAAAATTTTATTTTGAAAAATTTCTTGTCAAGCAGATAATAATTATTTATTATAAAACTTTTTTACAGGACGTGCGCTTAGTAGAAGTTACCTCAAACATTTGGGGTACCAAATTTAAAATGCACGGTCTCGCTAAAAATGTTCCCGCCAATCTGGGGCAAGTCACGTATAAAACTTCGTTACTTCACCTTCAACCCCGACAGATGACTCTCATGATTACCGAACTTCGAGACGACTACCCAGTCGGTCCTGATCCCAATTTCAACCCTAACATATTCTCTGAAGATGAAGAGGAAGTATTTCAGTCTAATGACTCTAACAGTTCTCCGTCGCACACCAATAACAACATAAGAAGAAAGGTGACCCTCAATGAAAGAATAAACAATTCAAACAATATTCTAAATCAAAGTGACGCATACTCGTCAAATAATAACAATACGCACGGCCCCTCTTTAGCAAGGGCCGAATCCTATGAAGAATTTCCTTACATCGATACTAATGACACAATGAACAATGTACCGGAGAATGTTTACTCGACGCCGGTACGACACGCAACCCAAACAACCGATCGTAGGGTGAATAACACCGGAGTACCCAATCGACATGCCATCTCCCCACTAAGATGCGAGAGCTCCGTTCCCACATTGCAATCGCCAAAGAACGCGGTGGCCCCTACTGACATAATATTTGAAAGACCGTCCCCGCAGACGGTCACATGCGGCGGTCGCGGTGACTTCTGCGGAGGCAGGGCCGACTACGGCGTTCGCGGAGACAACGTCTCGCTTAAAGGAAACCTCTCCAATATAGATCAGCAGTCGTTTAGTTTAAATCTAAGTTTAGAACCGAGCAGGCAGGTCACCATAAAAAAATGCGATTCTCACATCACGGACAACTGTTTGTCGAAATTACGGAAAAACATATGTAGTAGAGGCGATTCCGGATCCTATGATATGAATACTAGGATATTAAAATCTCTTTGCAACAAAAACTACGAGCACGAGGTGCACCCGGATGCGATGACTAGGAGAACAGAAACGCTAAAAAATCTTCAGAAGGGAGAGGACCTAAAATTTATAGACGAAGAGACTCCCGTAGATACTACGATTAACAACATAACCGAAAGAAGTAGAGAGATGAGGGTACAGAGGACTACTACGGTGGTACCGATCAGTCCGGTATGCGCCAACTTGCCCGTGTACGATACTATGACCCGAAGTTGCAGCGTTGGATACCTAGATCTGGTCGATCCACAAGTCCTGCACGCGCAGGTGAGCCTGACCGCGCTGCGTGGCGAACCGCCCCGTCGTCTCGTGCTCGTCAACAACAAGCGGCACCGGCGGCCGAGACGGCACCACCGAACAACTGACATCAAGCAAGTCGAATGTACGAGAACTCCGAGTTTAAAGAAGTGTGGAAAGTCTAGAAGTCTTGACTCGAGCGAGATGTCAGCCGCCGCGGAAAAGGGTTCGAAACATCTCAAAGCCGAGGCGGTGAGTCACAGAGGCGAAGGAGCGTCAGCGAATTCGAGCAGCCGGTGCACTAGTACTGGAGGCGAGGACAACGGCGCCACTAGCACTGAGGAGGGCGGGCGGCGTGGACGACGTGACTACCCGGTGTGCACGCGCTGCCGCCTCGTGTCGCCGTACGACCGCCGCGACGTGGACGCTGCCACCTACGTGTGCGTGGCGTGTGGTGTGACCGCCCCTACCGCGGTCGCCAACCCCGCCGTCGCCGCTCCCGCTGCCGCTCCCGTCTCATCTGCGCCCCCATCGCGCTCCGCCGCCACCGACAGCGATTCCGACTACAGCAAGTATTATAGTTAGTACTATAAGTAGATGCTTCACTCTCACCTGCCGTACCTCACAGACGAGGTCAAGTCGCGAGCCAACCTCTTCACTCAGTGCGATTCTATGACTTCACCGAGCGAAGGTATGTGCCGTAGGGCCGGCTCGACAGTTGGTAGATAGAGTTCGCACGCTCCCCGCATGATCCGCAAACGATGACTCACACGACGATTGCAGGTACAAAACACAATTTGCACTGACCCTATTTTAGTAGAACTATCCGATTACAATTCTGGGTGATCAACTAATTAGGGACATAAAAATACATTCTTTATCTGTTTCAATAGATAGGAAGAGAATTAAATTTGAAAAATAATAATAAAAAAGTTGCATTTGTGATGAGGTTATTGAGCTGATTTCTTTTCGTGTTATTATATTTAAATATAAAAGCCCTATTGATCTACCTCCATTTTACGTCGTTAGAAATCTCTTAAAAAAATCCTTGAAGTGCAGTTCCTACATAGTTGATCACCACTGTACTAGAATCGAATGCTACCGCACTTGATAAGAGGTTTTTTGACGCCTGCGGCTCGGCGAGCGGGCGTTGCCTAAATTCTCTATGAGCCCTCACTTCGTAGGACACGCCTAAGTGCTTCAAACTAAGCGATCCCTTGCATGAAGTAAATATCACTAGGTTACACATGTATGCCCTAGATCCTACAACTGAATTGCAAAATTAGGCATGAAATAGGCAAATCTAGATACATTATCGTGATCGGCGGTAGGATATGTATTACATGTAGTTCACTTACCGCGCAGGTTCCCTGGAGCAGCTGGCGCTGCGGCTGCTGGCGTCGCGGGGCACGCGGCGGGGCGCGCGGGAGGCGCGGGAAGCGCGGGCGGCGCGCGAGGTCCGCGAGAGCAGCTCGGCGCCGGCCTCGCCGCGCCCCGCGCGCAGCTCTGGCACCGGCGCCGCACCCGCGCCGGAAGCCACGCCGCGCCGCACGAGATACTCCTCCGCTTCTCCTATCCGGTAACAACTCAATGATCACCTCTCAATATTAGTTAGAAATTATTTTGTATATACCTATAAATTTTTTTTCTAGATTGTTTATTCTCATCAACATTTTAAATACCTAAAAATTTAAATTCAATAAATAAAATGTAGGTAAGAAATAATATGAATTCGGAAGCTCTTAATATCTATGCATCGAATTTTTATTTTGGCAGCCACTTATCATTAATATGAAGCATAGGCGTATTTAAAGAGAAGGGGGGACGTGAGCACCCCAGAACTGTCTGGTATCCACCTAAGGATCCGAGCGAAACTTTACAAAAACATGTCTGAGTAGATGACTATACAACTTTTAAAAGGTTACGTCCATCCTGGAAAATAATCTTAAACACATCAATGGCTGGCTGAATATAAGCTGCAATCCTTTTATAGAAATAATAATAATAAAAAAAAAATTAAATTTTGATATTCTAGGGATATCAAGGGATAGTCTCTCACATGCATAATCTCTAAACATAGCTACACCCACAAATGACAAATTCATAGAAATGATAATTAATATTATCCCATTACCTATTTCAGCCAACTGCTCAATTCTCCGCTATTAAATCGAAGAAGGAACAAGAAGCCATCAGAGAGCTCCGACGATGAATACTCGAACGGCAGCGGATACAACGAAGTTAATAGCAAAAATTATAGAGACCTGGAGAGTTTCCAGAAGGCTCAACTTAGAAATAAGGTATATTAATGATCTTTTTCCGGTTCTGGCATAGAATAGGTCACCCATTCGTTTCCTGTGGGTATCGTAAGAGGCGACTAAAAGAACCTAATGGTAGAGGCATGGGCAGCAGCGTCCATTTTAAAACATCTCTAAAAGCCTAACTGCGGTTGCCAACCCACTTGACAAGTGTGCCAAGCAACTACTGGCAAAATTCCCCTTATAAAGAAGGCTTATGTTTAGTAGTGGACAATTAACGGCTGAAATAAATTTTACGGTTCCGTAGACAGCTTGTTTAGTGTATTTTACTGTAGCTCAGAACAGATTTATCTTCTCCTATCCACAATAAGAGATACTTCCATTCTTTTTGCTACTCCATCACAAGGATGAGCTACTTTTGGTTGCATCTGTAAATGGTGTACTGCCTGTATTGACAAATGCGATTAACTAAAGCGAAAAAAGTCTACGGTCAAATTGTCATCGTTTACGCAGACAACACATTTATAATAGTGCCCCTAGAATTCACTAGGTGACTTTAGCGTTGAGTTTGGTTACAGCTAAAGCGAGCAGGGACGGCTGGTGGCGGAGTGGTGGCGAGCGACGGGCGCAGCAGCCCGCACTCGCGGCGGCAGCTCGTGATGCACAACAAAGCGCCCATGTGGAACGAGAACAGCCAAGTCTACCAGCTTGACTTCGGTGGTCGCGTTACACAAGAATCCGCCAAGAACTTCCAAATAGAATATCACGGCAAACAGGTAAATGTCCAAGTAAATGTATTTCAGACACAATGTACATTGTTTTTTTGAATAAATGACTAATGACTAATTCTTCTTCAAGAGTAAGTACTCGTAATTCAGTCTTGAGAACGAAAAAAAGATAAGACTTGCAGTCTTGATGATGATTTAGTAGTTATGTGTTGGGGAGACTTTCAACTCACTTCGAAAAGAAAAATACGTAATTTGGTTGTATTTTCAATACATATACACACGTATGTTATGTCTAAACTAATTTTGATGATTCTTTTTTCACTAATTATACTAGTTTTATTGCACATTCATATTCAAAATAAGAAAAACCATTTATACAAAACTAAAAGATTTTTATATAAAAAAGAGTATTTTACCTCTGGTCCAATATTGGGTAATCAGAGACAATTATTTAAGTTGTTCTAATATATTTCTAGGTGATGCAGTTCGGACGCATCGATGGAAATGCTTACACTCTTGACTTCCAGTACCCATTCTCTGCATTGCAGGCCTTCGCCGTCGCTCTAGCTAATGTAACACAACGGCTCAAATGAGCACCATCATTGTAGCTCATAGTCGACAATAGTATGCGGTTCTTATAGGCGAAACGGGGCAGTCGGAAAATATCACTTTTCTATTTGAATATCGACTTTTAATTATAATATGAGCTACAGCCTCATTTAAGGTCTAATTCTGTTTTAAATAATTACAGTTTACTATAATCGGTGTTGATATTTTCAGACTGCTTGCTGACCATAGTAATTCTTGTAATACATGGCTGAAAATATAGGCTTTACAAATACTGTCATAGTGATTGTTGCGGTTATATCAAACTGGCTAACACGGCCTCACTTTGATCAATGAAAGCACCACTTTTGCGCACATGTGGATGATGCTTACGTCGCGGACTGAAATAATAGTTCAAACAGTCGCTTCTAAAGAACACGCGATTGAAGGAAGACTTTTTTTATTTAAACATGTGTGGCTCCGTGCTCGCCAGTGGGATGTAAACCGTTGTAATACATACCTAAATACTGATCAGCGAGCAAACCCATCCATAAAATATTTTTTACACAAGCTTACAATTAGATAGGTGACTATGTAAAGTATCAAATTCGTTGTCTCAATGCCGATAGTCGGTGACATTGGGACCATCATCACGGATACAAAAACGTGTCTTATAGAGCCCATAAAATAATAAATGCATAACACTATTTTAGGTACAAATGTTGATAATTGAATTCCGTAATATACAGTAAATAATTTCAGTGTCACTTCAATGTTCAATTGGGTTGTAATGGAATTATTAAAATTATTGTTATATTTCTGATGTTGTATACTTGAACACCATATTTGCTTTAAGAACACCATAAACATCAAAATAAAGCTTTTTTTATGGATATTGCTGACCGATAGGTACCTACATGTGATTAAAATTTTACGTTACTACTATTGTGAAGGAGTGGAGTATCAAACTCTAGCTACAAAAGTTTCTAGGCCACCTTCGGTGTACACGAAGACCTCTGACGTAACACCGAAATATTAAGCAGTTCCCGTTTTCTAAGAAATTCCCGTTGCAACCCTAATATATTATCCGTAAAATCTGTTGGCCTACATTTGAAGATATTTAAACACTTTTAAAGATACACTTTGTTGATCAAATTTAATCAGTGTTTAAATGAAGTGGATATTTTATATTATGTAAAGGCCGCTAGAGTAACGTGTTGTACCTGTTTAGTTTCATTAAAATGATTAGTTGATCTGTTTATAAATGTTATGCACTAAATTATTCATATACATCATGTTTGTTGTTTTCCCTATTAAATTTGCATTTAAATTGTTTTTAATTACAACAAATACATTTTCGTTGTCCTTATAAACATTTACTAATAGTCGGCCTAGGTATGTGTACACGTAATAAAATATTTAATCAATTTTTATTTACCCTTTACAGTTTGGTATCGATGTCGCAGAAAATCCTTATAGTTATTTATATTAATTTACGTGATTTGTTAATATACTTATATCTACCTAAATGGCCCCTTAATGTTCTATAATTTGTTAATGTTTAAAACCTAATGTTGTATGTACTCATTATTTATTAAATGATATTCAAAATTTTTAAAGCGACTTGTTGTTAAGACATAAGATGCTTACAAATATGCTTGATAAAATATCAAAATTATCTATCCATTTTTATAGTACCTAACATAAAAATCTTGTATCTCATTTCTTTTTCTGAGTATGCGAAAGCAGCATTCATATTATAAACATGAGAATCGGCACCGAAGTTGTTGGTAATCATTATAATCAAGCAAATATGTAGGCACCTTAAACAAATTTTCTATCAGGCAGGGCCTGTATCAATCAACAAAAGGCTGATTTTTTACCTTTGTTTTGCATTGTATTGCACATAATGATTATGTTTATTGATACATACTCGTACATATCTGTGGTTAATTATTATTATTAAATAAATTATAGATTATTATTTATCAATCATTGATTTAAGACTGCACATTGTAAATATATTTTGTGATATTCATCGTATTGGTTATACTCGTGTTTTAGTTATCCTAAGTGGTATGGTAATTGTGAGGTGAGTCTGATTTGTTGCTCCGTCTAATAGTTTCATATTTTGTTGACTGAATGTTGTAGGTGCCATTGATGCAGAAATTGATGGAAAAAAATTTTTACACACTTTCAATTCAAGTAATATCCTCAGTCATAGTATTTTTGAAAATATTTGTCCAATTTCAAGAAATATACGTTTAATACTATTCAATAAAATAAATGGTAAATCGGTCACGTAATCGTGCATTTTGTATAATGGATAGTTTCAAAACTTTTTATAAATTTTACTTTGGGGAAGTATTCCATAAATACTATCACTGAGGTTATTTGCTTAACCCTGTACTATTTTTTTTTAATATAAAAAATATACAGGGTAATTATTAAAATTTTACAGGTTTTAATACCACCCATAAATTGACGAGATGAATTCGCGTTCCACGCATGTGACGACTAGTGAGATCTTTTTTTATTGCTCTTTTAACATTTGTAAAAAAAAATGTACTAACTAAGATTCAATGTACCAGTACGAAACACCATTTAGAGATGCAGTGATTCCCATATACACCTGTAAAATAATGTTTTCGTTTATTTTGTATAATTACTGAATAATTTCTTTCCAACAATATCTGGATCAATAACTGTTATAATTACTATTGCTTTTTTTCCATTATGGTATCTCTATTATCACTTGTCAGATGTATATACTTACTGTAATGACAAAGTGTAAATAAAAATATTCTCCAGACAAAACATGTCTTTTATTGAAAACAACTTATAATACTTAATTATTTATAATTATTAAGCCACAAATGTCCTTGCATGTGATATCAGTTCGCTCTTAATGTGAGCTTAATGCCATTTGTTAATCACTATCACTGCCACTTTGGCCGGGTACATAGTCTTCATCGTCATCATCAGATATCTCTAAATCATCCAGGTCTTGGAATAGTGATTCGTCGACTTTAACAGCATCACCTACAATTGAAAATGTTATCTGCAGTTCAGCATTTTTTCAAATCGTTTTATCATGACTCTGTATGATAAATAAATTCCAAGTTAGAATACTTATGATCCTAAATACAGCTAAATACATATAAGGTTCTTCTTATACAAAATAAATGGGCAAATAAGCCGATGACCCAACTGATGAAAAGTGGTAACCATTGGTTTTAGATAAAAACAGCTTACTGAACATCACAGTAAATACTAGAGGTGAGGCATATATACAGTCAAACACAACAGTTTTTATAAAAAAAAAAACAATTTGGAGCTATTCTATTGAAACCATTACAACTATTACAGTTCCACAACCAACTGCATCAATCTTACTAAACATGGAATATTCTTATATCTAACATATGAAGTTAACCTGTGTAAGAAAGAGACAGCAACAGCTCACTACCAGTTGTTTCGCACGAAACATGCTCGTCTCGTATCTAGCATATGAACTTAACCAATGTTAAAAACATATAGCAACCATTCTATACTCCAGAACAGTTTTCTATGTTAAAACAGTGTTTCAATATAACATTGTGTTATTTTGGAATGGGCCAATGGAACTACTCTTATATCGAAACAGGAACAAGTGCAACAGGTTCCTTATTTTACCAGTTTCATACTACCACTAGTACATATACTGTGACACCCATAGTGACCGTAACATATAGCCATTTTTGAAGGCTAAAGGTTATGCATCTGTAATTTTTACTGTCATATCCTCATTATACTATATTCTTCACACTTTAAATATAATTCATCGATCTAATTATATGTTTAAATTATAATTATAGCCAGTAGTAGATAAAATAGTTCATATAGTAGACTAATAGTATCTTAAACCAACATAAAACTTACCATCATCAAGGAATTTCAAGTCGGATTCATTGAGAGTAGTGTCTCTCAAGAATAACTCTTTGCCAGTTAACTTATTTTTGTCTTTCGATTCTCTCTCTCTTTTGGCTGGAATTCCCATATCAATTTCAAATTGCTTCCGCCAAGCCAGAAACGATTCAACTGTAACTCTGGTACCTTCAAATCTTTTCTGTAATGTCAAACAAATAAAAAGTTTGCAAATTTCAACTCATATTGACATTATTACAAAAACATACCTTTATGCTTTTCCAGCATTTGATACTTTGATTGTTCAAATTCCTTTCAATATTATTATCAATTTAAAACAATGTTTAGTTGTTTAAGCAGATGTTACTTACTGCTTTTTAAATATATAGTTTTGAATGAAATTTGACACGCAAGCAGACCACATTTTGGCTTGATATATGTTTTTTATCCTAATCCATGAATTGCAACATACTACAGCTACTATTTACTATTTATATAAGTTTCCTCAGACTTTAACTGGTTGGAGACAATGGTATGTTTAGAATCATTTTCCAGATAGTGCTTGGAGTCATTTGGGCTACTCTTAGATATGTTTTTTGTGAAGCTTCTAGCATCTTAGGGTGGATATGAGACATTTCTGGAATTTTTGCACGTGGCAAAATGGCGTGTGAACTACTCACATATAGAATTTTAATTCAGTAATTAGTGTTAAAATAGAACTAACCAATTCTGCTTCCTCATCAGCCTTTAATTTCGCAAGTATCTTTTCTTCCCTATCCTTTTTAATGCTATCCCACTTTTCATTGAGCCACTCTTGTCCAGCTGACACTAGTGTGAATACCATCACCATACCTAGATTTTCTTTACCCTAGAAAATATATAAAAACAGATATAAACACAAGCTAAAATTTATACATATATTTTTATCAAGTAATTGGAAAAGTAACAAAAATATTTTTTTTTATTCATTATTCAATTGAACAAAAAGAAGCAATTATTTGGAATTTGGTCTACATAAGAATATTACTTATTTTATATTAGATTATGATATTAGTGTAAACAAAAAAAACAAAATATTTTCTAGAAGTCTTGACTAAAATAAAATGACAACTAGATGAACAGCAATAGAACAACCTGGGTTTCAAGGTGATTATTCAACAACATATGTGTATAATCAAGCAACTAATTGAATTATTTGTGTTCCCAAGGCCCTTGTATTTGGCATTTGTAGACTATAACAAAAGTTTTGATTCTTTCGTACATAAGTGAATTTGAAAATCTCTTAGAAACCAGGGAACCGAAAAATATATATATATATATATATATATATATATATATATATATATATATATATATATATATATAAATAGTTCAGCACAAATTAACTAGAAATAGAAGGAGAATTCCAGAAAAAGTGAAAAGTTCGGAGAAGTGAAAAGGGGAGTATGTTAGAGATTCTCTTTCTTGGTGATACAACAATTTTACAACTCACAGAACAGATTAGAAAAGTATGATTAACTAAAAAATAAAAATATTGTTAAATATGTTGTCATGCATCATAAAATGAGAAAACAGAATATATGGAAAGTGATGTATATTTCGGCAAACTGATATCATTTCAGAACCAAATGGAGAAAGAAGTAAAAAGATGTGTTGTCAACTCATTGAAAGCATATTGAACTCTTAAAGAAGTCCTGTAAGACAAGTCCTATCAAAAATGCAGTTGTTTAACAGGTGCATTCATCCCTGTCTCTCATATGGGTCTCAAACTTAGGCACTAACATAAAAAGCTTACAAAAAATTATAAAATGCCAAAGGTTAATAGAGAGAAATATATTAGGACAGTCATTAGGATACTGTCCTATACATTGAAGTAGATGTTTTTGTATTTTGTTAAATAATAAAGGTACTAATGTAGGTAGACTTAATATTTTTGGCAATGAATGAATGAAGGCTTATTTATTTGATTGAATAATAAGTGACGGTCTCTTACCTGTTCTATTAAATGCGTAAGGAGCTCGTTTTTATCAACGACATTGTCAAAATTTTCTTCATTCTCTATTTCTACAATAGGCAGCTCATCTGGATATTTTGATGTGTAGGTAAAAACTAGTTGACAAGAAAGTCCTTCTCCTTCGTCAAACGTTTCAGATTTTATAGGTATAGAAAACTTATGGAATGGTTCTGTCTCTATAACTAAAAAAAATATATTATAGTTACAAATGAGTTCAATTTTGTACTAAAAAAAATAACCTCGCTACTTACTCTGCATGTCCCCATAATATATGGAATCTAAAGCTTCAACTTCACTAGACTGTTCATAATTGTAATCCATTATTAATAGAAAGATCGTCTTAAATACTTTGGTTCTGAACCTTTTAGTGGCGCATTTAATTATTTAAGTTACTTCAGATTCCTTTTTTACAATTATAATAAATTGTCAATTCTATTTACAATTTAAAAGCTGTCATCAAAGAGTATATAACTAAGGCAAAAGAGACCACACTTCATAGAAGCCATGTGAAATAACATGGTCAGGAATATCTAATTTACACAAAAATCGTTCTTTTCTAGTTATGTTGGCCAGCCTGATAACTAAAATGGATACGAATAGGGTTATACTTATACTTAGATAGATAGCAAAAATGTGAATCATGTGATAATATATATATATATGTATATATATGTCAAAAAATTTTATGTCAAAATGCATGAATTTTAAACAAAAAATATTATTTATTATAGAAAATTAACATCTCCCCTCCCTCCGGCGGCTCAAACTAACCCCCGCCAGAAGTACAGTTGGCCGGGGTTCGGGGCCCCAGGGAGAGAAACCGGCGTACAATGCGGGCAGAATTTAAGAGCACCGCTTTCTGCATCTTTCCCGGGAGTGAGCCGCCTCAGAATCCCAACCGCCCGAGATGTTGTTCCAAACTGGTTGGGATAAGACCGTTCACCGATATAACGATTGAAATGATTTCGGTGGATGTCACCCCCCACATTTCGGTCACCTGGTGAGTTTTATTTTTAACAAAAATAGAACAAATGGTAACATTCTTAAATATATTTATTATTGTAAACAATATACTAAATACAAATACCAGGTCACTCAGAAAGTATTGCGAGAAAAAATAGGTACGTTATAAATTTAAAACTCCCCTCCATATTTTTTGCGAGCTAATTAAAATTACCGTGTCTCATTGAAAAATGGATTTGCGTCGAGAATATTTTCGCGCTATGATTTTGTACGATTTTAAGTGTCGCCTGAAACCAAATGAATTGTACGATAGTCTTCAAATGATATTCATAGATGAAGGCCCTTCTAAGGCAACCGTGTATCGTTGGTATAATGAATTTAAGCGCGATCGATTAACTTTGGGGGATAAAGAAAGAAGTGGTCGTCCTTTGACGGCTGTTACGGAAAATAACATGCCAGCAGTGAAAAATTTGATCCAAGACAATAGACGAATTACATACCAAGAGATTCAGCATATACTGCATATTGGATCAGGAAGTCTTTACAAAATTCTACACGTGAATTTACGGGTGCGGAGGATAGTTTCACGCTGGGTGCCGCACAACCTCACCGATGTTCAGAAGCAGGCAAGAGTAGAATAGTGCCATGATATGATAGACAAATTTGAAGCAGACTCGTCTCGGCGTGTTTACGATATCATTATAGGTGACGAATCCTGGATTTATCAATACGATCCAGAAAAAAAGCGCCAGGCGACGGTTTGGGTGTTTAAAAACGAATCAACTCCTACCAAAGTAAAGCGACCTAAAAAAGGGGGGGTAGATTTTGATCGCAAACTTTTTCAATTTGACTGGTTGCTTGGTGTGAATAACTTTACGAAACCAAAGAAGCATTAACGCCGAATGGTATACTACCTAATGCTTGGCAGAAGTTTTCTCTGTTGTGAGCAACAAGCGACTAAACACAGGGCTCCACAATCAAAACCAGGGACTTCCTACACAGTACACCAGTCAAACTCCTGGGTCACCCTCCTTACAGCCCTGACCTAGCACCGTGTGACTTCTTCTTATTCCCAAAAATAAAAAAAATCAGCTCAAAGGGATATAATTTTCGTCGCCGGATGATGCCCTCTCAGTGTTCGAGCAGGCTGTAAACGTAAAAACTGTAAAAGCTGTGGACTGGAAAGTGTTTCGAAAACTGGTTCAGACGCATGAAACTTTATATAGAGGCTGATGGAGAGTACTTTGAAAAGGTGTAATAAAAATATATTTACCTATAGAATATTTTTTTTTAGTGTCGCAAAACTTTCTGAGTGTCCCACGTAAAGGAAATTAATACGAAACTGGTGGGGCAATACATTGACCTAGTACGTGCAGTGCTAAATTAACAATTATTAAATTCCTTAGTAAACCAACAATTTTATTGCATTGCACACACGAATATGGCTCCATAATAAACACAAATATTCAACACTTCATGTAATATCTGATCAATTTAAAATAAAAAAATATATGATATGCAAAGCTAAAATTGTTCCACAAATAGTTTAGATGGCAGCCATTTGCATCATATTTGACAGTATTTTTGTTAGTTAAGTTGGTACTATTGTGATTTCATCATTTAAATAAACATTGGCATGATGTTTCCTGACCAAATCCATACATTAAAAACTATTATGGAAATTACACAAAACTGGCTGTTTGGGGCCAGAGTTGCCAGATGAAGTGAACCGGAATTCGCCAAAAAGTCGTTCAATTTTTTTTATAATAATGTGTCCTAAAATCGTTCAATGGCTACCCCCTCTAGCCGTAACGTGCCTGCAAATAATAATAAAACTGGTCAAGTGTGAGTTTTTAGTCTTATTGTATTTCTTATACGAAATAATCACCTAATAGTTATTATTATTGATAATGTAATACCAAATTTTTTTAAAATTTTGTGGAAAAAAAAAAAAACAACACTGAAGTGTCAAACTAAATTTGATTTTAGAGGTTTTTAATATTTTTCTTAAAAACTGTACTACTTAGAAACAATTGTTTTAGTATATTATTTACATAAAATAATCTGAATCTGACATAATTACAATTTATAAACATAAACTGTAATTATTAAGGATATATGGAATAATAAAGGATATATTTGTACATGTATTTCATATATTTTCCATACTGATACGTAGATATTTCCAAAATCTGCATAAAATTAAAATGGCTCATATTTCGATTAAATTCAATACATATTTTAAGTCTACAAATATTCGTATTTAAAGATATTCGTAAGGTAAAAAAAAAGATTAAAATGGCCGTCACTTTCAGTAGCATTATCCGTCCGTATTTATAATATACATGGATTCAAAACAATAGATTTTCAATGCAAATGAAAGAATTATGAAGTTTTACCTACCGCATTCTTTATCTAAACATTATTCTTAAAAGATAATTTAATGTTTAAGTTAAATATTATAAAGAATTATTTAATGGTAATATTTAAGTTACGACCTTTAACTATTTACCTTAAAGTAATAATTTGTCATCTGGTAACTCTATCACATACAAAATTGTATGACAAAGTTGGCCGATATTTTCGAATCATTTGTATAGACTATAAATAGTTTAAATTATACAGATATAATCAAGCTATTGTCCTATTCTGGAATAGCGTTTTAAAAATAATCTTTTTTTAACGTTTTACATCAATTTAGCTATTTATGCATAGTTAAAAAAAACATCTGACTATCCAAACTCGTATTTATTTTATATCAGAGCAAAAAACAAGGCATAAAAGATATATCGTGACGGTCGACACGTGGTTGAACTTTGATGGAAAGCAATTAATATTATTAAAAAAAAATTATTTTTTCACAAAATTTTCTTTAGATACTTTTATTTTTCTATAAAAAACACTTGTATATTTATCACTTGTCTCCAAATTTTTTTTAATAAATACCTAACAATTTTTTAGGCTTAGCGTGGAAACGGGAGGCCAATTTACATTAGATTTACATCACAATAAAACAGTTTTTGCCTAGAAAGGCATTTTCAAAGATATATTTACAGTTGTCTTCTTTCCTAATGAAAATTAAATGAAACGGTTAAAAAATGTAATTAATACAAAAAATTTTGTCAGTCATTTAAAATTCTGTTGTCAAAATGGATTAATTTATTTTGTTTAGTAGAATAATTTGTTACTTTACATATATTTCATTCCATCACAATAATTACAATTTATTCACAGTATTTAATTCAAATATTATATCATTATTAACGCCTTAATTATTGTGATTATATTTGCTTTTACGATCAGTTTTTAATTAAGATTGTGACACCTCACATGCTGCAGATACGCTATAAAATTAGAATTTACATCGTTTTTGTTCAAATACAAAAATAATACGTTGTAAAAGAATTCTATTTTATTATTTTTAAATATACAGATTAATAGCGCTTTAAATTTTAAACAAAAATGCATCATTGAGCCATTTTGCTAAAAATGGAAGTTACGGCCTTTTTAACTCAAAGTAGTAAAATGGGTGTTCGACTAAATTGTATGAAAAAGTTGGAACTAGGAGCCTGTGTTTAGAATAAAACATGTCGACTGAAATAAATAACAAATCAATAGTTATAAAATATTTAAAATCACAATCATATACGTATTTATAATCTAAAATACGCTAACCGTTGTTTTAGTCTTAAGGTAAATTTACCTTTATTTTTGTACAATTAAAACCACAAATAGGTTAAAACAGTCAATCGCACGCGTGAAAAGAGCAAGGTTCATTAAGAGTGATGACATTTGTTTGTAATGTATATAAAAATATAGCATGGCTTAAATTTAAACGATTGGAAATTAAAAAAATATTACTTTTCTTATCACAATGTAAGGGATCTGCAATATATACAAATTTGATATGATTCTGACACCCTAAAATTCTTATGGAATATGTTAGTATAAACCCATTTTATATTAACTTCTATTATGACTAATTTCTATCATTACATTACTTCATTACACTACTTCTGTATTACAAATAAAACAGGTACCTAATGCACTTTTACATAAAAATTCAGTCCATCAGTATAATATATAGTCATGTAATAATTATACAAGAGAATTATTATTGTCTTGTGTCTAATGATATTTTGGCTAATTCATAAATAGCTTCTCCTCTAAGCTGGGGCAGGCTTGATACTTTAGCTAAAGTTACATCTAAATATTTATTGTACACTGCCTTGTGCTTGGAATTGTCAACATTAATTACTATATTTACTAATTTCCTAATTATAGGTTCAATATGTGCAAGTGAGTAACCAGAATAATAGAACAATGTTGGTGTCCACACTTCTTCTAACTTTTTGCTAGACAGTAAATATAGAGAGAGGCAAATAGCAGCTGCCGCCAATTCCGACGGCTTGTAATGGGCCATTGAGTATTCTACCAGAGATAGATCAACAAAATATTTTGCCAAATGATGATTTTTTGATGTTCCATGAGCTGCTTTCACAAATCTGAAATGAGTAATTATTTAAATTCATTAATATGAGGCTTTATGCATTATTAGTAAATTCAATTAATACTGGAAATTCCTGCATCTGCTTGAAATTCAATTATTTCATCATATTGAATACCTATTCTCAGTCTCAGCCTATTTCTCCGAATATTTAATTTCATTCAGTAGTAAATCAGTTATAAACATAATTAACAAACATACTTTTGCATTTATAACATGACTTATTTTCAGGTGAAGGAGGAAATTATAAAGTTTCATAGATTTTTCATAAAAAAAACCACATAACTAAAAAAATATATATATATCTAATCTAAAATGATATTAAGTATTAACATGCACATATCATTTTGTCATAGTTTTACCTTCTTAGAAAACTAAGTGGTATTGGTCTGGCTAAACAGAATCCAAGTTTTGACATGATGTCCCTTTCACACTTAAATATATCAGATTTGGTGTATGCTTTGTCTGTCATATATATAAAATCTCTGACGTCTGGAGGATAGATCTCCTCATATTTGCTAGCAATGAACATTGCTGTTACGCCGACCAGCTGTAACTGAGTGCGTTGCACGTTTGGCGCCGCCTGAAACGTATCAAACATAATGTTTTTTAAACCTCATAAAATTAATGTCAAAATTATTAGACAATTAGTTTATATTGGTCTTCAGAATAAAGACTATTCTATGATATCAAATTGAAACTTTCATTTTATAGATAGAATTAGAATATAGCGTCATTTTTGAAATAATTTGGTATAATAACAACATTTAAAAGACTAAATTGAATAAAAATTACCTGTAAATATCTGTCAAGAATTCCAACAGTTAAATGTAATGTCTCTAATACAAGTGAAAATTGAATCTGCACCTCCACCAGCCAATCTATCAACGTCGCCCGCATCTTACCAGTGATTACACTCTGCAATTACAATTTCAGTAATTAGTAATATTAGTTAAAATAATATACCCATATATAAAAAAAAGGACGCCGATTGACTAACTGAGCAACTATATATCAATGTACAGCCAAAATCGCTGAATATAGAATCTTGAAATTTTATAGTTAGGTTCTTTATACAGTAGAGGTAAACAATAAAAGAACTTTGGAAATGCAAACTCTAAGGGGGTAAACAGGGGTTGAAAGTTTGTATGGAATTTCATTAGTTTAGAAGGTAGACACGTGAAATTTCAAATTTAGGCTCTTGGTTCAAAACTTAAATTAATATGTTTATTGGATTTTGCAGAATTCACTCCTAAAGAGCTGTAATAGGGCATGAAAATTCCTATAGAAATTCAGTTATAATTAAAGCTAGAAATACAAAGCTTAATTTTAGACTTCTGATTGATAGAAATACTTTTAATTTTTTTGAAAATTTCACATTTTAACATCACATCAGCTGTTATTTGACCACTGCTGAATATAGGCCTCCTAATGATTGCCATAAGGAACGGAATCTCTAGCCACCTGCATCTATTGACTCCCATGACAATGCATTTGTCAAATTGTTACTCCATCTAGTGTATACTATGTTTGCCTATATAGGGTCAAAACTCAAGAATGCGTCTTCCCCATCAAGGTCAATTTTTTGAGCTATGTAACCAGCCCATATTAATAATTAAAACATTATAACATATTAAAATAATTAAAACTTATTTTTTGGCAGAATAGAAACTTAGACTTTCAATAGGGCCAGTATAACCACAGGCATATTTAAGAGAGGAAGAGCTGATTGGGATGACCCAATATATGGCCATATATATGAATATATGGCCATGGGATGCAAACTTAGCTTTCAACTATTTACAAAGATATAAATTTAAATGTCAATGAAACCATTTTTGACCACTACATAATTCAAAATGCATCATTTTCAATCATTATCTTGACTATCCATCTTAGTTTCTACTTCAGGACATATTTAGAGTTATTAATGAATATCACAAATATGTTTAATAATTTTTCATATTATTATACATCTACTAAATAATAAAAGTTATGAGGAATTACACAAACCTGTCTTTTCAAATGGTCAGGCTCAATAGGATATTTCTTTTCCAATTCAGTTAAATAGTGATATATATCCTTGATATATACAGACATTAGCAATGGACTGTTCTTGTCTCCTGCATCAATATCTTCAATATCATTAGGAATAGTTGGTGTAGAACAAGTAGAAGATATTTCATATAGTGCAGCTTTTTTTTCTAAATTGCTATAATTGATTAAACCTGTGTTGTGCTCAGACTCAACTAACTTGAGTTTCTGTAATAACTCTATAGGTTCCTTGGCAATAGGTTTTGATACCTTGGTTTCTCTAAGAGTTGTTAATTTTCCAAATTGCTTGATGTCTTGTTTTTTTGTTTGTATATTTACATTTTTTATATCAGTTTGCTTATTATTTTCTTGGAGGACAGCCTACAATAGAAAATTGATATAATGTATATTCTAAAAGCCAAAGACAAAAAAATTGTTATTTTATTGTTACAAATGATTATTTTTTTTAAGTATATCTAGTCTGAGAAATTTTGTGTAGGCTAAATAGCCTCTAAAATCTTACATTACTAAATAGTAATGTAAGATTTTAGAGGTGAACATGGAGAAGACAAAAAATATTTCTAATTATAATGATAAAATGAATTATGAGTATTCATAGTAAGTATTATTACTACTAACTTAGGTACATATCAATCTTTACTCTGGTTTTGGATTAAGAAAAAAACTCAAAACTTTATATTATTTGTAAAATTAATAAATACATTTATTTACAATATTATGTTAAATACATATATAACATACCATAGTCCTAGGAATAGCTCTGACAGCTATATTTGTATTGTTCTCATCCCGTCGTATTGGTGGTCTTGATGATGGTTGTATTATATTTTTGTTAGAGAGTCCAGAATCAACCCTTGGCTGCACATGACTATAATTCCTATATGTTTTAATAATATTTTTAGAAATGCAATAAATTGTAATGAAAGAATTAATATGAGTGACAACAGTATTAGATTAGTGGTGAGAATTTGCGACTTGTCTGTGTAGATACCATTTCATATGTACATAATAATGAAGATTTTCAAATTTGAAAAAGTCATAATTAAAAAATATAAATACATAATATAACCCTTAAGATATCAGAGTTGTTCTCTTTTCGGAAAAATAGATTAAACTCCTAAATACATAATAGATAGTACACTGGACTTTGACTGTGCTGCTGCTGGGATTAATAACCACATGACTTCTATTTCAGAAGGGAAATGTGATATTGCAAATAGAATAATAATAAGTCTATATTTATTACACCATATCAAATAAGTAGAAATTACAACTGCAAGCATTTATTTCAATAATATTATTATAATTAATTGTTATTAAATGTGGTAATATGTTCCTTAATTAAGTAAATGTTCTAAAAAAGGATTCAAGTAAAAACTTTACCTCAAAGTCCCATAGTTTAATGCATTTTTCTTATGACTTTCAGCAGCCACTTTTCCAATTTTGGTTTCTTTCCGAGTTTGCAAATTACTATTCAACTCTCCCAAAGCGCCTCTCACATTTAAACCTTGACGTTTGCTAGGCAACGCCATGGTCGCTTTTCCTTTTATAGCATATTTATTTTCTTGATCAGCAATCTGCAATCAATGTTAAAAAATGTTACAAAGCAGGTTTATGGGCTTATACATAACTTCAGGAAAAGTGAAACTTACTGATCTCAGTCGTTGCACTTGAATATCCATTTTTCTGTTTGTTCTTTAAGTATCTAATTCTTCTCTCGATAAAAGGAGGAACTTGAATATTTTGATATGTTACCTGTGAATGTAAATACATTAATAAATACTGAATATTCACAGATCTGTATTATTATTATTATGATTTTGTAATGGAAATAAAATAATTAAATCATTACAGTCACTGGCTCATTATTCTTTGTTTGTGTTATTAATTTTTTAACGACTATTTTTTGTATAAAAGGCAATTAAGATTAAAGAATTAGCTAAGCCATTAAATGTTGTTATATCTTGAAGATACTTCAATTAATAAATAACATAAATAACTACAAAATATGAAATAGGTAGAAGTCATTAATTAGATTAACTATACAATTTAAACTTTGCAAAAGAACCTACGAAAAGATAAATAAAAATTAACCTTTACTTTTAACGGTACAATTTCAAACTTTTTTTTTTAATACCAGAATGGAACATAGAATAAGAATGTCAGTCCTATTCTTAATCCATAGCTAAGAAAATGTAAATACCACAGACATAGGACTAAATACTTGAACATAGATTAAAAATAGTTATTACTCTTAATACACGCCATAAAAAATGCCATACTTATACTTTTTTTACATAGTTTCAGCTTAGCGTACTTAGGTTTGGGTTCAATTCTCTCGTAAGTGCCATTTCTCTAAAATTTTTAATTTGATAATTTCATGAAGTTGCTGTTTTATGCTTAGGTTTTATGAGATATCATAAAGTAAAATTATAATAATTAAGCCTTGCACCTATTAGAAAATAGTTTGTATTGATCCTTAGAATAAATTTTAATTTTATAGATAATTTAGAGAAATGACGCTTCTGAATCAAAGATTTTGTTATTCCTTGTTTTTAGTTCAATATACTGACATCAAACAAAAAAATTGTGAATGTGACTGACGTTGATTTCAATGTTTGTTTACCTATATTGTTCTTAAAAAAATTACATTTGTGGTTACTTATCATATAAAATAAAATATAGGAAAGGAAGTCTATACATGTTTGGATATCAGTCTTAATTTTTTGACGTTGGACCTGATACTATTACCTCAAAGGGTTCGAGTAATTGCTGTAAATTAATTGTTGTGTACTAGTATTATATGGAAATGGCCTCATCAGACATGCCAAATAATTCGCAGCCAGCGTCCTTTTCCGATTTAGGGTATGTTATTTTTAGAAGATAATATTTTATGTTGATAAGGGTTTTATGTTGTGAAGGATGAAGTGTAAGGTACACTTCATCCTTCACTCGACTATTGTTAGCAACAAACACACAATTTTTGTTGCTAACAATAGTCACTGAACTCTATTACTACAATCCTAAACTTACCTAAATATATCATCATCTTCCTAGTCTTATTCCAGTTATTATTTGGGGTCAGCGTAATATGTTTTTATCCATATTACAAAAAGATTTGGCTTTTAGTTTTACGACCGGCCGCCTGCCTGACATCAACCCTCTTTGGGATATATAAATATATATAATACATAAATTTACTTAGTAGTAAGGAGATCTACAAGATCTATTGCTAGCAATAAGGGCCACCCTATACTAATAAGTTTTCTCTCATGTACAGATTTCTGTGTGGTATTTACCACAAATAACTACTCTCTTTTTTTATGCAACTAAGAATCGCGAACTAGTTGATTGTTCAGGGTGGGGAATTGTTAGTAATACAGACTACTAGATACATTTCTAGCAATATACTCTGTCAGGAAACTTCCACACAGTCCCTTGAAAACCATCATGCTGAATTCGAGTTGTATCCATAACAATGAGCTAAATGCCCTGCCTTTTCATTCTCACCTATTTTCCCTCATTAATGCCCCACCAGCAAATACCATTAGCACAGGTAAATTTGCCATTCCATTATAATCCATTAAAAAAATAGGTAACCTAATGGTGAGGGGTAACTATCACCTATAAACATGAACAGTACACAAATTTTATACATAACAGTAATACACTAAATTATATCAGGTCGATCTCCATGTGGTACAGGGAGTACATCATCTTGGTAAATTTGTTATGAAGGTTAACTGACCTGCTTTCATGTTAACTTATCATGTCTCACTGGTCTCTCACAACACATTCCATTTTCACTCATTAAAAAGACTACAATTTCTTATGCCTGCATATGAGTTAGTCTTATGTTCAATAGTGGATTGGAAATAGTAGATATGAAGATAAACCATTTTGATCCATACAAGTAAATGAACTTTGTTACTTCATTTTACAGATCTGAACACTCTAAGACTACGGATGATTTCAATGATTTGCAGCAACAAGTTTTGGCTAATTTTCAGAAACCAAATGTACCAAACATTAACATACCAGAAAGGATTATAATTTGTTTAGACACTTGTTACGATGACAATACCTCCCTATACAGATTAGCAGATGGCACTACATTTACACCTATAAATATGTTGAAACGGATACTTGATTTTTTCATACACTCAAAATATGCTATCAATCATAAAACTGAATTTGCTTTATTAATTTTGAAAGATACAGAACCATGCTGGATACAAAACTTTACAAATAATTTAAAAGATATTATAAATGTGATTGATTACATTAATGCTGAAGAAAGTACATCAGAAAGCTTTGATTTCAAAAAGGTATTTCAAATTTTGAAACAAAAGATAGAAATTCCAGAATATAAACAGGAAGATTGTATAATACCTCCTCCATATGTGTTGAGAATGATTGTTCTGTATGGACGTTCAAATTGCATACCTCTGATAGCTCAAGATGACCAATACTTCATGTTTTTAAAGAAACAGTTATATTTTTATATTGATATACTATTAGCACATGAAGAAGAATGCTCACTTTATAAATGTGCAGAAATTTATGATAGTTTACAAAACTTGGACAATGGATATTCTTATGTTTATGAAGTGTCAAGAAATGCAACTAAGATTCATGATTGTGCTGCAAAATTGCTAGCACATCCTTTACAAAGAGTGCTGCAAAAACAGACCAATTATAGTTTTGGCAATAGACCTTAAAAATATATATAAAAAAAATAATTTGTAATTAAGAATATTAATAAAACATATAGTTCATTATGTTGTATTTATTCAGCTCTCAAAAGGGGTTATGACTGGTACAAAAGAAAAATCTAAGGCTACTGTGATATATATATATGAATATTTATATATGGTATTTCAATACTTACAGACATGTACTCTTCCTGATTAAATTATTCTAGGGATCTGTCATATGATTTATTTACATTATGAAGGCAGAAAATGTATGATGGCAGTTCTTCCTACTGAAATGGCCCATGTTTTAGATCTGTTTAAACAGAGGCGGTCCCTCATGAGATATGTGGAGTTTCATGCCTTTTCCTGTAAAGATGAAGCTCCCGCAAATGAGCTACACTTACATATTTATAATCTATTTCATTTGACATAGTTTGTGAACAGTCTTAATATTTTTTTATTACAATTTATCATTTAAAAATAAAACAAAATAATAATATACAATAATATGTAATCAATTTATTCAAGTATTTGTTCATTTTATGCATTGTTTGATAAAAGCATATGCTAAGTTTGATTACTAAATATGTCAAGTATAAAAAAAGATTATAAATATAAGTGTAAGAAACTATCTGCTCAAAATCTGATCACTCCACAGGCAGATCAGCTTCTACACGCAAACCTCGCGTCTCTGTAAACGAGACTATTGGTTTCAACACAATATTTGAATTTTTACCTATAACAATCCCAATATCTAATATTTTTTATGAATTAAAATTATAAATACATTTATATTTCCAGCACAGCCAACTTTTGATCTGTACTTATCAATAGTTAAGTAATTTAATTTTAAAATATTTTGTGTCTGCTAACTTTGTCTACAATTAGGATATAGGTGTGCTATGTATGATTACATGCAGATTATTAAAAAATACACTTACATCCACAATCCAAAACAAGTTCCCTAATATGGATAACAAATTGAGCAGAATAGTTATAACATTCATGTACCAGAAGCTTAATATTCATTGCATTACATTAGCCAAATGCATTTTACACAACAAAGCTTAATTACACATTTATAAAAAAGAAATTTATTAAATATCATACAAATACAAAACATGTATTAACTTTGCATGAATATAAATTGTAAAATGAATACATAAATAATAGTAAATTAAAAAATTACAACTTAATATTGCTTCTGGTGGTTTTGTTACAGTAATAATGTGTTCTGAATAATCCCAAGGAATACTTCATAGAAGGAATATTATTTATTATTACAATTACCAGTAATAAACTATTCTCATCATCATTTCAACCATTAATTCTCCACATAAGTCCATATATAAAAAAAAAACAAAGCTGAAACTATTTTACAGGCACACACAGCAATTTATATAAAACAAAACTCATCAGATTATACACTTCAGTAAATAATAAAAAAATAAAAGTAACAAATAATTCATAAAAATAATATATTTACAATGATTAGGATTTCATCTAAAACAATCTAACATATTAATGAAACTTGAATATCAAGTTCATTAATAAAAAAATAGCCACCAGTCGAAGCTATGTACTGAAGATTTATAATTGTGAGAACTGAGCTACATTCTTCATAACATTTTAGCCTCCAATACAAAAGATCATACCAAAAAAGGTGTATACATACAATTATTAACAACAAAATGCATCAATAAATAAAATGGTCAAATTAATAATCATGAATCTGCATAAAAACTACATGAGCTGCGTACAGTTTCTGTTGTTATTATAGCTGACTTTATACACTCTCTATATCTGTATTGACTTCTATCACATTCAGTTATTAATGCAACATTATCACAAATAAGTATAGCAACTAAATGGAATTTCATATCATTTACATATGTTGTCATTGACTCTAAAAAGTTTATTATGGTAAATTTACATTGCATTGGTTATAGGCTTTATTAGTATCTGCACCGATAATATGGGGTCAGTGGATCTTAATCGAAGCCAATCTTCGTAGTCGATAACTAATCCAATGTAAATCTGTCCATAACAATAGCTACTCAATGATATACAAGTATTTTTAATAATGACTCTAAGACAATCACATTTTATCTTGGTCGCCTGTTACTACTGTATTATTTGCATGTATCACATGATACAAATGTATTTGATGTCATCAAAATAACTAAAACTTAGCACTTCCTTCCATACTTAATAGGCGTATTAAACAGTGATTTGTACAATAGCCAAAGACTTATATTTTTTATAAAACAAATTAATCGATCATAATCAAATTACAATACAAAAATTTAACAGCACTAGTTACCTAAAATCCACACGACCGTTTCGGCCAAACATATCACCGATATTAGGTGTTATCATGATATACATCTAGTACATTCCCTTTTAGAGCTGTAATTATTACACCTGAGATCCTACTGTAATGTATTATCATTTACTATCGACATCTAATATTTGACACTGGCGGATTTACAAACAAAATAAATAACTTCACTTATATCAGTCTCTTTAAAATGTATTTACAATATTGTAATAATTTAGGTGTTTTGAAACTATATAAAACAATATGAGTCAAAAACTTCCAATGATACGCTCAACACCTAAACCTAGCCAGCTCTCCCTCGTACTCTAAGAAAATATGGATAAATGGAATGGTGAATGATTTTATTACAACAATGAAGCCAATGTTTGTGATTATAAAAGAGAATAATTAAAGCGTATAATCGCCAGCACGTTCTGGCATCACATTATAGTAACAATGATTCCTTACATACACACATTTACAGTTCTTTTTAGAATTCATTCTTTATCGAAATGCATCTTCATCATAATAGTTTTGATTTTAATTATACCAAATAATATAAATTCGTTTAAAACACCAAGGCCAAGGAAATAATTTTGCAACATGATACAAAACTAAGACAATATTTCTGAGTATTACAATAACAGACTCGCATCCCCCTCCATAGTATTCGCAGGTCGATCGCTGCAGTGTATCACACTGAAGTATGATGCATCTCCATAACAAAGTAGGTATAATAACGTGATCATCGAATATCCATTGGTAATATGTATATCGCAAGGAAGACAAGACTAGATGAATCGATATTAAAATTTTTAATTTTAACACATACCTAATAATGTCTAGTTAGTAAAGCACACCGCCGCCAAACCGCGGGAGCTGCCAGAACCTGTGATCGTTTTAATGTCGGCGAAGGAATGTAAAATGCGAATCGATATCAGTCTTGAGGCGAGCGGGAGAGGCGCCGCGCTCGGCCCCCGTCGGCGCCGTGTCCGGTCTTCGCTGGCCTACACTATGACGGCACCCTTAATATTCTAATTCGCTTACTCTAAAGAAATAGAGTTTGTTGAGCCGCAACGTCGGTCGAGTTGAATATGGAGCACGGCGTTAAAAATATACATACGTACAGATAGGGGCAAACAACTTGAACGCAATTTCAGTAACAAGCCCTGTGCAGTAAGAATTATACATACTACTGCGCAAGATTCAATATTTTTTTTATATAACATCGAAACCGTTTACAATAATTCAGGTGATCAGATTAGAGAATGAAGGCTTCACTCTTTTATTTTAGAGTCACCCTACTAATTTGGTAGGAGCTGGAGGACGTTCTTTAATTTACTGTATCATGGCATGATATTGCATAATTTTACTGTTAGGATATAACAAGAGAGCAATATGCACGAAAATAGTTTCTAATTACCCTCGATTGTAGATGTGCATAGAAACTCAAATTGCATGTTTTGTTCTCTTATTATATTGTGACGGTAAAGTCGTACAACACAGTGCTACGCCACGGTAAATTATATAAACGTTTATACAGTCGGAGGGCTGTTGATGGTTTCGCTCAAGCGGTTTGCCGCGAATCGGAGGGCCGCGTCACACTACCGTAGGCCGAGCGAGGAGGATTCGTCGTCGCTGCACGCCGGCGGCGCCGAGGCGGCGAGGCAGAGGAGCGCGCAGCAGGCTGGGCGGCGGCGGCGGCGGCGGCGGCGGCGGCGGCGCGGCACCAGTCACAGGACGCAGGCGGCGAATACCGCCATGGCGCGTCAGGGCGGCGGCGCGAGCGGCGCGCGGTCGCGGTCGGGCGCGGGCCGCTCGGGCAGCGCGGGCGCCGCCTCGTCCGCGCCCGCGCCGCCCGCGCGCGACCGCATCACGTACGCGTACGTGCGGTACCGCTTCACCTGCCGCACACGACACGCACACGCACTCACACTCATGAACCAGATACTTTCATACTTATTTATGTACTAGAGGGAGACTGTACAAAAGTCGATTGCTTCGGTACCTCTGTCCCATTCGTGTTTCAACCGTGACGCAGTTATGTTTGCATGGCTGTGTTTCGGTTTGAAGGGTGGGATATGGCGTGAATTTACTGGGTACAGAAAAATAACATCTGAGTCCTCAGGAATGGAAACGCATGGGGGGTATCATAGGCGAAACAGTATACTCTGTTATGTCCATGGTACTGCTCATGTTTATAGGCGACAGTTACCACTTTCCATCAGGTGGGCCGTCAGCTTGTTTGCCATTCTAAGTTGTATAAAAAAAAAGTAGCATTACGAATAATTCAGGTAGGTAAGCAGTTTATTGTAGGTAAATGAAGAAAATAGGAAAAATTGATATTTCATTCATTACATCCTGGTTTTAATAATAAGCTCCTTGGTTAAGCTGGTTCCTTGTGAGAAAGAATTCTCAATAGTGTAAAATTATCCTTCATCAATTAGAATGAGGATCTCAAACATATTACAGGTAGTAAACGGAGATAGCTAAGGAATATTTCTCAAGTTTAATGGGGATCTTGTATTTAGTGAGAGACAATAAATGCTTGAAATTTGTTGGGCGAGGATGACCGACCTCATAGACGAGGTAGTGCTCCTTGTCGCGCGCGTGTGGCGAGTTGTCCCGGGCGTGCCGCAGCGCCGCCAGCTCCTCCTCCAGTCGGGCGCTGCGCTCCTCGTGCTCCGCTAGTTGTTCGCGCTGTGCACACGTATATATATATACTACTTACTACAGACATACTTTAATATAGAGACAAATAACTTTACCAATACTTCATGATTATTATGTTCCATAAGATGGGCTGTCAGCTTGTTTATTATTATAAGGTGTATAAGAAAGAAATTATTGTTCAGTAATTTCACATATAACATCGACTGTACAAGTCCAATTGTGTACGATTGTGATGAATTAGTTGCCGTTTGCAATTCATTTCGGAATTAAGATTTTTAGGGATTATTAAGTCAACTAGAGTTGGCTCAAGATATTTTACAGTGTGAATAATAGCAACAAATGTAAAATACTTTACATCCTAATTTATATTATATTCGAAAGATTTCATTAGTATTATGTAAGACAAGTATGTGAGAGGGCATACCATGGAGAGCTTGGTGTGCGTGCAGGGCAGCAGCGGCCGCTGGAACTTGCGCTGCGAGCCGACCGCGCCGGCCAGCGGCGGCGCCGAGTACGCCGCACATACGAAGTTGATAGTCTCCACCCACGAGCACAGCTCTTTGGAATCGCTGTCATTTAACATACGACACACACTTTACTTTAAATATTCATATAGTACTCTATTTTTAATTGAATTAAAAGTTTTAGTAAAACTATAACAAGAAGCTATGTGCATGACATGAGCATTTTGTTATACGAGTTTTACAGAGGCAAACAGTAATAAAAAAACTTTTACCAAATATCTCGTGATGTGAATGAATGGATTAATGAAAACTCTCTATTGTTTCCTTCAAAGAATGATACAAATTATAAATATTAACAATATGTACACAAACAAAATGTTTTCCACCTTAAACAAAGTTTATATTACAGAAGGTATAGATTGTTTATGTTAACATGACAAGACCCTTCTTTGTTCTTCAATGTATGTGACTATATACAGATTTGGTGCTCTGTTAGTGTTTGTGAGACAACACCTTCAGCAGTTGTCCGGCTAGAGGAGTATTATATTCTTAGATTAAAATTTGGTAAATACTTTTACTCACATTTTTTTAATTCTTTGGATTTTTGGAGGAGAGTACCATATTATTATAGTAAATTTAAAAAAAAAAATCAATAATTTAGATCAGGTAACATACTTTTTAAAGAGAAATATATAAAGAATAATTTCTAATAAATACAATAATAGATTAATTGGTGATTTAATAGATTTGCTTAGTGAGCATACGCTTACCTAGTTTGAAATAAATATTCAGCTTGGTCTGCAGTTTGCAATCTGAAGACGTGCTGTTTTTTTGTGTAGTCCGTTGCTTTCGTCGCTAGGGCGTGATGTATTCTAAAAAAAAAAACATTTACTATTATATAACTTCAGCTTATAAATCTAATAAAATCTAATTAAACCAGGTTGTCTGTAAGAGATTGCTTTTAGCGATAAGGCCGCCTTTTGTATATGCACATTCTGTATAAATACTCCTTGTATACATCTCTACTGTGTGCAATAAAGAGTTTATTATTATTATTAAAGCAGTATAAAATTAAAAAAAAAAATGTACTGCAAGAAAACAGATGTGCAGCATACTGGCAATGTTTTTTATTCTACTTTTTTTTTATTGGAAAAAAAGAAAAAATTATGCAGTCCATAAACATTTGTTCATATTATATACAACAATATGAACAATATTTAAAAATATTTTGATGTTTATTATTCAATGTGCCTAAATAGTAGAAAAAATTTGACATAATTAAATTCATAACCTTATTAAATTCACGGGAGAAAAGTGAAGATTACAGGCGGTTTAAAATGTAGATATTATTACCGTATCGCATTGTGTAGGTTATCCGACATCTGGTTCCGCCTGAAGCCATGCTCGTCCTTGTGTAGGAATAACACCAAGTCCCGAAGCGTGCAGTAGAACATTTTCCAGCCGCGCCGTCCGAATGGTGCTGTTGATAGCATAATACAAATATGTAATATTCATTGATATAAAAAAAATAGTTCAATAGTAATTAAAAAAAAAAAGAAGTTATTTTAGGAGTTGTTTGTTTCCATTGTTTCTGCCTACCCTAATGGGAGACAGGCGTGACAGATATGTATGTATGTATGTAAGATATGAGTTAAATATGTTTATAAAATATATGAAAGTCAGATATCATATCAAATTTCTAAAGAATTCATTGGTCCATTTAAAGACAAATGTCAGTGGTTGGCTGGAGATTAATATACAATTTGGTCGAATGACAATATTGTTATGATAAAAACTGACAATCAGGACTGCAGCTAATGTTGCGTGGAGAACATTTATTGACTTTATCACAGGTTGGACATTAGATTTTAAGTCTTCTTAAAATAATAATCTATCACTTGTATGTTTTACTTCATCATATGCATGTATATTGTTATGTATGTATAATTTCCATGGTACTGCTCATGTCTATAGGCGACGATTATCGCTTTCCATCAGGTGGGCCATCAGCTTGTTTGCCTTTCTAAGTTGTATAAAAAAAATGTTTAATACTGTTATTGTTACCTTTCCCGTGGGTGTCGTAAGAGGTGATTAAGGGAATTTAATGATCGAGGGATGTGTAGCAGCATCCCTTTTAAAACATTTCTAAAGCCTAACTGCGGTCGTCAATCCGTCTGCCAAGCGTGGCAACTACTGGCAAAATCCTTCAAAGGGGAGGTTTATTTTCAGCAGTGGACAGTTAAGGATTGATATGATGACGACGACTGTTTTTTTTTTTTTATACAACTTAGAATGGCAAACAATCTGACGGCCCACCTGATGGAAAGTGATAACCGTCGCCTATAGATATAAGCAGTACCAGACATAACAGAGTATACTGTTTCGCCCATGATACACCCTATGCGTTGCCATTCCTGAGGACTCATGTGTTATTCCTCTGTACCCTGTAAATTCACGCCAGATCCCACCCTTCAAACCGAAACACACTGTTGGTGTGTGATGGCTATGTTTGTGAAAGCATTTGTCATCGATCTAGTGTAGTGGGAGGTGTGCCGCGACTCACTCTTCTTGCCATTGGCGTCGACGCAGCACTTGCGCATGACGTAGCCCTTCTTGTACTCGACGGCGCGTGCCTGGTCGGGCACGTCCAGGAACGGGTTGGCACCAGGTCGTGCGCTGCCGCCGCCGCCGCCCGCCGTCGCCGCCGCCGCGCCTCCGCTCGCGTTCGTCTCCGTGCCGCCCGTCTCCGCGTCGCTGCAACGTCAACGTCATTATTGCTTTATTGAACTTATAGAAGTATGTCGTTGTTGTTTATACTAAATATAGAATATATACACTTATTCAATGACCATACAATCAAACTATGTTTAAGAATATCAATAGAATAGTATGGTTTAAAAAGTTATATTTGGATATGGACCTCCTCAAAAATATGTTTTTCTCTCTTTGTAGATTACGTGAATGATCAGTTATTCAAGATTCAGATCAGATTGTCAAGATATTACAATATAGCATTATTACCAATTTAAGATTTTTCTTAATTTTTTTTTTCTATATTTACACAAAATGGATAGTAAGGTATAAATAGCAAAAAAATTAAAACCGTATTATTAGTATATTCATTACAGAATTGTCACTAAAAATTAACTAGAAATTTATATTTAATTCAATTCAATTCAATTTATTCATAACAATATTACATTGTGTTGAATATGATAGGAGTTTTACATATAAACAATGTCAGATACAAGCAATTAATTAATAATAATAACGATTTCAGTAAAAAAAAAATTCTTAAAAACCAACTTCAATCAAGATTAGAACGAAACCAAGACGGTAATAAAATAACCATAAGAAATAATCTAGAATTATAAACATAAACAAACATAATACAAATGAACTTTTAAAGACGGTTGAATAATCATCAAAATCAATCCAGGGCATCCAATTGGCGTCATTTTACTTATTATACACAAACAAAATGCACTTTTTTTTTATACCACTTTGGTGGACTTCTTTCGAAGTTGGTTAAATAATTATCAAATCAGTCCAGAACTGGCTTTCACTTCGCATAACACGTACAAAAATAAATTGCAATAGAAGTTGTGAATGTTGCGCATACTAACAGCGCCCACTGTAGTGGCTGCGTGCGGATGGCGTGGTAGAGGTGTTTGAGCGTGTCACGCGGGAAGTTGTCGCCGTCGTTGAGGTCGGCCAGGTTGTCGATGAACTCCGCGCACGACATGCGGCGGAACGCGCCCGCGCCGCCGCCGTGCAGGTCCGTGTTTAACAGCATGATCGCACATGTCAGCGTGTGCACCGCATCTGTATTCACAGACACACACAACACTAATTATTGGAGGGACAAGGATTGTTAATAGTGAGATTCAAAAGACCAATTACTAGTAACATACTAGTAATGGGTCGACCTACACGCGGTTCGCCCTGGAAACTATCGCAGTTAATTTTTGATAAATTCATCACGATGGGCCAACCGAGCTGCTTCATTCTTATCTAACTAAAGCTAAGCAAAGCTTACTTAGCTTCGCTTAGCTAGCTTTGCATTATTTACAGTTTGCGTGTTGTAAGTAATGCAAATAAATTATCTATCTATTTATCATCCCTCAGTGGTGCCCCACCAGCGTATCCCGATAGCACACGCGGGGTGACCATTCCATTTACATCCATTAAAAAAATATTATTATTATTAAAATTTATTCCCATTGATTGACATGTTAGAAATATTTGGTAAGCTGACCGGTTAAAAATATCATATCACCAGTGTATTTTTTAGTTGATACAATAAGTGTAAAATAAATAAATAAATGTAAAATAGAATGAGTCAAATGCAGACACAGCAACTGCTATGAAGTTGAGCTGTAAAAAGGTTAAACATTAGTAGTTGAAAGAGGCTCGAAGTAGCGGCGCGGGGAGTGCAGCCACGAGCGAGGTCGGAGGAAGGTGTGAGTGTAGAGGACGCACCTTGCGAGTTGAAGGAGCCGGGGTTGCACTCGAGGTAGCGTCGCGAGAAGTGCACGAGCACGCGCTCGCGCTCCTGCGTCTCGCCGCTGAGCGCGAACCGCGCCAGGAACGAGCGCAGCGCCGCGTCCAGCGTCGCGCCGCCGAACGAGAAGTGCCGCACGTACTCCTCCGCCACCGCGCGCGAGAACTCGTTGCTGCCACGGCATACACACAGCACATTATTTCACTATCTTAATTAGTTCTTACGCATGCATTTCGCCTTTAGATTAATGTAGATTTAATATAAAAAAAAAAAAAAACAGTGTATAAATGGAAGTTAACTTGTTTTACTAACTACAACCTATTTTCGTAATAAAGGACACTATTCGCCAGTAGTGTCCTTTATTACGAAAATAGGGTTGTATCCCCAAGATTAGTCCTGCGAGCCGGATAATCATACATCATCTATCACAACTATTCCCTCAATTTTAACTTACAAATTCATAAAAAAAAAAAATATTATGAATGTTCATCCTTTCAAGAAACAAAGTATAAGACTGTTGTTATCATTTCAGAACATGCCTATCTAAGGTATGGTCTGTAATGATTTGCTTGATTATTTCATTAGATCTTCGTAATAAATACAGCTTAAGTATAAATCGAGTAAAAAGTATTAAATTAACTAACTTTTTACTCAAATGTCTGGAGACGTCGGACTTCTTAAAGCCGTCGAGGTGGTAGAGGCGTTTGGCGAGGCGCTCGGCGGACGGGATGTCGACGGCCTTGGGGCTGTAGTGGAACGAGTGCAGTGAGTCGCCGTCCGAGCCTTCGTCTGACCCACCGTCCGAACCGCTACCCAATTCCTATCACAGTATGTACACATATTAACTTTCATCTTGACTCTCTATTTAAAACCAAATCATAAGTAAAATAAATTGTACTTTAATAATTAACACTAAGGCTCTTTTTTTACTATTGTAACTTTTTGGAAAAACCCATAAAGAGTATATGTCTATCTGTATATTGTAGCATAGTGCAAGTGACAATTGATATTTGTTTATACTTTCTCAGAATGAAATGTTTTGTTGAATTCATATTTTTACGTTTTTTTATAACGTCTTGTGGTTATCTTGTGGTTACAAAAAATAAACATGCCAAATGATATTGCATTTTTTACATTGATCGAGTAGTACTACAGCACACGCATCTCAACAATATATAGTTATTGGGATATAAATATTGCTGCAAAAAATAAACTGACCTGGTATCCTTGATTCTCTGGTGAATTATGACCATTCTCCTTTCCGTTCTGTGCATAGTTACTATTATTGTTATTATTATTATTTACATTTTCATTAGTATTAGAGTTTTGTTTGTCTGGCCCTTTAACTTGTATAACAATTCTATAATCCGTGTTGTGATCACCGTTTAACGTGACATCACTGCCATGTTCGTTTGAGTATGTGGAGTTAGACTTGGCTCGTTTGTGGCAAGGTTCGGAGACGAGGATGGTTGAGTCTGAGTCTGAGGGGTCAGAGAGTTCCATACGAGGACAGTCTCGACCCGTCTCAAACATGTCGTCTTGATCTTGGTAGTCTGGACTAGATATGTTGGACACGGCTTCTGAGAGGCTCATGTCTCCTGAAAGGTTATATTTTTGTTTTTATCAGCAAGATCGTGATAAAAAAAAACTAATATTGAGACAACGATGTTTTTTAAGAGACTGATTAAAAAATGTTTGACCCCATTAGAGATATGTCAAAAGTAACATTCATTACAATTACAAAGATGAATATCAATAATTATATCTCTCAAATTGAGATTTTAGTATGAGATGTACTATTATAATATCGTCTTATATATAAAAATGTAGGTGTGGTAAACGCAACGTACCATTGAGTGGTCGGTGGGGGTGTGGCGGCGGGCGGTGCGGGGGGGTCGCCCGCGATGACATCACCGACGACGACACGGACGTGGGCGACGCGGGCGACGACGATCTGCTACGCACAAATACTTAGTTATTTCAAGCACTGTCATCTAGCTAACCTATATGTAAACATTTAGGAATCGAAGCAGATCCAAGGTACAGTGATGAAGTATCCGCTATTTGGAAACTGATTTTAGCTTTGTTACTTTAGATCAACCTCCACATGGTCTGCCTGGAGAATTCAGTGAAGCTAACTTCATCTTCAATTATAATCCATTACTGGTTTACGTCAACGTAAACCAATAAAGCAGGAAGATTTATATTTTCATAATAATCATGAATATATTTTCATAATTTCACAATAATTAAAAGTTTTTTTTTATTTCAGCCATTATCCACTGCTGAACATAAGCCTTTCCTATAAGGGCAGTTTTGCCAATAGTTGACATGCTTGGCAGGCGGGTTGGCAACCGCAGTTAGGCTTTTAATGTTTTAAGAGGGACGCTGCTGCCCATCCCTCGGCCACAAGTTCCTTTAGTCTCCTCTTATGACACTTACGAGAAGTAACAGGTAGCCTATTTTATGCTGGGACCCATACGGGAAAATCAAAAGTAATTTGATTCATTTTAGGTCTGGTCAAATAAATTGTTTCTTACATGATAATATTTTACTGGACCGAGAATGAACCGTGATTTTAGTCGGCATTATAGTCTGAAGCTAGCCTTAGATTATATATTGTGGTTATATAGTGTGAAGGGTCCCTTAATAAAAGCAGTGAGACGTGCCTCTGCGACATGCCGTCGGATATGGAGGTGGAGGTGGAGTTGGAGGTGGCGGCGGAGCCGTTGCACGCGCGTTCCGTCGCGCTCGACACCGGCGCGTTGTACGTCCACACGATCCTGCACAGCGCGGCTCTTTATACTTACTATTCTCAGTACTATTACTTACTACTGATATTATTTTTCATTTATTATACCACTAATAATTAAAGATTGTGTACACACTAAAAAAAAAACTTCAATTGTGACAAAATTATTATTTTTACTTGTACCTTTCCTGCACTAGATTACCCGCCAATTATTTTTTCTCTAACTACACTGGGTTGGCTGGAAGAGATCTCTTTTAGAGATAAGCCCTCCCTTGCTAACAATTTGTTAAACTAATCCCGTGTATCTATTGTTCAAGTGCAATAAAAAATATATAAATTCATTTATTTTGGTTTAAAAATTAAACTACCTGAACCAATTTGAATAAAATTCCTATGAGACCAATCTATACGTATATCTTTTCTGATAATAAAAAAATAGAATTTTCCAAATCAGTTTAGAATTGACAGTGTTATGAGGTAACAAACATAAAAAAGCATACCTAAATTGAGAACCTCTTTTTTAAGTCGGTTAAAAGCAAACATTTGCAGAAAAGCTTAGCTTAATAATTAGCTTGATAATTAGTAAAGTATATAAGGAACTTTTTGTATTGTACAATGTAAAATAACAATTTGAATTGTTCAATTTAGTTTGTCATCTGAAAGTATTTCTATTTCAATTAATGATTATGAAAACTAACTTCTTTTCTTCAAAGTTTCACCAAGTGGAATGTATTAATTCTAGTAATAATTCTACTAGTATTTCTTAGTTTTTAAATATGAAATTTAGTCACTCATATATACTTCAGCTGTATACAATATTTTAGTCCATCACGTAATGTAGCAGTCCCCGCTATAGCGAAGTGTGAGTGGAAGCAGGACGGGGAATATAGCAGCGTACTAAGTACAGGTACCTGTCCCGTTCGGCGTCCGAGTCAGAGCGCGGCGCGGGCGTGGCCGAGTCGGGCCGCGCGTCCAGCAACGTGTTCAGCGATGACGTCACGTCCTCCTCCATGTCCACCGCCACGGCGCTCAGCGACGACTCCTTCTGAAACTTAATCCTCTCATGTAGCAGCCGTGACTATGGCAACCAAAAGACTCCACTAGCCACATGAACGCCTAGTGTAAGTTGTACAAATATTCATATACAACGTTCATGCTCACTTTTTTACTTTATCCGAGCAGTAAGTACTTTATATTATTCTCAATTTCGTGTATAATATAGTATATGTTATATATGTGTAAATATATTTGTTATTTATATATTTATCCGTTTATATATGTAATTTTAGTATGTATTTATATCAATAATTACTACTACTGCATTCGAGTATTCTGACACTTCCCTATGGTTGACTGGGAGAGAATGCTTTTAGCATTAAGTTCGCTATGTACACATATGTGTACTAATGAATAAAAAAGAAAAAAAGAAATATTTAGGTCCAATCCACGTTAGTATAATATAGGGTGAATATGATTAGAATTTACCAGACCGATGGCGAAACTAAACAGACTAAATATAGTATGGATCCGACCTTTAATCAGTTACCAAACGCAGTCTTAGCGTTTATATTTACATTGATATATTGTATGTAAATTTAAAGTTATAAAACTATTTGATAAACTATCATACGGAGAAAAAGGGATTGCTTATAATGGGGTCTAACTGACCCATTGCTATCAATACACACTATCAGGTCGACTTACACGCGGTTCTCCCTGGGAACCATTGTAGTTAATTCTAGTGAAATTCGTCACGATGGACTAACTAACCTGTTTTCATTGTCATCTATCATCACTCACTGGTGCCCCGACAACGTATACCGATAGCGCAGGCGAGGTTACCATTCCATTATCACCCATTAAAAAAACCTCTATCATACAGTTTCGGGAACTTCGAGTTTAACACGTTCACGCCGGGGCCGACTTTAATGTTTTTTGCTGCGAGGCGGCACTCTAATTGATGCTAATAGCACAATCGAATACGTACCACCGGTGGTATGCGCCGCCAGAAAAGACAATTTAGTGCGGGCCACCGGTGGTACGCGTCGCCAGATAAGGCAATCTAGTGCGTACCGACGGTGGTACGCACCGTCCAATGAGACAGTCTAACGCAGGCCAACGGTGGCCCGCGCCGGCGTGTACGTGTTAAGTAAAAACAGTTTTCAATACAAATTATTGATATAAAAGCGAACGCGATACAAAAAAATATAAGAAAAACAAATAAGTAATAGGCACGTACCTGTAAATGGTCTTCAGAGCGCGAGGTACGCACGGTGTGCGGCGGCCGCGCAGACGATATCTCGCCCGTGGACGCGCCGCCGCCCGCCGGCGACGCGGGCTGCGATATAAACCTGGGAAATTGATATAAATAAATAAAATATAAAGAATAATATTCGTAACAAATAAATGTATTTAACAAAATATTTTCGAACAAAAACAGGATATTGTTAAGTACAATTTATAAAGCGATTAAGGAAATTGAAGTGTCGATTTACAGCTATTTAAAGTTTCCATTTTTCAAATGTATATTTGTGTATATGTAAACATGAATTTATAATACTAAGATACTTTAATTTCCTATATTGTGTCGAGTACTTAGGGTAGATTTTCTAAAATTGCCATGGATGCATGCAGATATAGCATATTTTTGCCAGGATGAAGACGCAGGCAACGGCAAGTAATGTAAAAAAAACAAAAAAGACAAAAAAAAGGATATCGTAAAAATAAACTATTTCATTGTTAAGCAAAATAAAAAATATTGCACACTTATATGATTTATATGCCAATAAAAATTGATTTAGATTAACAGTAAGCGCAAAGAACGATAATCAGTCCCTCTGGACAAGTGGACAAACTATTCTTTTAATAGAATCGTTAACGTTAACGAGTCCATGAGATAGAATAAGACGGCGACGTGCGCTGTCTTGTTCTTTCTCTCTCTCTCTCTCTCATGTGAGCGCTGAACGAAGCGATTCTATTGATAGATTCGTTTGTATTTTGTCTAAAGGGGCTGGCCAGGGAGGTTTGGACCAAAAAGGTAAGAACAACATACAAAACTGTTAGCACATGCGGTCGCGCAACGAAAGAACGGAAAACATATAATTAAACATTGAAGTTTTTTTATTATGGATAAAAATGGAACGGTAACTCTGCCAGCACTATCAGTAGACGCTGGCTGGGCACCAGTAAGAGATGATAGGTGAGAATAAAATCAGGTTAAAAGGCCCATCATGACGAATTCCACAAGAATTAATCACGACGGTTTCAGGGGAATCGCATGGAGGTCGACCTGACAGGGTATATTGCTAATAATGGGAGTGTTAGACAGCATTATTAACATTCCCCTTTCCCCCTGGAGTAGAGTGGGGTGGGGTGGGGTGAGTAGGGTGGGGCGGGTCGGCCTTGTCCACCTGAAGGCGATGGGCGAGCGCGCGGCGTGCAGGGCGGCGTGGCCGAGGCCGGTGTCGGGCGACGAGTTGTGCCGCTGCGCGAGTTCCGCGCGCCCGCACGCGCGGCTCTCGCACGGCGACGCCGGCGTCGAGTTGTATCTAGCACACGATATACATTTACTCGACTATGAAATACAAACGCCAGCGCCGTATCGAGCCTATCCTCGGTCGCTGATCACCCGCGACGGACCGCCAATACATCAAGGTGTTAATCTCGGTCACAGTATATGCGAAAGATCGGTCTTAAAACTGACGTTGCGCTGTAAAACGCCCGCGTTCTATCACTGTTCAGTCGTCCGCGCGCCGAATTGCGGTCGACGGAAGATCGGCAATTTTTTTAATGTTTTTTTTTAAGCAATTTGGAATGACAAACAAGCTGATGGTTCACCTGATGGAAAGTGGTATTTTATGATATGATGCGTTACACATGGCGGAGGATCCGCGTAGACTGCTCGCATAAGTATTCATGCTATCAAAAATACGCTAATGGCGGCTACTACGTTTGGCCGCCAAAATATCCAAATGAAAATATGCTTGTATGTGGCGCTAACCAAATGAGAATAAGGATGGTCTACTACGAGTATTATGTATGTATAGCCGAGGATTACATTCCTTAGAACGTATGTCATCATATAACAGCTCAGAGTGTTAACTTAGATTTACCATTGCGATAATATGTGCGGAGATAATTTACATTTAAATCTTATTTGTTCACAGAGGATCGTTTCAGATCTTCAGACATAAATACACATTTATTAACGTAAATGATAGTAGTTTTTTCTAAGTAGCAAAGTAAATCTGTATTAAATGTATTAAATGGATACTCGGAGACATGATTTTTTTTACACTGTGTAGCCGATATAGCTTAATGCTTAAATTTATTGAGTAGGTTATTGTTAGATTCATGTTAATAATACGTGAGATAAGTGGGAGAGAGTGATATAAACTACATGATGAGTCTGTAAAATAAATATAGCAGCAATAAACTATGAGAAACATGTGAAATGGAGATATGGTAACTCCGCCTACGCTATCAGTACAGACAGTAAATATCTGGGGGCACAAACCAGAACACCGAAAACTGGATCAATTTAGAAAAGATCATATCCTATATTGGCTTAACTGAGAATGGAATCTGGGGCTTCATAATGGTTATCAATGTACTTAAGTTTGTCCTTTATTGTGTCATTGAATTGGTATGGTACCAATATGATAGGCGAGGATAACGTTAAGCCCGTCGTGAGTTATTCACTAGGGTTTAACCACAGTAATTTTCGTTAGATCGATCTATCTCCTTTCGAATCCATTCCTTAATTTATCAAACTGCAGACGTCGTAGGAGTCTAAATTTTTTATAATTTTTCGATCCATATTTATTTGGGAAAAATTGTTCGTTGACTGAAAAAAAACGTCCCTTTCGTCTACACCCTGCACGATGGAGCTGTACTTATAATTCTCACCTGTGATAGTGCGTGCGATGTGTGGGCGCATGGTGGTTGTGGTGGGGGTGTTCAACGCGCGACAGATTGAGCATGAGATCGCCGGTCATCATGTAGGCCTCGAACTTGGGCTGTGTAGTGCGCGGTCGCCGCGGCGCCCGTTCGTCGGTCAGCAGCGCCTCGCAGCTGTCGCCGGACTGCACGCCCGAGCCGTTGCTTGACGAGTTGCTCGATGAGTTGCTGTTGCTATTCGAGTTACTCGACGGCGGGGAACTTGGTCTGTTATTTTAAAATAACACGTAATTACAAAATAATAATTCGATCAAGAATATTACGATGTTAAAATACATGTTCGATTTCCCCGGGACATTATCGGTCGAGACTGTTACACTATACAGTGTAGACTACCACACTTGTTTAAATTGTGAAAGTGTTATTATCACAATTATTTTTATCGACTTTATTTATATGTTAACGTTTCGTACTCGATAGGAGTCCTCATTCTCGCACATGATTGTGTCGTCGATAAAAATAAACAATAATTAATAATAAAAATAAATAAATAATTAACAAAACGGATATAAATAATTATAATATAGTGTGATACAAAATAATTATTGTTCAACAATAGTGTAATTATTTCTTATATTCAGTTTTTACTTACAGTGTAAGTAGTGGAGTTTATTTACAATATAATTATTTAAGTGTTTTAATATTAAAATATAGAGCGGCAATTATGTGCCTTTCTAATGTTGTATTAAAATTAATTCCATTAAAATAAATTACACACGGTTGGTTGGTTCCCTAGCACACGGTTGGTTGGTTCCATTGTGTCGCGCAAAGTTCGATATTCGTAAACATATAACTTTTGGAAAAGCTTTAAATACATGTTAAATAATATTTATATAGTTACTCACGAAGCTAACTAAAACGGAAAATTCGACTTGAAAATGTACCTTAATACTGGGATCCGAGCGAACGTGACTGTATGCACGTGGAGGGGAAAATAATCGATGTGTTTACATAGGCGACGCCCTTGATAAAGATGAATAAGACACCTACACATTTCAGTATAGATTACCCCAATGTTCTTGGAACGAACGAATAAAGCAAACCACCGTGGCTTTAATGCACATCACTAATTACGAGCGAACCCCTGCACGTTGCGTGATGGAAGAGAAAGGGGGCGACGCGCCGAGAGCCCAGTCGCGACACATATGGCTCTAGTAAACGGTTATCGTTTTCGGAAATCAACTGTCAAACGGCGGAGGGTTGGTTTCCGATTGTATCTGAAATGCTCAGTTATAATTAAATATGCCGTATCGAACCAGATAGTATCTAATTTTATTACAACACAAAAGGACTGGAGGAAACTTAACAATATTCTCAGCCAGGGAAAAGGAAAGGGATGCGGGGAAATGAGTTTTTTATTACAGAGTTGATAGTATTCGAGGGGCGTAAGTTATTTACATACAAATATCAGAGCGATTCATTGGTAAACACTAACCGCGAGCTAAATTGGAAAAGGGTGGTTCGACACAATAAAACTGCCAATTAATACTTTACGGCAACGAAGTACTTTAGGGGTTTAATGTTAGGTATTTGTGATAAAATACGATACTGTGTAAACAATGATTACGTTCAAGTGATCGGTAAATAAGATTATATCAGTAGGCATTATTCAATGGATAGCTAAGTAAACAGTGCTCCATATGTTTGGTACACTCACTTGTCGTGGTTGACGCGTGGCAAGCTGGACCGGCGCTCCGCTGCAGCAGATAGGTACCGCCTTACGTTCGCTTTGATCTGTGGGTCTGCAATGTTGATACATTTGTCACATATATCTCATCACATTTACAATTTAATTTACTAATGTACCATATAATGTTGAACAAAGTTTGTGCAAAACACTACACAGGATCAATTTCTACACCTTACATAGTGCGATATTAGATTATTAAAGGGAACAAAGCCACTGTGAACGAGGGTTATCCCAGCCCTGATCCCGAGAGCCACCTATAAAATTACACCGCGTATCGCAATTCTTATTTGTGGCGGCTTACTTCGCAAACTCGACCAAACCACTCGGGGATAAACGAATTTTATTACTTGCAGGCAGCCGGCACGCCACACTCCTATCCCGAATGTCATAGCTCAACCAAATATCTGATATGTAGCCCTAGGTATCTCATAAATTCAGTTTAAAATAGGACTCACCCTTTTTCAGTCTTAAAGTGACGGGATCCGATGAAAGTCGTAAGCATTTTAAAACTGGAACAATCAATCACAATAATTGATAAGAAAATTGTCATTGTATACAAATTAAGTACAATTATTGCTACTCGTATTATTATTGGAACGTTCATCGACTACGCAACTAAAGTGCGAAGGACCCGAACGGCATCCAATCATTTGTATATTTTTGTGTAGATAGCATCTAGATTGCACGTTGTCGGAAATCAATTTTGGCATCGGCAATAAAGAGGTTATTTTCTGATTGTAAAGCTGTAACCAGACTTGTACAAGTGTGAAGAGTGAATTGCGAGGTTGCGTGTCGGCAAGGAACATTTTTATTCCTACGTGTCGAGCTCGGGGCGGCTGTAACGCGATCATTGAATTAGTGTTCATAACGTCAGATAGCGGTCGAACTTGATGTTTTAATAGCCGAATATTATTCTCTACTCTACATTGTTCAAGAGGTTAACTATTTAAATACCTACCTAATTCGCGTACATGCATATTATTTCGAGTCACAGTGGCTGTTCATTATAATATTACTCAGATGACCTAATTTAAGATGTTAACGTTACGTGCATTTGAGTACTTTTAGTGCTTCATATAAAAACATCTTAGATAAATAAATAGCATATGGGTGATAAAATGGCAAATTCTTTACCTTCTCGGGTAGTGAACCGGTTTACATCAGTCCCATTGACCTTGAGCAATACGTCTCCCGCCTCTACCTGCAATTGAACACACGCATTCATATTGTTTATTTACTTGATATCAGATTGCATTCGCTACTTATGAAGTTATTAATGATATAACAGATTCTGTTAAAGAAGGAAGATAGCCAAGGACGGCGTGTCGTAAACAGTAAAGGTTTTCAAAAATTATAAGCCGGTCACGTCTGCAGTAAATACACATTTGGCATTGATGGTGTGCTTAGTTATTTGTGAAAATATGCTGTAGTGAGGCAAATAGCAACACAATATTATATTGTTAATCAGGTAGAGTTACACACCGCATTATAACAGATTATTTATTTAAGTCGTGGTTGATAGGCAAGTGTCTAGTACACGTATATTAATTTGTAGTTATATTAACTTGTATACGAATATAATTACCACATAAAATTAATTATATTTGCACTTATTACCCAATTACTAAATGGATACCTTAACACACTAGAATATTTTTGTTCGAGTCCAATTAAACGAGGTTTCGATTTGTCATTGGTTCCGTCTTATTAAGATCAATAATAGTCTATTAAACAAAGTAGCTCGACTACACAAAACGTACATGAACCTAGTGTATGAAGTCCGCTAAGTGCTTTTTCTGTTTTTACACTATCGCGGTCACCAGCCAGTGAATACAGTTTAATTTTTAATTCGATGAATGTTTGCACACGAGTCACGAGCCTTGGCGCTGCCAAAATATTAAACGCCACAGTAGTCCGTTGCAGGAAAATAGCCGCCGTTGGCGATAATTTCACGGACACCACTAACACTAATCAGTATTACTACATCCTCGCACTGCAGTCTATGATTCACTGAGGCACGTTCTGATACGTACAACTGGTTTTTGAAAAATACCACACTCGACTCGTTACTAAGTATCAGCTACAGGTACGAGTACTTGACAACAGTCACTTGTGTAATACGAGTCCACACATGTATTCTGTGGGAATCCACAAATGTAGACGTTGTAAATAATATATGACGTCGTCCAAACCACAAAATTAAATACAAAAGTCAATTCATTTACAAACTATTGGTGAGCTATAGGCGAGTGCGGTGGATACGAGCGACCGCCTGCTACTGTCAACTTGTTATCACAGGAGGGACCGCTAATGGATTGAGCTTAGGAGATAAATTAGATCAAACCCCGACAGAAGGGCGCAGCGGAAATATGAATTAGTCGGTTGCGGCCCACTTATTGATGTGGGTTTATCATTTATTAGGCTTCCCGATCGAAAATACTTAGAATTAATTTGCCTTACTATTAGTACAGAGCTTTTACTTTAAACGAGGATGAATTTATGTGATTTTTTTGTCAATCAGCCTTCTCTTAAACCAGGCCATTGATGATTGAACATACAAATTACCTAATCAATCTGGGTAAGAATTGAACACGGTCATCATCTATGGGAAGTAACTTTGCCACATTGCTGTTGTTTTTTTTTCTGTTGTTTTGTTGTGTTGTAGTCGTCGTAATATAAGAAGTGTTCAGAATTAATTCTGTCTTTTGCTTTTATGATTTCACGATTTACACACAAACCTTTTTGGCGACACTTTACACTTTACTCACAACCCTTGTACGTTTTATAGAGGTCGTAAGTGTCATATTATAATTCATACCTTTAGCTATTAACCGCGCATATCATAGCGTCGCACATGCGTTATATTGTATAATTATATAACGGTTGTAGTATGTTGTAGTAAAAAGGCTATTTCACATGAAATAATTCTTACTAATATTATAAATGTGAAAGTGATTTTTACCTCTTGACGTTTTAACGGGTTAATCAATCACTATGAAATTTGGTATATAGATACTATATGGTATGAAGAAAGATATATACTACTTCTTATTCCAATCAGTGAAGATATTCCGGTTACACGGATAGAGTCGCGAGTAAAATATGTTTTAGATACTTCGTCTAATGCTGGTGTTTCCCTTATATTTAAATGGTTTTTCGTTCGATATTATTTATTATTATATAATGTAAAATGTATATGTATAATATAGGTAATATAAGTATTATTGTTATTTTTGAATTACTGTTTTAATTTAATAATATTCATTACATTGCACTGTCAATTACATTTTATATTATCCCTGTCTATGGTCGACTGGTAGATAACACAATATGGTTTACCACCATTTACACTTTATAGGTATATTAAAGTTTAATGAATAAATAAATTATAAGCCGTGTAGTCCCGGCATAGAATAGGCCACCCCGTCCTTTCTCGTTGGTTTCGTAAGAGGCGACTAAGGGAGGGCAAGGGATAGGCAGCTGGGTCCCTCTTAAAACATCTCCAAAGCCTAACTGCGGTTGTCAATCCGCCTGCCAACCATGGCAACTACTGGCAAAAACCCCCAAGGGAGAGGCTTATGTTTAGCAGTGGACAGTTAAAGGCTGATATGATATTGATATGACGAAATAAATAAAAACTAGTAATTTATAAATTGCAATTGTATACTTATGCCTGCAAAATAGTTTATAGCAACGCAATGTAACTATCGTAATACTCATAATGGGTACTATAAATAACTACTACTCGTATTTCATGTAATCTATTTTTTATGGTTTTGGTATGCCTTTTTATCAAAGTAATATTTTTTTTTATACAACTTAGAATGGCAAACAAACTGACGGCCCACCTGATGAAAAGCGGTAACCGTCGCCTATAGCCATGAGCAGTACCATGGACAACAGAGTATACTGTTTCGCCCATGATACCCCCAGTGCGTTGCTATTCCTAAGGACTCAGGTATTATTCCTCTTTACTCAGTAAATGCACGCCATATCCCACCCTTCAAACTGAAACACAGCCATGCAAACACAACTGCTTCACGGTTGAAACACGAATGGGACAGAGGTACCCAAGCAATCGACTTTTGTACAAAGTCTCCCTCTGGTGGTAATAGTAAAATACATAGAATGGAAAATACTTTTGTCTTCCAATATTATTTTTCTTAAATGTACATTACCAATTTCGAAAAATGGACACACTATCATCAGTTACTGAACATGTCAAAGTTTTCAATTTTGTAATGAACACATTATGTCCTTTATTATTGTTTAATATGTGTATACCGTAAGAGCAGAGTATAGGTACTAATCTAATAAATTCTAACGGACGCCTCACTTTCTTAATTGCAATTAACTAAATTGAAGAAATACGCACATATAACGATTGAGTCTGATACATAAATAACTGGCTCGTGTCGGCGTATTAATTGTTGATATGTGAAACTGAGACTTTTGAAGATGGTTACTTGCAATATAAGGCGGCAGTGGCTTGAGTAGATGTCACCATATTTTGTTCACAATGCAATAATCAATACCTCGAAAACTCAATAAGGTTTTTCGGAGAAAATAAATATAAATATTATGGTATTTGATTTAGGATAGTAACTTAACACTTTCTGATAATAGGATCGATTCTGACGAGTCATTTCTCTAAAACCCATTTCTAAAATTAAAATTTCAAATTGATATCACAGCGAAATCTATGGATCAATATAAACATCATTTTCTAATACTTTTAAGTCAAAATCATTGTAAATGATGGACCATAAAATAATAACGCGAAATTATTAAAGTAAAATATAAGGTTAAGAGATAGGTTTAGACAATGACACCTCAGAATCGGCTCTAAAGACAATATTAATTAGTTCAATTACTTTTTTATAAAACTATGGTGGCAAACAAGCATACTGCCTGTCTAATGGTGAACGGAGTTACCGTAGGCTATGAACATCTGTAACACCAGGGATGTCACGTGCGTTATCGACCCTAAAGAAATCTTAATACGCTCTTTTTGGGGAACTCCATGCTGTAGTCTAATTAGTCTAGTAGTAAAAACTAAAAATGATGATAGAATAATGGATTATTATAAAGCAAACAACTATAAAGAAAATACGCCATCTAATGTCGACACTATTTTGTCGCTAAAGAATCAATCGCCCACGTAAAACCATGGCCACCCAATATGCATAAATCCTTGGAACTGTGCGCTTTTGGGCGGAGCGGGTTTGACTATGTTAACATTGTTAACCATGACCCTACATGTACAGCGGCCCTTTTCCGAAGTTGAGTGCAGACAAATGAGTTCTTTTTATATTATAGTAGCTGTATACCGCAGCTTCGGCCACCTTAATTAGTACATAAAGTATGTGCTAAGCTAGAAATAGTTGTTTGGTGTACGGATAGGTTATATCCGTGCCAACCTGGCCCTCTAGACAAGTGGCAAGCGAATTCGTCGATGGAATCGACATCGCTTACGAGTCCGTGAGTTAGAATGAGACATCCAATGTTGTTATCTCATTGTATCTCACGGACTCGCTAGCGATGTCGATTCCATCGACGAACTCGCTTGTCAGTTGTCTAGAAAGCCAGGTCCTCTTGTTAGCAATGAGGATTCCATCATTAACAATGTTTTCATTACAACGTATAAAGCTTACATACATGATGACGCCTATGGCATTCCATGGGTCCTAACGTGTATGCTGTGATCTCATGGTACTGTTCATGTCTATAGGTAACCGGTTACCATTTTCCATTAGGTAGGCTGTAGGCTTGTTTGTATTCTAAGTATAATAAAAAAAATAAGGCGCCACATCGTGGTACGGCTTGGCGCCAGTCAGCTACGCGCGCATCCACCCACTACGAACCACCTACACGATTTTAGAGCACTTTCTTCTTCATTTAGATTTATTTCAGGATCTTGTCCAAGGCCAACGTCTAAATTATTATATATCTATCGTAATACAGTTCATCTCTGACATTACGTCATGAGCTGCATGTTGGATGAAACTCGATCACGGTAATTCAACATTTCACTTGTGAAAAATTTCTTCTCTTATTGATGTGTTATTTCAAGAGGAATAGAAATAGACATGAATATTCCTTTAAAATAATATTTTAATAATTTGAAATATTTTTCTTGATGAGACTGAATCTAATGGTTTAATAATTTATGTTCATATTTTATGTTTTAATTGTGTGTTTTTTTTTACAAATATGTAACCGGTTTTGTTGTAATTGAAGTCGGTTTTTTTTTATTGACATACATAATTACTTTGTAAATGCATATTATATATAGAACGCAACAATATAAATAGGCATACCTACTCATGAACAAAAATGATTGTATTGTGCAGGGATCTAATACGCAACCATCGGGCGATGGGGCAGAGTGTTAATCCGCTGCGCCGCCAAGGACGTCATAAGCTAAATAAAGCAGTTGTGTTTGCATGGCTGTGTTTCGGTTTGAAGGGTAGGGTATGGCAGTGAAATTACAGAGTACAGAGGTATAACACCGTCCTCAGGAATGGCAACGCATGGGGGTATCATGGGTGAAACAGTATACTCTGTTATGTTCATGGTACTGCTCACGTTTATAGGCGATGGTTACCACTTTCCATCAGATGGGCCGTCAGCTTGTTTGCCATTCTAAGTTGCATTAAAAAAAAAAGCTTTAAAAGCGTTCCCATACAATTACTTTTTTATTCTTCTTCTAAGAAATGGAAGAACTTTCCTATTACATCGTCATGGTAAACTCGAACCGTTCTATAATAAAATAGTTCATTAGGGTACTATAGTTTAATATTCGTGTTTCTGCAGTGAAGCAGTTATGTTTACCGTGGCTGTGTTTCGATTTCAAGGGTTTTTTTATGGGTGATAATGGTATGGTAACCTCGCCTGCGCTAACAGGATACGCTGGCGGAGCACCAGTGAAGGGTGATCGATGAGAATGAAAACAGGCCAGTTAGCCCATCATGATGAATTCATCAGGAATTAACCATTGGTTTCCAGGGGGAACCACGAGGAGGTCGACTTGGTTTGGTATATTACTAGCAATGGGATTTTTAGTCTCCATTATTAATAATCCCTTTCTCCCCGATTTCAAGGGTAAGATATGGCAGCGAAATTACAAAGTACAAAGGCATAACACTTTAGTCCTCAGGAATGGCAGCGCATGAAGGATATCATGGGCAACATAGTATACTCTGTTATATTTATAGTTCTGTGCATGTTTATAGGTGACTATTAAAGATTTGGTTTCATTCCTTCTCACGGTCTGTTAAGTATCAGTTATTTCTATTATTTTTTAATTTAGATAATTAGGTATATTACGAGTATAATATTCAATTGAAGGAAAATGTAAGGAAACCAGTTGAGTAGTAAATTAAATTTTGATATGTTATAAAGGAAACGGAAAATATTTGCAATTTCCAATAAGTAGGCGTCTTTATTAGGCAATTAATGGATATTATTACTTATATCCAGCCGAATATTTGTACGAGTGCCAGGCAGGTCGTATAGCGATCTAAAGCAACCTTCAATTCTACGAGTGTCAACAGTGACTCATAAATTACAATTGCTACGAGGTAATATTAATATTTTGTTTTTATAAATAGAGCTGACGTACAACTTGCCAATGGCAGATAAAATGATTCGATGTTTAGCAAACAAGTAAATTTTGCTCCGCAAAATAGCGAATTCCTACGAATATTATAAGCTAGCTGTTATCCGCGGCGTCGTCCGTAGACGTATCGTGATTTTGAATCCTATTAATATAATAAAACCGACTAAATTAAAAATTTGCATTCTTTCCCAAAATAAAAAATTTATAAAAGTGTACAAGTAGTTGATAAATTTTATTAAGACAATTTTTAATAATAATATCTTATTACAATATTTTAAATATTCTGTAACATTAAATTCAAGTATTTTTAACTCTCGATACAAAAAAAGGACGTAGTTTTATAATTTTGAAGCTGTTCATGGTATCGTAGCTCTCAAAGAATAGACTATTTTTTTTTTTATTTATTTATATTAAGCACATACAAATTTGTAACACAATGTTCATAAAGTATAACAAACTAAACGTATAAATAAGTAATTCCAAAGCAATCATTGTTTTAAAGTAATTTTATTCCATTGATGCATCCACCCTGGATTTATAGAAACGGCTCTTGCTATGTAAGTCAGACCAAGCTTAATATTTAAATATCCAAGGCACTACATGAAGTATATACAAGGTAGATCATGCAGTTCAGGTTAAAAAAAAATTGTTAACATATTGGAGTCAAACTGGATAATCGTATGAACACAGAGATGCCATTTTCAGAAAGTTGAAATAAAATCAGAATATCAGTCTGAGGGGAATTAAAATTTCTACCTACTTGGGTGGACTGTCTGGTCTAGTGAATTATTAGTGACGCACTAAATAGCATTAAATGTGCGTGGGACACGACTCCTATTAATTTGTTCATTACTCTAATATCATTAAAGTTTATATTCCAGCACACTGACATACATTGGATAATTCAACAGTTCACGGTTAAATTGTGAATGAGTGAAATAACATGTTTTATGTAAACTTTACAATACAAACAAACAAAGAATACGTAATGACCAGATGCACCGTTCGCAATGATCCGTCATCACCGTCAACGTAGCATGCATTCTGTTGCGTGGTGCGAAGTATAGAATGAACGTGATCTAAGAGTAATTATAATCGACACATGAAGCGAAAGTAGGTGGTTACATAGCGATCGATCCCTAATTGGAGCCTTGGAGCTAACAAACCTATTTGTGAAAACTAATTTTATGCCTTTTCCACGAGGTCTGCATATGGATATTTATAATAATCTTTATAGTATAATTCAGTTTATAATGCGTGCCCTAATTATTTTAGGTCGACCCAAGATAAATTGAATTTATGAGCATATTATACACGCTCTCATCTCCATAAACCAGAATTATATGGAAGAAGCTCATACTTTAGTCGTTGCTAATATTAAAAGTTGTTAATATACTTCTTGAGAAGAAATTGATGTAGTAAATTATTATTTATTCACAACGTGCAATTAGCGCATGAATGAATGCATGAATATGCGTGAAGCGAAAGTGACTAAGCCAAGATAAAGGTAAGTCATAACACTATATACATGTTAAATGTTCTATAATATGTTATAATAGCACACAGTTATAATAGCTGCTACAAAATTTAAGCATAATTTTAAACAAATTCCTAAAAGAACTAATGCCACCTGAATTTCATTTTTAATCGACAGGATTTATTCCCTTGTAAATTTCATAGTGTGCATGAGTTTTCCTCCACAAAGAAAAACAATGCAACAAAATGCTACCTTGCGTTGTAGTTGCAAAGCAAAAATAAATGTTTTTGCATTTTTAATTTAAGTTTTTTCAATGTGATTCATCTATGAAACAACTCTTTGTTTACAAATACACTATTTTCAAATAGTTCAATATTAAAAGTAGTGTATAAAATAAAACCACTAATTCCAACATGTAAATGGGATGCAAAACCTGTAGTTTTTGTGAAAATTTTGATGCTGACTAGGATATGAGTTCAGAACACTGGTTTCATTATGAAATTAATGATCTGTCAAGATTGATAACACATAAGAGGTGTAGTGGAGGGTAAAGTATATTCTGTATCATACAAGATGTTGTTTAAGTCTATAGGTGACAGTTAACAGTTTTTCGAATTATAAAGTTCTAGTTAAATTTTATTTTTAAATTATTTGCTTTGCTTCTTAATATAGTTTCATCAGTGATAAAATTGTTACAGGAGAGTTGATGTTTTGGTTGAATTGGTATGTTTTTCTTTTTGAAGATTAATCTATCACAATTGTTAGTAAATTAGCTTCAAAGTCTACAATAAAAAAAATATGTAAAGATTTATAATAGACCAGAACAATGTGAATGAAAAGTCATAACAAATATGTAAAACAAACATTATTATTATTACTTATATGTATATATATATATATATATATATATATATATATATATATAAGCAACACACAACAGTCCAAATGAAAGGTTAGGCGCAGAAAAGAGAGTTCAATTTACATATATATAACCAACAGTTTTCATTGTTTCTGCCTACCATAATAAGTGACATATGTATGTATTTTCCATGTATCCCATAATGGTACATCCTTGACTATGTACCATTAGATAGGACGGTAAATAACTTTATTTGTGCAAATACAAAGTAAATTATGTACTTTATTGTTATAGGTTCATTTGTCAGACCTTGACTTTGACCACAATGTGATTGATCAAATCAAAGTATTTCTTGCCAAAGGCAGAATTTAATTTTTATGAAAAATAGATTTTATTTCCATAAAAAATACATTTTAAACAAAATGTATGAAACCACTATAATACTAACAGTAAAAAAAAAAGAGTTTATAAGATTTATTAAGTTATTCTTACTTTCTAAGTTAGAAAATATTGTAGTATCTATACTTTCTTGGGAGTGTTCATAATTTAATAGGGTTTACATATTTTTATCTATATCTTTTCATACATTTTTATAAAAATCTGAACTGATTTTTTTATAACAATTGATACTTAACAGAAAATTTGGTATTGACATCTTTGTTTTCATAGGTACTTCACATGTAGATATTCAATTTTTTACTATTACTTAACATGTTCATTTTATTACTCAATCTTAGTTTTGTTGTTGTAAACATATTTCTATATACATGTTTTTGTATTATAGAACTTAGTAATTCTATTAGAATTAAATTACGAAGTAATATAGAACATGTTTAAACTAAGCATAAATGGTAAAAAATATTGTTGAAATTTATTTATTAAAAAAAAATTAGTACTGAAGTAATGAAACCAATCTTGTGTGGGTTAGTATAGATTATGTTGTAAGCAAAATTGCCTTTAATGATTGATGGATGGTTCAGCGGATGTGGAGTGGATGGTTCAAAACTAATATCTATATAAATAATATTCATATACATTCAGTAGCTTAACATCTGTGTCCATAACAATAATAAAGATGAAGATATAAGCATGCAAAAATAATAATACTAATAAATATTTACCATACAAACAGGAACATTTACAGTGCAACAAAGTTTATAATATTATTTCACAAACAACTTCTAGTAAAACGTTTGAGAAAATTTTCACATTACAAATCATAGAATATAAATGAATTAATAGGACAATTGTTAACCAGACATTGTAATTGCAGTAGCTTATTATTTTTTTAATTATTTTGGGCTTTTTATATTTAATATAACAGTGTAGTGTAATATATGCTATATATCTGTACTCAGTTTGAGTTAGTATTAGATTAATATAGGTGAGCTTCTGAGATTTGGATGCTACTGTCTATATTTTATTGAAGGTTTAAAATGTATTTAACTAAATTTTTTGTGTTTTCAAACACAATTATAAATTACAACAATTTCAATTTCATCAAAATATCAAGATCTTAGCAGCTCATTGAAATACAGCACAGATGCAACTAGTGACTAAATTTAAATTGTTTTTATTGTTCTTTTAGATTAGGCAGGAAATAAGGAAGTCAGAAAACGTATATGATACAATAGATTTTTGATACTTCTTTGAGATTGGATTATGAGATACTATATTTTGTGAATTATTGTAATTCATGTTTCAAAGATATTGTAACCTTCGAAGTGACTGTCTAACGCTTAGAAACACAAACCAAGTCATGAAGGTAGATGTCTCGCTTTATTATCTTTAGATACCTAATAATTTCAAAGAAAATAATCTAATGAAGCTTACCTCACCACTACGAGCAGCTGGAGAGTTTTCTTCGATTTCGTATATAATGTGTGGCAAACCGGCTTCACCAAGTAAAGAGAATCCGAATCCCAAATTGTCACTACGCTTCAAGACCACAAGTCTTTCGTCAGCCATATTCAGAGCACAGCAGCATTGATTATAAATCTTTGAAGAATTTTATTAGTAACACCTCATTGAAAATACACTAAAGAACTTTGGTGACGAACAATAGTTACAAAACGAAATGATTTTTAATTACAATGCAAGAAAAAAGCAAGGGCATCCAACCAAAGCGAAACGAAGTCGCCGATATCCATTCCATGACAAATAATAATGACAAAAATGAATGATGAACCAACCAACAATGTAGTAAAAACCACAGATCTCTTTATTTTTGTTAGGGGCAATTCAACAAACCACAGATCAGAAAAGAAAATTTAAAAAATCTTACTCTATCTACTTAGACACAACAAATACTTGACTAATTATTATTTCAACATACGATCATAGACTTTAATTAATATAAATTGTACACAACCATAATAAAATTGATATGAATGGGGAAGTAATTGCCTATAACCATCAATAAACTAAATAGTGATATTTTACAACACTAACAACTATCTTTGGTAAAGGTGAACATTTCTCAAACTAAGGTTTGAAAAATATTTAGTTTATTTATTATAAAGTATATAGATTGGCAACGCACGAGTTGAAAAATATAATAACCTGTTTGTTAGAGCAAGGAATAGGAAACAGTACTCCTCTTAAAACAATTCGAAAGCTTGACTGCGGTTGACAATCCGCCTGCCAAGTGTGGTAACTAGTGGCAAAATCCCACTAAGGGGATACCTTATGTTCAGTAGTGGACAGTTAAAGGTTGATATGATGATATTAAAGTGAGAGAAAAAATGCAATAATAATTTGCACAATGTAAGCTCGAAGTTGTTTTGGCAGGAGTATGATCAAAATATTTATTTATTATTTTTACGTATTGAAGTTGAATTAGTTCCAACTAAATGTAATTAGTTAGAATTAAGTATGCTTTACCTTAATTATAAATAATAGAGTAAATACTTACAATTTCATAATTTACGTGTAAATATGCTTAAAACATTTCATTTATTTAAATACAATATTTAGAAACATAGCAAATATTGTGTATATGAATGAACAGAAAAAAATATTTAAACTAATTAATATTCTGAAGGCTCAAGTATTCAAATTAAAATAATAACAAATACGTGAATATATATAAATTTTACTAATCCTATCAAATTCAGATAAAACTTGCTTGCAAACTTTCTACATAAACTGTGTCGAATATATAATCCAGTAATGTCAACTTTGTTATTGATAAATAATTAACATATCAAACATTTTTTATAAATTAGCTTACTATGAATTGAGAAATGTAGCAACTAATGATGTATCTTTCGTTCTTTTCTTACTAATTTGCATAAGAAGAAAGGAGGCAACCATATGATATATGTTTTTATCATTCCTTCTATGTAATATCTTGTTCTTAGGTATACACTGACGGGCACCAGTGAGTGATCTTAAGTGATGATGAAGCAGGTCAGTTAGCTCATCGTGACGAATTCATTTTGATGGTTTCTAGGGGGAATCGCGTAGAGGTCGACCTGCTAGGGTATATTGCTAGCAATGGGGCAGTCAGACTCCATTACTAACAATCCCTTACCCCCCCCCCCCCCTCGATCACAATGTTAGTCAAAAAAAGATTGTAAATATTTTTAGGTTTAGGTTTCATCACTAAAGTTGACAGTATTATTTTTTATTGCGGCAATAAATGTCATAGTCATTTATATAGATTACTATCTGCTGTCGCTAATTTCTGACATGTAGCTGGTCTGTATTATTTCGATTAAAAATGTGTTTCCATAATCTATGTAACCAGTCCATTTAGTTGAACATTTTATACTAGCAAGCAGTTAGGGTTGTCGTGATACCTATCAGTATGGATATTCTAGATAGATGCATATGTGGCATATTACTGGCTACTATATTTTTCTATTTGTTAATTTTCTATTATGTTTTGTATTCTGTCTTCGTCACTTTTCTTATATTACTTCTGATATTACTACCAGATAAAGAGTTACTATTACCAAATAAAGAGAATTACTTCATCATACATTTTATTATTTACCCGTTTCTTATAATGATTGCATAGCATAATGAATATTAATATATTTTTTAATACTTAAAGATGGTTGCATAGTCTTTCTCCAGTTTCTCAATGTGAGGGTGATGCCAACTCTTATGTAGCAGTGATTAATTCCTCGCCGTCTTGTGGTTGGTTGGTTGTGTTTGATGACTGGTTTTGTACTTTTACTTATCTAGATCGACTCTTTTAACTCTTTAACTCTCATAAACGTTGGTGTTCATTATTTGTGAAATTATATTTATATTAAGTGAAAATGTATATAATATCTAATTTAATTAAAGTTACAATCCCTAACTATTTAGCTAGTTTACCTATCCCCGATTCTTTCGGAGGCTGGTTTCGATTGGGAGGTAAAGTATTAATTTCACCATGTGTTACCTAAAGTCTGCCTTGTAGCTTTCAAGATAACAAGTTTGTTTAATTTACCTGCCTGTGTTCGCCTAAAACTGTATAATAAATGTAAAAGTAATTTTCTGTAGATATGTTTTTAACATTGTTCTATATGTTTGAAATACTTAGTGGCTGTATTCTAGCGTGACAGTAGTACCTAGTTTATCATAAAATAACCTTGAGCGTCTAATGGCACAGTTTCATGTAAAAATCTTGTCCTCATTGTGTAGTTTATGGCATACCATCATATTTGATATACTATAATATATTTGTTTAAGTTAATATTCAGATATAATTAGTTCATATTAATGTCAGTGCATCATAATAGGCATTTAATTACAAATTGATGATGTTGACAATGTTTGTTATTTACTTTTATTACATAACTGGCTATGCATACTTTTTGTATGCATAGGTTGTTATTATTAGTTATAAACCATTGTTATTAATTTATTTATTTTACAGTCAGAAATTAAGTTATTATCTATGTATATGTATTTTTTTTAATGGGTGATAATGGTTTGGTAATACCGCCTGCGCTATCGGAATACGCTGGTGGGGCACCAGTGAAGGATGATAAGTGAGGATGAAGCAGGTCAGTTGGCCCATCGTGACGAATTCAACAAGAATTGTTCACGATGGTTTCCAGGGGGAACCATGTGGAGGTCGACCTAATAGGGCATATTGCTAGCAATGGGGCTGTCAAACTCCATTGCTAACAATCCCTTTCCCCCCTATGTATATGTATTAGTCCTAATAATTAGAATAAAAAGTAGCCTATGTTTATTTTCTATACTATAAACAATAATTATTAATATTAATTTAATGATAATAAGCTATTAAGGTGCCTAAAAGCAATAAAATATTTTTTTTACATTTGTAATATTCTGGATTCAGCCAGTGGATTATTCAATATTATATAAAGTGGAATTGAAATCATATGCACTCTTTTAAAAGAGTATGTTATCAGTAAATGTGAATATTTTTCCCAAAGAAACAAGTAGAAAAATGATAAAAATATTTGATCCTCCCATATTTGATAGCTTGATCTATTTAATTAGGATGCCTTGCTTAATATTTTTTTTGTCACTTTTCATCTCATCTTCCTTTCAGAAAAAATTTCAGTTTTACTAGCAAAATATTGGTTTAAAATGATGCTAATTCTATTTTAGTTTGTAGTGTTTGGTAAACAACCGTTAGTTGTTAACTGTATAATTGTATATGTATGTGGTAAAGTTATGTTAGCACGTAACATGTTCTGTGTGGTCCCGGTATGGAATAAGCCACCCCTTCCTTTCCCTTGGGTGTTGTAAATGGTGATCAAGGGAGGGTGAGGAATGGGTAGCAGTATCTCTCTATCCCTCTTAAAACATCTCCAAAACATGACTGCCAATCTGCCTGCTAAGCGTGGCAACTACTGTCAAAACCCCCAAGGGGGAGATGTTATGTTTAGCAGTGGACATTTATTTATTTATTACATCCACTGGATGAGCCTTACAGTCTTCCAATACGCTCAGCCAGGAAAGCATGAGTACAATTACATATAAAAAGGAATATTACACAAAAATAATATAAAAGGATGATGATGATGATAAAAGTTAAGGTTAACTAATTATAACATTTATTTTTACAGTTCGTGATTGGCTTGCCTTAGTGCCACCTACACTTGCAGTTGGTGGCATTTCATACGTGTCATATCAAACTATAAAGAAAGCTAGAGAAGTGGGCCAGGTCAACCCCAGCATCAGAAAGGATATCAATAAAGTTGTTGATTTTATTGATATTGAAGATATCACAGAGAAGGCCTCACTCTGTAGATGTTGGAGGAGTAAAAATGTATGTAATTATTATGATTTACTACTATCTGTAAAATAATAAATAAAAATATAGTAAATGTCACTCAATTACACCAATTGCAAAAATTTTCAAGCTAGGAGACTATTTTATGAATGGTTGATGGCAATGAACATCTGGGTGAGCATAACCTAGAATAGCTTTTTCTAAATGGATGATGATAGAATGGTAATCGCTACTCTATTGTTATTATTATTATACATTGATAGGGCATCAGTGATAGATGACAGGTGAGGACAAAAGTGGGTCAGTATGCTTGATTAATTCCACAAGAATTAAACATGATGGGTTCCAGGGGGAATTATGTACAGGTCGACCTGATGGAGTATATTGTTAGCCATAGGGCTGTTAAGACCCCATCATTAACAATTCCTTTCCTCCCTAGAATACCTAACCAAGAACCACATTTGTGCAAAGAAGCATGCCCACTAGAGTGGCACAGAGGTTGTCAAAGCATTAAAGTGATACTTTTCAAGTATTTAAGTGTTGTCTTATTTCTTTTAAGTGATTGATTTGTTAAAAATTATGCTATCACCAGACATTTAGCCAATAATTTATTTATTGTCCTATATAATGTTATTAGATTTAGTTGTTTTCAAAGTTTTTAATGATAAATTGTTTCCCTTCCCTTCTTGTAAGTTATATAACATGATATTACTTATCTAAACATAAAAAGCAGTATGTTTGTAAGATAAATGATAATGATAAGCACATATTGATAAGAAATAGTCTCACTTTTATATGCACTATATGTCACTAAAATATATAGGTCATCATTAGTACACAGAAATGTTTATTCTGTATATTACATGATATTATGTGTAAATAGTCATAAGGCTGTAAATGAATTAGATTACATTTTATAGATTTTTTTCTAATAATAAAAGTGTGTACTTATCTAATTTATTTATTCTAAAAATTATATGCAGTAGGTCAAATATTTAATAATCTACAAAAGAGCTATTTTCCACAAGAATTTTGAGATATTTGGAAGTGTTTGTTTTCCTTATAGTATTATTAAAAGGTTGAGTTAATACCTAGAAACTGTAAAAACTTTAAGTCGGTATGCATAATGATATTATTTTATAATAATAACTTATAAGGATGATTGTTTTGAAGGGTTGAAATGCCCCTTTACAGACTAAACATGGACTACTTTTAGTATGTAGTTAACTAGGTGATTAGTAAAATATATTTATCATAATAACAAACTGTGGTGGTATTTAATTTGAGATTATATGTGGTAGTGTTATCTGTTTGTCATGTCATTATCATTAGACCTAAATAACATACCTACATATATTACAAGCAGTGATTGTTAATTTTTCTTTTTATTTCATAATGTGAACATAGTTTTTTTTTATTTATTTAATTTTTATTGTTCTTTTGAAGCAGTATTTGAAATTTTTTATGTATCGTCATTGCATATTAAGCAACCACAATCTTCTCTATGAGTTATGCTCAAAGCTTCTGCATGAAAACAGTATTATATGTACATACATGTTCTAATTATTTATTTTGTTCGCATAAAGGTATTAAATAAAAACTTATTCATAATTATCATCTCAGATTCAGGTGTAGTAGTTCTTGATTGTTGTGCTGCTACATTGTATTCAAATAAATTATTTAAAGAAATGTGTGGAATATTGTTTTAAAAATAGTATTTATTTTAAATGTACTCAGTACAAGAGAAGGGAAACTTGTAATACAACCCTGTATAAAGTTGGTCAGTGTATAAATAGTAGGCTAGTAGTAATATAGGAGATACTAGGGGCAAAAACTGATATCCAGTAATTTTAAACAGTTGTTATGATAACAATTTTCAAAATATTACTTTTTTATATTTAAAAAATTATAAAATAGACAAATAGCGACATATAAAAATTATTCTCTAAATTATATAGGTATTATTGTCTATTTTTGTCTGTTTTATTTTTAAAGTATCGATTTAAAACGACATATCATAGAATTTTTTATAAAAAATGATGTGTGCAAAAAAATTCAAGTAGACCTGTTTTTAATATAATTAAATTCAATGAGTGATAAGTATAAGTGATTTAAATTTATATACATATTTATATTACAGTGGCCGTACTGCGACGGCGCTCATGGTGCTCACAATAAAGCCACTGGTGATAACACCGGACCCGTGGTCGTCAGACACAAAGAGAACAAGTAGACACAAGCCAAGCTCACAAATACAACTAGACAATAGTGATAATAATGTGATTATAATAATTACTTAGCTTAAATTGTCGGAATATGGTAAAAAATATGCATTTTAAAATTTGTTTTTATGCTTAAATATGAATTTAAAGTTAGCATTATTTTTAATATTGATTGTATTTTTTTCTAGTTAATTTTTTTAAATCGTTTTTTATGTAATATCCTTACAATTTTGTAGTTGGACCAGTGATAATTAATATTTGCTTTTATTAAGTATTTATGCAAGAGTAATAAAGTTTTTGGAATGTTACCAATAAAGATGTTATCATTTGTTTCCAAATGTGTGTAAAATAAAAAAAAAAAAAATTGATAATTTCTTACAATTTTATTTACCAAATATTGGCTCCTTATGTAATCACATCACAGACATGTTCGACTTTAAAATATAAATAAATAACATTTCAACATGCCAATTATATTCTATACTTACATACAAATCATCAATACATATAACTAAAGTATCGTTTAGATATTTCCTAAACTTCGTCATTAAAATGGCCAATGACCGGTCCAGTGGCGCCACCAATTATCAACGATGTAAATACTATAGAAAAATAAGTTTATTTGTATTGTTATCAGTGTTTAAAAATTATAGTTATAATAATAATTATACTTTTATATGGTGTGAGTTAAAATACAGTACCTATTTACATTATTTGGAGTCGCAGCGCCATTGCGACGGTAATAATTTCCTAGAGGAATCTATTATGGCACATTTAATTGTGATTCATTTATTTATATGACATTATCTGTTACTTATTTAACACACTAATCCCATAAATTAACAAAATCGTTATATTTACTAATATAATGTCATACCATAAAAGAATAATATCGTTATAGGTCCTTACAGAGTTTACTTACGCTAGCCATCATATAATTATTAAGACTAGTAGGTTAACTTCAAGTGATTTGTAATATTTAAAATATAATATTTTAAACATTGAAAATCACTTGGTAACGTAGATAAATGAATATACTCTTAATAATAAAGTATTGTAGTCCCATGGCGCAATGTTTTCTGTGAATTTTTAAGCAAGTTTCATGATAGGTAGATATTTTAAGGCAAACATATGATCTTATTTTTAACGAAACGTTGAATGAAAAGTGATAACTATTTTTCGTTTAAAAAAATATTTTTTTTTTTACAACACAGGGGGCAAACGATCATGCGGCTCAACTGATGGTAAGTGACTACCGCCGCCCATGGTCACCCACAACACCTATTAAAAATATATATAAAATACAAACATGTATACATATTGCAAAGTGATTGTAACGGTTTTTTCGTTGTTTCTAGCTTTAACGTTTTACATCCACGTGTATTATAACATAAACACTAGTATGTAATCAGTTACATTATAGACAATTACAAATGTTTTCAAACATTAACCTAATGAATAACTGTTGAACTTTCTTATAAGTATGGCAAGTTATTTTCTAGTGCATAAGTTTAGTGCACAATTTATAAACACGGCTATAATTTTTTTTAACAAATATATCAAACAGGCTTCAAGATTCATATTAGTGAACATTTTTTTATATAGAATATCTAATAAAATTCAGTCTTTTGTTGATCGCGTATGAAACGAAATAAGATACGTTTAAAAGCAATTCAAAGTACATTTAAAACTTTAGTACAGCAACAATAATAGTAGATTATATAAACTCTATACTACTAAGTATTTTAGAGATGATTTTTTATCACTTTCATTGTTTGCTATAAAAAACAATGCAGAAATGTTTATGTATTTCACGTGACTCTGCTGTAGGTACTATGAAGAGCTATATCATTCGTGTCACTTTGTAAGAATATCCACGATACTGGAGTATAACCGCTGGCAATGAAGTTTTCACAACTGAAATTAAAATAAAAACAGGTATTTATACTATTATTTTTAAGATAGTTCTATTTCATTGATACTGATTAATTCAGTACTTCTACTTAACAGAAATGATAAAAGAGCAAATCTGACGAAATATGTAGGTAAAGATACCATCTATTTAGGCATATCTAGTGGACACTCGATAGAGTTTGGTCTTTATATGTACTCAAAGGAAAGCGGTAAACGTTGTGTTTTATATTGGAAAAATAAAAAAAAAAATAATACTATTTATTGTGCCTAGAATATCTGTTTTGCTATTTGTTTATACTTATTTAATCAATTTATAAATAGAGGGATCGGATACTTTAGTAGGAAAGCTTTATTTAATATATGAATAACATAAATAAACAATATCACTGTCAAAAACATAAAATTTAAACTGAGAGATTATTTACTGTCCAACCTTGGTAAAACAGCAGAATATTAATGTAAATAGTGATATTTGAGAACCGAATGTAAAGTATCACACACAAGCCCAAGAGGTTGAAGTGGTATTAAAAATCCAATTTTTTTAATGTATTTATGTATGATAATTAAATAAAAAAAAAACGAAGGATATTATAGAGTACTATGTATATCTATTGTGGCATCTGCGGTCATGCATTACCATCGTGTCCCTTCTGAGTACAGAGAGCACAGTATGATAATTATCTTCCCAACTGGTCTTTAATTAAAACATGAATACTATCCACTTACATTAAGTGCCAGGGTTTCAAGAATAATACACATTTGTATTAGTAATACATATAATATTATTGTTACATGTCTGAACTAGTGGTTTACTGTTACCACAAAGAACTCATACGGCACTTAATGTAAAATGCAAAGTAAGCTCGGAATACTATAGGAAACGTGAAAAATGAAACCCTTCGCAGACGAGAGAGACGAGGGAACAATATAATAACCCGTTTATTAGTAAGGACACATGTGCGTTGTAGATGACATGTGTGTAATTCTATATGAAAGGTATTATCGAGACAAAAATGTACGTCCTTCGTTTGTGCATGCATTAATCGTATTATTATTACTAGTATTTATTGTAACAAGTACATACTTCAATTCGCGTTTCAGCAATATTTTCTTCGTTTCTTAGTAGTTCATGCTTTAGTCCATTTCTTTTCCTGTAACAGAATTTGCATAAAAAAATCTCAGGGGAAAATGTTTTATGATAATTTAATTTATTCTTTCTTCCATTTAGCACAAGTCCTTCGACGTATGTACATTAATTTTATACTCGACGCTGTTTCCGTGACAGCTGACCGCTTCCTACGCAGCGGGCCCCTGGAGCGCATGTATCAGGTTACACATACATGTTAACACAATAAAGGCTTCACAATAAACTGGGAAGCCATAATACGAGTATATTATTTCCAGTTTCCCAGCGACGCTCTCATTATCCCGGTATTTATAAGTAGTTTACGGTCCTTCGAGCCGGATATAATCTTTATATATTTTCGTTCTAGTTTTAATATATAGCATATACTTGTAGTGTTTTAATATTATCTATTATGAAGAATCTATGATAGCGAAGTAATTGGGTTGCCTATAGAACTAAATTTCGATAAAACAGTTTGTGATAATTATTCTGAATTTCAGAAATTTTCTTGCGAAATTCGGACAGCGTGACATTTGGAGACAGCGCGACATTTTGGGACAGCGTCGGTTTGAAACCCTTTTTACAGATGAAAAGAAACTAGAGATTTTGCAAAAGGGCTTTTAATTTAATTAAACTAAATGGTTCCTCGCGGGAAAGAGTAGGTAACTAATAATAATAGTAGTACTGTCAATTCAACTCACATATATATCCTCCTCCAAACGATTAGTCCAGTATAGCCGAGGCATACGATGCTACACGTGATCACTACCATGATGCCCGCCGCTGTGCCGACTGGTTCCCCGCGCGCTGCCGAGTACCGTCTCGCCATAGAGTCTTTGCGGACAGTCGCAGTTTCAGCTGAGAATAAATATCCATAAAATACGGTGTAGATATTATTGTAACTGAAACAGATTCTTTTAAATACACCTTTTTTTGGTGTTTATATTTTATCTTAATTTTGATGTTTTTAACTACATAATTATATTTTAATTACCATATTTTGACATCGTTGGATTTCAATAAAAAAATGGCCAATGCTTTCAATTATTTTAGTATTCTAGCTAGCACAAAAGATCATGGAAAAGTTGCAGTATCACAGGTTTTTTGGCTGAAAAGTTGGCGTATAAGTACGAGCATTATATTAACTAGCTGTATTTTGCGGTTTCACCCGCGTGAATTAGTATATAAAGTACTTTTAGATTAGAGCTAAGTTAGGATATAACCCATACTTATACAGTTTTTCGTTCAAATTCATTCAGTAAATGTTGTGTTTTCACGCAATCTTTGTTACTCTTTCGAGTAACAAATATCCATTCATCCATCGTTACAATCTTTTGCATATATAACATTAAAAAGATTTAAACTATAGATAGTAACATTAATAATATGTCGTGACGATTAAATAAAAGTAATAAATCATGAAGTAAATAAATTGTTATTCTGCAGTAAAGGTTTGACTTGTCCTCACATAGATTCTAAGTAGCGTAAACGCAGTCGTCACGGAGTTGATAATTAGAGTACAGTAGACGAGAGTTGATATTTTGCGTAATAATTTAAGCAACTTGTTGTACCTAATATTTTTTTTTTTATACAACAGAATGGCAAACAAGCTGACGGCCCACCTGATGGAAAGTGGTAACCCTCGCCTATAGACATGAACAGTACCATGGATATAACAGAATATACTGTTTCGCCCATGATACCCCTCATGCGTTGCCACTCCTGAGGACTTAGGTGTTATTCCTCTGTACCCAGTAAATTCACGCCATATCCCACCCTTCAAACCGAAACACAGCCATGCAAACACAACTGCTTCACGGTAGAAACACGAATGGGACAGAGGTACCCAAGCAATCGACTTTTGTACAAAATCTCCCTCTGGTAATAAAAATAAAATAATAAAAATCGTATTAAGGCTGTAAAAATCACCGACTGATTAACGTACGTTATGTAATAACGTCGAGATAGATTCAGGATCTATGGTACATGTGGTCAGGTCCTTACTCCTTAGGTGTCTTTGAACTATTCGTAAGTCATAAGATGTCAATTACCTTGCAAAAATTCAACTTGGGAATCAGGTGTCGCAGGAACTTCTGCTCGTGAGTTTTCAGTGTCTTCTGGAAATACTGGCAGATCTATATGGTCCTGGTCATCATCACGAGAGTGCAGCATATCGAACACTTCCGTTCTAACAATAAAAAAAAGGAACATATAAAATATGAAATGGTCACACACGTGCAGTTTTAGAAGAGTATTTTTCTGTGAGTGGTTGTAAAATGAGCTCCCCGCCGTGGTTTTCTCTAGACTATAGTATGGGTTTCTCCAAAAAGGGCGTAGTAAGGCTCAATGCATACGTACCACCCTTTATGTTGCAGGTGTCCATAGGTTACGGAAAATACCATTCGATGGACCATAAACTTTCTTGCCATCATAGTTGTATAAAAATATTAGTTATATTTTTTTTATAGTCTATGTCTTTAACTTCGTTTTTAATTGTAGTTTAGTAGTAGCAGTTATAAAAATATTATAGATATAAATAAAGCGATAAAAAAAACATAAAATGATAATTCTATTTTACATACTTGCTAACTCCCTGTTTATCGTTTACAAGCAGCTTCAATAGCGTGGCGTTCGCTTCTAGAGTTTTGTATCGGCTGTTGTCTTCTACTTCTCTTCCTAGACTGGGAAGAGTGTTCTCTTCTAATCTAGTTGTTTCTACAGGTTCTGTGCTCTGACTGTGACATAGTCCGATACCTGTAACAATAACAAATTGTTATGGATACGATGTTTCTCATTTTATAATCTAAATAATAATATACGCTTGAGGGAGGAAAGGGATTGTTAGTAATGGAGACTGAGAATCCTATTTCTAGCAATATACCCAATCAGGTCGACCTCCTCGCGGTTCTCCCTGGAAACTATCATGGTTAATTCCTGATGAATTCATCACGATGGGCTAACTGACCTGTTTTCATTCTCATCTATCACCCTTCACTGGTACCTCGCCAGCGTATCCCGTTAGAGCAGGCCATACCATTTTCACCCAGCAAAAAAAAAATATGAGCTTGGATGACAGTATTGTCTAGAAAGTTCATAGCTAACTAATAAGTTCTAAAAAATATTTTGATTTAGGTACAAATGAATACGTATTTGGTAGCCTAGTTATGAGGTTTATAATATAAAAAAATCGCCTACACCGCTAGATGTATCTGGTTCAATTACAACTCTTGTATCATTTCTATCCAATGATTAAAATCAGTTCTGATAATTATTCAGAATTAATGAACAGAACATGTAGTGTCAATTTTGTATGTTATATACATTACGGGCCAATTAAGCAACTCGTCTTTTAGAAATCGCTTAAAAACAACTTTCTCCTTAAATAAAGTCAATAGATGTTATATATATGTAACTATTAACATAAGAAAATGGAGAAAAAGGAAAAGTTTAATAGTCAAAATATAACGAAGGCATTTAAATTGTTGTTGGTCGGTTTGGTATCTAACTAATAAAAGATGTTTATTTGTTGTTGACATCATTGTTTCGTGGCAAATTTAATTAACACAATGCTGTTTATTTCTTTGTGACATTTTCCAGGGAAAAATTTTACCGCTAAAAATATTAAAAAAATCCTCTCCAACCAATCAACCAGAAATTTGGCACACTATTGAATATATCTCCCCCGTTGTAGATATTCTTGGAAATCAAGTCAATTAAATATAAAAATAGATGAGCGCGGTCGATGATCCGAAGTTCATGATCTTGTTTTCATTTAGGTATGTATTAATTAAGTCGTTAAAATATAAATGTTTTTGTCACATAATTAAATTAATTGGGACGCAATACTTGTTAGTTTATTATAAGGTTCTGATAGTTAAGGTGTAAATATAATTTATTATTATAATTATTATAATCTATATAGCTAATATAATAAAGCTTGTTGGTCTGAAGTAATAGTCGGATATGAATTTTTTTTTTTTACATTTGATAGTTCATTTCTTATGAAAGATTATAGGCTAGGTATTCAACATTATGATACGACCACAAACGAAGTTGCAGACAACTGACATTGTTGATTGTTTAAATATTTTTTTATTATAAATACACACATTATTTGTAGAAAATATCCAAACCAATAGAAACATATATACTCATAAATATAAATGTTTGTAATAAATCATTCATCAGCGGGAATTGAACCTGTGACCATCGGAAGGTGCGGCTGTGTGTTAAACTGTTACACCACCCAAAAGGTACATAAATTTAGTAATATATGGTCTCTATTAAAGGATCCTATTCGTTAGCTGAGCGCAGTACCCATGTTAGTAAATGAATCAAAACATACTCATTAAGATAGAGGAAGACCTCCTCCGCTATAATATCCTTTGTAAATGTGAGTTTATTTGTTATTTCTTGGTACCTTAGCTTCTCTATTAATCGTCATAAAAATTGTTAGAGACGAACAATTTGGAATAGAGAAGGACATGATTGCTTTTTATTTAAATTTTAACAAATCCTGGTTACGTGGACGAAGTCGTGTGTGAATACAAGTCTATTCTATCATCATCATTGTCTTCAGATCAGCCGTTAACTGTCCACTGCTAAATATAGGTCTCCTCTATAGACTACGATAAAAAAAGGTCCCGAGCAAAAGGATTGGGGGCCATTTCCTCCTGGTATATGCCATTGGAGAAATTTGCGAATACTAGGTATATCAAAATTCGTACCCATCCGTAAGTTTAGTAAATTCTAGAATATTATTACGAAAATTGATCTGTTACATGGTTTAAGATCACGAGACTATAAAAGTATCTATTTACACAAGTGTACTGTATTTATATTATATATTATTATATATGGTATACTCGTATGTACTCGAATGTATCTCTCTCTGTCTATTAAAATTTACACCTGGGTATTAATAAAACAGTAAAGTTGACAATAAATCGGTAAATAATATCTTTGTCGTTTACATAATATCTACCTATTCCATGTGGAAAAGAACCGATCATAAATCAAAAAACTACTTATAGAATAAACAAATATTATGCGTTTAAAAGTTGTAAATAATACGATTAAATGTGATAGTCGTAGATGGAAGTATAATAGTATTGTATAAGTATGGGCCATGGATAAACGATACAGCATTATCATAAACTGTAGTGTACAAAAGTTTAAAATATTGTCTCTGTGACACAATAAACAAATTTATGGCTTAGCAGCACCACGTGTGGGTTATTTTAACGAAAACCGTTATCACCGAACTTAAATTTAATATTTACAAACTATTAACGTGTAGATTTGAAACTGCAGCAACTTTAAAACTTATCGAAATGCAAACATTTGACTCTGCGTTAACACACTTCAATTAGTAGGTCAGGCGTAACTTTAAGTTAATATATGCTTAACGGTTTAAAAACCAGTTCCCAGATGAGTTAACCCAGGCCAAAGTTAAAATCGTATAATATGAATATGCTTGGAGACGAATGAGTCATTTTTTGTACCTATTGATTTGCATGGAGATAGCCTGTTGGCCTCATATGCCAAGTGAAAGTTGTATTAAGATTAAATACCTATTAATTTAGAGAATATTTTGATGTATTAACTTTTAAATACGTCTTTAAAACAAAACGACGTATTTAGAATAAATACTGTCTGATTTCTACAGCGCGATAGGTAGAAAACATGTAAAACAGATTTTGAAATGAATAGAGCAAATAAAATGAAAAAACTTTGCACCTGCCTGAACTGGATTCGGTGCGATGGGAAGGGCTTAAAAATAAAATTAAAATGGAATCAAGGAATAAAAACTGTTATAATACATTTAAATATTGCGATTGAGGAACACGATACCAGACTGTAATACTGAGATGATTCTCAGACCATCACTAGTCATTAGTGATAATTGGTCGTCGAGCCCTCAGAATGGGCATGGTATCAGTAGGTAATGGCCATAAACATTACTAAATAATGTCAGGTATTTTCCGTGGTGTTGTTTTATTCGATATTAAACATTATCATTTATTTACTCAGAGCAAGGTATTAGTGGCTATTTATCGAGGCGCACTTGGCTGCCACCAAATGCCGGAAGAGTTGCTGCCTCTGCCGAGTTTCCGTGTTCAGTTAGATCACTGGTATTGCTTTAGTTCTTGTACTGTTTATAGGAAGTATTTATAGGATAATTGTATTTGTTTGTTAGTTATAGATAGGCTGTCTGATAATTTAATACAACATAGTTATTCTATTATCTATGCTGCACAATAATTATCTAGTCCATTGTAATTTGCTTGCGACATTTGTCGTCCAATGTATATTGGCATAGTTCGTGCATCCTTTTTTTTATTTAAGTAAGGTACTAACCTTTCCTAAATAAAAAAAACGCCACCGGTTTCCATTTCCTTTCATTCTCAGGGCGAATAAATAAAAGGCGATTAAGAGTACAAGCCACAATATACTGGAGGTAGAGTTCGATTTGAAATGGAACTCTAAACCTTGCGCTCGGCCAGCAACTATAACAACTATAACATCTGAGGCGACCTGCACTTTAATCGTAGCTATCAACGAGAAAGTGAACTTGAACTATGGATAATATACGTTGCAATTTATGAGGAATCTGCGATTAAGGCGTGTGGTGTGTCTCCGTAGTTCCTTACACTATATACCACCTTTTAAGTTGAAACACAGCTACGAGTATGTATGGCGACAGAGATACGTATGGAACATACTATAAATAAGAATATAAATTGTCCTATACCTAATATGTTATATCAAAGAAATCTCTTTTTGTTTAGATTTAACACTTTAATTATTTGTAGACTTTATGGATTAATCATAGAGAGCTTACTAAATGTATTTTAACAATGTATTTCCATCTATGTTTCTCAAATAAATTATTGATTAATTGATTGATCGATTCTCCTATAAAACTATATAATTTGATGTACTTGTTTATTTGACATGCAAGTGATCGATTTATTACATTCGTTCAATAATCGTTTTAAAGTACTTACAGTTTTAAAAAATTTGAATGTGAAATAATAGCGTTGTGTCAATTGACTTACAGGTACCTACATACATACATACCGGCTTACTTGTTCTAAATTGGTTAAGTGCCTTGTTATCTTTTCAAGAATCATCGTCCCAATACGAGTATGAGTGAACTCAAATACCCACTGACAATCACTAAAATGTTCGCTGGAATTTTAAACCTTTTTTTTTTTTTTGGTTATTGCTCTTTTTTAGAAAGGCTTTATTGTTGATAAGTATAATCAAATTGAGAATTAGATTAGATAGACTGTTGAAATCTGTGTATTTTTATCATGTAAAATATATAAAAAGTAAGATTAACCTTCTACCCAAATTATAAGAGTAGAGTTGAACTGAAATGAAGCATCCAAGCAATAAACAACTTGTGATTAGTAATTTTAATAAATACAAACTCTAGACAGTAGATGTGTTTAAAAACTTGAATTTAGTATTTATTTATTTATTTACACATACACTAAACAAACTTTTCATTTAAATAATATATGAGAATATTTAGTTTGAGAGTTTCAACCAATCTGAAGGAAAATTATCTTTACACAAGATCAGATGAGCAGCGTTTAAAATATACCATATTGACATACCTATTGGACGAATACATATAAATATCATATATTATATATTCATATATTTAAATATCTTAATTTATTATTTTAAATAAGTAATGATTTTATTAATTTATTAATACTTGTGATCTCATCGTTGTACAAAAAATTTCTCATCATACGATTTGAACAGTTGAACTTTCATTTTAGTATTTATGGTACTTTTTATTTTTATTTTTTTACAATGAATCGTTCCTGTTTCTTGGTATGTTTATGAGTCACATCTTGGCTTTCTTGTTGCGAAAATATTTTGATTTTACAACAAAAAATATCGTCTTCCAAATCTATTGATTAGTCACCAAGTTTTTAGCAAGACTAATACACTAAAGTCATATAGATAGATAGATAGATAAATAATTTATTTGCATCACTTACAGCACACAAACAGCAAATACAATAAAAAAAGATAAGAAAAGATACATATACTAAAAAAATAAAATGAAAAAAATTAAATCATATCTGTTGTGCTATTTAACAAACCCCAACAAAAATCTTTAGCAAACCAATCATCAAAGATAGATACGTGATAGAGACAATTTCTTAAAAAAAAAAACAGAGTTTCAGTGGATACCATAGTGGACACAAATTTATTGTCTACACGATTTGAATCTTTATTTATTTATTTAGTTTTAAAAAATCACAAAAATATATTGAAAATTTCTAATGTTAGAAATTTGTTTCTTAAGTTAGTAATGAATAGACAGGGAGTGGAGTAATTGGACACGGATGCTGTATTTGGTATAGCTGCTTCCTGAAAAGGAGAGACAGATATTGTTGCCTTCGAAGTTTGACCCGACCTTTCTCTTACTTTTTTCTTAATAAGAAAAGTATAGATTTAGAAATAATTATTGTATGTTTATATTAAATATACTAAAAAAATATTTGACTAGTTTATAACGTCGTCTTTGCTATTCAACTAAACAGAAAAACTAGTGAATGTTTCCTGTGTTTGCAAGACTATATTAGCTTCGTTCGCATTTATCAGGCAGACCGTATGCTACTGTAGCTATACAAAATAATATGTTACTGTAGCTGTACAAAATTATAATTTTTATGATAGAAATCTATTATTATTATATATTTATGGCATATTAATACCAAAGTGTTACTTATCTATTTTTTTTATTGGATGAAAATGGAGTGGTAACTTCGCCTGCGCTAATGGGATTCGCTGGCGGGGCACCAGTGAAGGGTGATCGATGAGGATGAAAACAGGCCTGTTAGCCCATCATGATGAATTTATCAGGAATTAATCATGATAGTTTCCGGGGGGAACCGCGAGGAGGTCGACCTGGTTGGATATATTGCTAGCAATGGGATTCTTAGTCTCCATTACTAACAATCCCTTTCCCCCCTGTTACTTATCTATTAAAAACGTAATTTGATCTCCTGTTATAGTTTTGGAAACTTTTAATCAATATTATTAGTTTCATGAACAATATAACTTTATGGCCAATCTATGAAGAAAGGTCGCAGCAATAAGGTAAATGAGTAAGATTATAATCGTCACTCATTCATGGCCATCGACAAGTTATGAATCACTATGTAAATTTACACTACGTTACACTATTTAGGTACAAATACGACAGACGGTAGTTGTTTCGCTACGCTGTGCTATGGTCACATAAAAGGAATATTTATATGAGAGGTTGTATGAATTAATTTAAGCTACATTACCGGTGAATGAAGTCCGGATGTAAGTGGACCAAGTTTTTGTAGAATAACAGTGAATCACACCCACGTAAGTCGGAGTTCTCAGAAGATGGTAGGTATAATTGTGGTATATTAAACTATCATTAGCTACTCGTATGAGTATATTGCTTTTAAATGTTTTATGATTTATTTTTATTAGGTATTAACTTGGGTTTTTTTTTTTAAATGAAAACGACTTTAGACATGTTGAACACTTTTTGGGAATATATATTATATATACATAAAAAAAAAAATAAAAAAAAGCAAGTTAGTTTGTTCCCTCTGAGGAAAACCTTGAAGTGTTGTAGTTGTTATGATATTGCAATACTTTTTTTTATATCTAGTAGCTATTGAATTTATACTTTTCTATTACAGTATTATAAGTATTTAATTTGGTATACTTTATCTTACCTATAACAGTGACAAACAAACATAATGACTGGTACTGCGCCATTTTTGAAGTCCGACCTCTGTAAGAAAAATAAAAGTGGGTAAAATAATTAGTATGAAACAGTATCTACCTATGTGTAAATCTAAAAAAATTACTATATCCAATTTTAGTTCCTTCTGCGTTGTTTGTTTAAAATTTTATCACAATGAGATAAGAATGCATGTGTCAGTATGTATGCATTTAGATATGAATAACGAAAATTATTACAGTTATAAATGTAAATATTATATGCGATTCTTATTTACTTACATATTGCAGTTTGTATTCAGCGTTATACAGAGAGAGAGAGATAGAGAGAGTGATTCTGAGATCAAAATTTCTTAAAGATGTTCATTATCATTTGAGTATCAGTCCGAACTTTTTTGAAGGCGACGCGGACGATCATAGGATTGAACTCACGACCATCTTCGCTATGGTTTGGAATACTTAATATACGTAGCGGTTACATCGCACTTTTACGGTAAAGATTCAGTAGTGTAATAGTGCTACACCAACTAAACTGTATCTGCGTTTATTTAACCATGATCTATGAAGATTATTATTACTTATAAAATAAATAAGCATTAATTAATACTTGGAAAAAATTACGTTTCTATGAGTAAGAGGATAAGAATAAATTGTTTATTTTCAAGTAAATAAATAGACACTGATCTATTTTTCATCGTGCTCTCCTACCAAATTGTTTTTAATTACTCCTCTCCATTCAAAGGTTGCCTGGAAGAGATCGCTCTTAGCGATAAGGTCGCCTATTATTTTCTCATTGTGATTATTTCTTGTAATTATTTATATTTATAATAAATTTACTATTGTAATCTTTTGGAGGAAACAATAAAGAGTATCTATCTATCTATCTATCTATTTGGTAAATAATATAAGAATAAAATTTTTGAAGTTACCTATTCGATCGCTAGGTAAGATGGTATTAGTCATTAGTATTTGAAACTTGCAGCTTTGTCCCCGTAATTTTGAATAAATTTATGGTCGACTTATGTATTAAATGCCATTCACATTCACTGAACTCTATTGATTGAGTAAGTCGTTAATGGGGTAACAAACATACAAACATTAAATCATCTTTATAAACATTTACATTAATAATAGTGTCAGGGTTTTTATCAAGATTTATGTCAATATTTTTATCATTATATCAACATTACAATCATATCAGCCTTTAACTGTCCACTGTTGAACATAAGCCTTCCCCATAGGAGGAGTTTTGCTAGCAGTTGCCATGCTTTTCAGGCGGGTTGACAATTGCAGTTAGGCTTTTAGTGATATTTTAAAAGGGACGCTGCAGCCCATCCCTCTACCATTAAGTTTCTTTAATGGTCGATAATGGAATAGCAACCCCACCTGCGCTATCGGTATACACCGGCGGGGCACCAGTGAAAGATGAAAGGTAAGGATGAAGCAGATCAGTTAGCTCATCGTGACGAATTCGACAAGAATTGTTTACGATGGTTTCCAGGGGGAACCACGCGGAGGTCGACTTAATAGGGCATATTACTAGCAATGGGGCCGTCAAACTCCATTGCTAACCATCCCTTTCCTCCCTCTACCATTAAGTTCCCATAGACGCCTCTTACAACACCTACGGGAAAGGAAGGTGTAGCCTATTCTATGCCGGGACCATACGGCGTTATATATATTATTGTTGTTCTGATATTGTAACATTTATTAATTTGTCATTAGTCATGTGACGATATCTAAATAAGTTTCTATATAACAATACAAGTTGTGATTAAAGATACATCATAGTCATAACATAGATGATATATTTACATACAGCAAATACTTGCTCTAGTGTTTATACATTATTATTGAAGGTACCTAATAAATTATAGTGTTTAGGTACGTAGGTACGTATATGCTACACTTATCTATAGTATATGGTATCCTTATACATACTCGTAAACAATATCATGGTACCTTGTCCTATTTACAATTTGGAAATTATTAATAAAATCAGTATAACAAAGTACTATTTGAGTTTAATGGTGACTGTGTCTTAGTCATAGCGTAGTCATCAGTATTACCATCGCCAGCAACTGTCCACTGCTGAATATAGGCTTTCCCCATAGACTGTCATAAGGTATGGTCCCGAGCCATCTACATCCGCTATCTTGGCGTAGTAGTTTATTATTTAAATACATGTAAATATGTTCACGACTGTAGAACAATCCTTAAGGGGATAGTCAGATTTTGTTGACTTATTAACCTGTTTTAATTATTTTAATACTAATTTAATTGTTAATCTTATACAATGCCATAATAATATTTATTTAATGTAATAATGTGGACAAGTTCCTTATATATTTATACCTACATAATATGTATTTATGACTATATGTAAAGCCCTTATCTAAATGGACGCTTCAGTAGCTCGATAAGGAAACAATGCACTCGAAACAACCAATACACGATTCTAGGTGTCAAAGTGTCATTGACTTATAGCTAGCTAATTAAATAAACCTGGGTACTAGGTAATTAATTATATTTTACAATTTGTTGAAAATATTGTTTACTTATTTAGTCAAATCATCTTTTTAAAACACAACTTGGGCGATACCTATGAGTTTATTTCAAAATTGAAATCCTTATATTAGGGATTAAACATAGATACATGTACAGCTTCGTCACCATTGTAATCTCCTACTGCTGGATATATGTATATCGTTCCATCGAAGGATAATTTAATTAAAAAAAAAAAAAAAAAACTTTGTAGACAAGATCCAAGCAAGACTTCGCACATAAGAAACAATGTTAAAATCTGTCAAAGTTGATTTAATTACAGAATAACTCTTTTATAAATATAAGATTTTCATATTACACTATATGAGAACTTATATATTCATTTTAGAACACATATATACCTAGTGTGTTTTCTTGAAACTCCGGTATAACCACTAGACACGATTCAAACACTTTCGCGATGTAAAATTAGAAAACCCGTTCCCATGTAATTATGCACACAAGACACAAGCACTAAAATACCTGATCTGGAAGTTTTAATCCGGTGGGTGGGTTTGCACGTACAGTATATTTAATGTAACACTGGTTTTAATAACTTCAGTTGCGATGCGTGTGCGCGATGGCCCGGCATACGGTATACAGTGCAGCCGTGCGAACAGTGTGGCGACGTGCGGTATTCTGCGCTCGCGCACCCGCGGCGCTTGACATCAGACAGCCGCTGACCTCACTGATGCAGGAAGTCCACTGTTGGATGCGGTACTGATGCTGAATCAATCTCGGTTTAGTATCAAACGAGACCCAATATCGAGTTTTTAATATCATGTTTTTTTTTTTTTATCATGATAAGTAGAGTTGGAAGTCAATACAAATATCTGATATGTTAAATATTTATTTTTATAAACATAATTTTTTCAATTATATTTAGTTCCAAGGAGAAGGAGAGTACTCCAATGAAGACTTATAGAGGACATAGAGCTGCATATCGATTTTTCTTAATGGCATGAAAATGGAATGTTTTTTTTTTTTGTAATGGATGATATTGTTCTTACCATTACCAATGTGTGTATAGAAAATTTAAAGTAAGTACTTTATTATTACGAGTTGAGAAAATGAGAGAAGTAATGAACTTTTGTTCAAGTAATCATGAAGGTTGGTCAAAAATGTCATTCATAATTTTGACCTACGATCAATTTCTGATCAACTAAAATGGTATGCGTAAGAGTTTCTATTTATTTAATTATCTTTATAATTATTATTTACTGTATGAGTTAAATTATTCGTAAATAAATACGAATAGAAAATTACTGTCATCATTATTCATCATTTCGGCTAGATTTCAGAAAATTACTCTACTTATGTGTAATTGGTAAATGATATCTAATTAATTACAATTTTATTAATTTGTACGATATTCAGCAATTACTAAACTTTTTTTAATTCTTTTGTTAAGACTCGTAGTTATGCTTGCGTGCACATGGCAAAATATATTCGCACGAAGTTTTTTGGTGTTGTAAATATATTTTATATTCATTGCTTCTTCAGTTAGCAGAGTTTTAGGTGCGGAAAGAGTCAGAAGTAGTATGAACTTGAGACATGGCAATAACGACAAGTTGTAATCCGACTTTACGGTGCAGGCATTCTAACCCCGCAGGACTGGGACTTGAGTGCCGGTGACCTACCCGAGAAGGATATAAAACAAGTTGGATGTGGTATTCAACAATTTTGAATCCTTAGTAATATAATAAATGTGAAAATAAGACGGCTTAACTATGTCAAGCAATTTGGCATATAATATATACGGTCACGTGTACGAAGTCGCGGGTAAGGACTAGTAATATTAAAAATGTCTGTTACATTTATATACTTTGTACTTATATTTTTATGTACATTTATATCAAACTTTATGTCGATTGGTTGTTACCTTTACAGATTAACTAATCGATATGAAGTTTGGTATACATACTAAATGTACGTACGTACAGATATACGTAAGTTAAGATGAAGAATGGCAGACTTTTTAACCAAATGAATCAACATGTCCCAGTCACGCAGATAGATCACGAATAAGTTAGAATAATCCCACATAATGTTTTAATATATGATTTCAAGAAGAGTACAAAACGGTAACTGTTATATCTGTGTGTATTAAGTACATTGAATATAAGGAAAGATAAACTCGAATCATTCCATAAGTTAATTATTTATTATCAAACGTGAAGTCGTCCAGAGAGAGAAAATAGCCTCTATAAATTTATATTAGTGTAATTTAGTTTCTAAAATACTTTGGGAATACGAGCAAATATCTACATATATTTTAACTCTTTGTTTAAAAAAATTTAAATTCTGTGTAAAAAAAAGATATCGTCGCTGCAGGTTCGTTTTGGATTTGGACGAGGAAGATTGCAGAAAATCTATCTCTTAGTGTGTGGATATCTCTGTCCACTCACCAAGTTTTATTTGTGTATGTTAGGTCACTATGTGTTTACTGTAAAATACCTGTAAGTACTTGCATGGCTATGTTTTAAAAGGTAGAATATCAATATATGTATAATATAAAAAAAAAATATAAAGTATGTACTGTTTTACCTTAAATAGTTTTTCTCAAAACTTATAAAACTCAGGAATCAAGAATTCAAGAATTAAAGAAAAGGGGAAGTTCTTATTCTTCGGCTCAAGTTTTCACTTGCATAATTTTGTCCAATTGCTATATCTATAAGTCTTAGATAAATAACTCAATAATATTATCTCTTTCTGAACTATCAGCAGAGTTCATCTCTAGTTATGTTAAACGTGCCAAATCTAATAAACATATTTAAAACACAAATAATAAAAATGCAATAAAATATTAAAAGTAAAAAAAATGTAAAATATATAAAAAAGAATATAAAAAAAATGTGAATTAGCTACATATTACGTATAGGTATTTATTAAAGTCCAGTTTTATTAGAATCCACTCGTGAAATCTAAGTTTCTTTGTTTAAGTATTTACATATTTAGGGCATACTAAAAAGGGTTCACAGCTTCTTGCAATAATGTTGCACCGATGCTTGTCTAAAAATACTTCGGATGAAGTAGTTACACCATACAATTGCGAATTTCATAAACTAAAGAGAAAAGAATTCGCTTTGAATCTGAAGGAAAAAGAATTATCAAAGAAAGAGCGGTTATTGCAACGTAAGCTTTTGGACTTACAGAAACGTGCCGATCACAGAACCAATCAAGAATTTAGAGCAGCTGCAAAATTGAAAAATGCAAAAAAGAAATTATTACTCGTTCTTGATGCGAAAGATAAAATTGAAAGACACAATAAAAGTAAAAGTAAAAAGATATTGAAAACCCGCAGGTCATATGTTAAACAAAAAAAGAAAGCAAATGTTTCTAAGAAATCTATGTCGTTACTGAGGCTTCCACATTTATACTTCAGCGACCTACTGAAATATCCGTGTCGGTGTAACCTATTACATCGAGGGACGAAACGTGCTATTAAAAATGAATCAGGGTCATGTTTTAAGAGAATACTGGGAGGTGCGTGTGGTTGTAGGTCAATCAAAGGGAACACAGATGAGTCACTTTTAAAGAAATTTTTCACAATGCATCCTTGTAGATGTCTTGAACAGTTATCAGATGCGCGTGGGAGACAGCTATCCAGGGCAGCAGGCGACTGTTATTTGATGTCGCTTGGTAGGACACCCCAGCCATGGATCTATCATCGCTGGCCGCGGTTTTATCCACATTATTTAAGTGCTCGACATCATTGGAAAAGTCTCGGTCGTGTGTTATTGTTTGTGACCGGTATATTGTTTTGGACGCCATGTCTATTATGCTTGGAATTATGCAAATGTTTTTGTTGTGTCTGTTTTTCTAATTAGTAATTTATAAATATGTACATTTTAAACATTGTGTAAATGACTTCAATTTTATAAATACAATGTACCAGTATAGCCGCAATGCCATATGTGAACTTACTTACGAGAATTATTATTCTGTTAACAACGTTGATAATGGTATATAATAACTACGACGAAGTGTGTATCTGTAGAAAACTTTGTCTTTAGAATATCTTATAATAATATCTATAGTACCTATTATAATTTAATATTTTGTTCCACAAAAAACACCTACTTCAATCGTGGAAAATCTATTTTGATTTAAAAATTAAATTTCTGTGGGACTAATCTGAAAGTATAGTATATCTTAAAAATAAAAAAAAAACCCAATCCAATTATAAATAATGGAGTTATGAGGTAACAAACCAAAAAAATACAACGGAATTGAGAACGTACTCCTTCTTTTAAGTCTGATGAAAATACCTATACTGACAGTGCTAATAAAAAATAAGGTACTATATGATCACTACTGTGTTATAATAATAGGTACTTACTATTATAGTTTACATACTATACTATACATACCTACTCGTGATTTAAAAATTTGTGACGAAGGCGTTGCAATAAATATTTTACCTACATGTCCACTCACAATTTTCGGGATTTCAAGATGTATGTAACAATGTCTATGTATGTGTGCGACATAGCCTATGGGATATGTGCGGAAGTGTAGTATTTATATCTAGTTTATTAGATTACGGCTGTACGTGAGCAGAACCGATGTGGAAGAATGGCAAGGGATTGTTAGTAATGGAGGCTAAATTCAATTCAATTTATTCATAACAATATTACATCGTGTTGAACATTTTTTATGTTATAAGTTATAAAGAGATATCATAATAGAATTGTACACTACACTGAAAGTATGAAAGGATGAAGTTATAAATAATAATAGTCTAAAAATTACAAAATTACCAAATGTCATAGCTATATTGCTAGCCTATTATCTATTGCTTCCTATGAGATCAAACTCCACGCAGTTTCCTCTGGAAATTGTTGTGATTACTTCTTGTCAAAATGGCCTGCTTTCATCTTCACTTATTATAATTATCTCGCACTGGTGGCCCTCACGTATATACCGATAGTGCAGGTGGGTTTACCATTCTCTTTTTCACCCCTTAAAAAAACTTTTTAGGAGGTTGTATATAAATAGAATTTGATTTTTTTAAATTTTATTTATTAGGCACATAATATCATAACTATAAAAAAAAAAAAAAACTTTAATAGGAGTTACATTTGTGATAGAGCTAGGTTATAATCCAATTACATTAATATATAAAAGATAAAACTATAAAAAAAAATATTCCATATGTTCAATCATACTCGTATTTTGCAAAACAGAGAACAAGTTTTTTCTAAAGAGTAAATATTTTGTACCGAGTATGTCGATGGATTTGTGGTCATGTAGTAAGTCGTTATAATGACGTCACATCCTTACCACTTTAAATTAGAAGTGTTATTTCTGTAGATTTGTAAACAATTTATGAGTAGGATTACGTGCTTTGTACCTCGTATTAAAATTTAGCAGTAGAGATGGCGAATTTTATGTTATGAATGATTTTGTAGAGACATAGTATCTATGTCATTACGCAGATTTAATTGAAATCGAGGTAAAAAAAATACTTTATTCTGGTTATCAAACTATTTAAGTACTAGTAACTGCACATCATAGTTAATGACTCCTGCATTGTAGCTTGGCATATTAAACAACTAAAAATTTGCGTGCATGTATATAAATTACTAGAATGTAAAATTAAATTATAATATTGAATAGTTCATTGTGTCAAAAAATCACATGCAAATAAAAACAATTTTCAGCTCAAGATAAAATTTTGATCAGTGTTGAAAATTTGAACAGTACTGCCCGTAAACGACGACCAAAGGGCGCCGAAAAACAATCTCGCCCTATCCTGATCAAGGGATACGGCCACTTTCTTTTTGGTAGATTCATGTAGTAAATTATGTAAGTAGACATATCTACATTATTTATGGGTGTATACGTTGATGATGAATGAATGGACCGTGCGTGAAATACGAGAATATTATAATAATGTATAGTTCAAACTTTTTAAAATAATTTAAGAAATCGTTATATAAGCCTTTAATTTATGACAAATTGAAATGTCATTTTTTATGAATTTATTTTTATAGTATTAATTATTTACATATTTGTATATTAAGTATTATTGTATGCGAAATAAAATAATGCATAAGCCGACAATATTTTTTTGTATATTTGCCTGCATATTTAGAAAATGTTTTGTGTGATGATTATTGGTTCTAATTGCTGAAGTGATGGATATCCACCGGCTTCGAGTACTAAACTTTGAAAATATTAAAAATAAAAGTTCGTTAGCAGTCATTAAAAATAAAAATATTGTCACTAGAGATAATTTTATTATAAAACATGTTGACTGCAAATGTACGAAATTGCAAGGTACCCAAACGTCAAAAACAGCTATATATCAATACAAGATACGACCAAGAGGTTGTACTAACATTAATTATGTTATTTATAGGTATAAAATATGGCTTAGGTAATTCATCTCTCTTGTCCTTATTATTTTTCAGGAAAATATTTAAAATGCTCAATTAGTAAAAAGATGTTAAAGGAACGTTTAAGCTTGGGTAAAATGAAGTCATTCTTGGCTAAAAATCAGTCCGATTGTAAAGAAAATAAAACACAGCATAACGTTAAGAAACCAAATCCAAAGTGTCGAAATAAATATCGTAAAAGGAATACCGATACTAATATTCTGTATTCTTGTCTAACATCGCGTTCAACTATCAAGGAAAAGGAATCCGAATCAGATAATGGCCTAAGATCACCGTGCAGTATTTTGAGTTTTCAAAGAAATTTTCGTGAAATTAATCCATATTTATTATATCGGACTTATAATAAGAGGTATTCTTTCACTAGGGTCAGAAAAAAGAAAAAAAGAACAGATTGTATCAATTACCATATCGACGGAAAGTTTTCTTTAGATAAATTAAGAAACACTAAGTTAGAAGCTAGTGTAGGATGTAATACACCTATGGTCCATTATAATTTATTAGATGTTCAGCGACACAATAATAAGCATTCGTGTTCTTGCAAACGTTTCATATCCAAATACCAACAGATATCAAATTCGTTATGTCAGTCAAATGTTAATGGGTATAAACGTGATGCAAATGTGGCTGTAAATGGCATTTTATCAAACCCAATTAAAATAAGTAATGTTAAAATGAAAAATACGAGTAAAGAGAAATGCTTCACCTGTAGTCGATCTAAGAAAGCTTATCATCTGCCTAAGAAAGAATTCGCAGATGTTTATCAATATTGTTTTTCAATTTTGAAAATAACGTCAAAATATTTGTTATTTTTTATTGCTGTTGTTATATGGTCTCCATGTGTTATTGCTGTATTATTTGTTATATATATATGTTGATAACTTATCCATTGAGACCAAATAATATGACTTCAGATAAAATTGGATTCAAGAAAGATTCTCTAGATCCTCATTATTTTAAAAAATATATATCGTTTCAAAATCATAAAAGTAATATTCTAACATTAATAATTGAATGGTCTGCAAAGATGAGTCACTTAATGTTTGCTTTGTTTTATGTCCTATTCTCATTATTAAAATGTAATTATGGCCAACAATTTAATATTATGGATTCGTTTCATAACTGCGATATGAAGAAAAACAATAAGTGTTATTTGTGTTTTAGTCTACCGCATCATGCACCTTTCACATACCAATCGAAAATATATCCAAATCCAAATCCAAAGAAAAAATATACCTTACAATATGAAGATGACAGAGGATGGGTAATAAAACCAATGTCTGCAGCTGGCAACAACAATTACGCATGTCGTACTGAAACGGTACATGTAAATAGTTGCCAATGTCCACCTAAAATTAAAAGTAAAAAGACAACAAAATTGGATAAACCTAGAATTTCAGTTCAGGAGAAAAAAAAGAAGAACATTACAAGAAATCGTCTGAAATACATATGTGATTGTTCCCATGCATCTCCAATACAAACTAAAAAAAAACATAAAGTACAAAAAGAAAACATAGTTGACGAGATTCCATTTAACTCGAATACAAGATCATTACATGTACCTATCGTTGAAAATCCCTCTACATTACCTCTTCCTCCTATTTCAAAAGAGGCAACTACTATTACTAAACATTTTTCTAAATCTGAACCTAGACTGTCCATGCATAGAACACATAAAGCTACCTCAATGCGCGGCTTCACTTCTAAACCAATGTCTAAACGAACATCTATGTGTTACAAGCGTTCTGCTAGTCAACAATCTAAGGCTGTTAAAGTTAATTCGTCTCACAAGTGTAATATTAAAAAGGCTCAACAATTTTATTTAGTATCTCCGTATCATCGTCTCTATTTCCCAAAGAAAATGCAGAAGACTGTGATGTTTGATCGTAATACCGTTCGCAATGTAAAAAAAAATTGTAAGACTAGTAAAGAGAAAAAAGACAAACGGCGTCAACCGGCATTTGGAAAAAGATTATGTTATCTTTCTAAAAGTTACGGTTGCGATATAAAAAATGCAGTTAGTGGTGTTGAAACGGCAGCTTGGGGTAATGGTATAAAATGTGAAAATTTGTACATGAATACCTTTATACGACGGCCTTGTTATTGGATATATAAATGTTGTCCCTCTGTATATCCATGTTTTTTAGACTGTCACAAGTTTTTTGTAAATATTTTCCACGCTTTGATGTTCGTGCTAACTACATGTACGAGGTCTGTCCGGAAAGTTCGTATAAAAGTTTTTTAAAAATTTAATTTACAATTATTCAGGTAAATCAATTTTATCCCCTTCAAAGTACTCCCCCTGTGACATAATGCACTTGTGCCAACGCCGTTTCCACTGTGAGAAGGCTCCTTGAAAGTCCTCTGGTTGTAGGTTTCTCAGCTGCCCCGTCGTAGCTTTTTTTATCTCATTTATGTCCCCCAAATGCCGCCCCCGAAGTACCAATTTGGTTTTTGGGAACAAGAAGAAGTCACACGGGGCCAAATCCGGCGAATAGGGGGTGTTCGGTCACCGTAATGGAATTTTTACTCAAAAACTCACGGAACGATCTTGGCGCAAATTTTTTTCATTTGAAGTTCGTTTCTTAGAATTTCGTGGACCACGGTTTTGCCCAAATTAAGCTCTTCAGCCACCTGTCTGACCGTTAAACGACGGTATTATAAGTTCGAATTCTTTCCACGTTTTCGTCGGAATGTGAAGTGGAAGGACGTCCTGAACGTGGGTCATCTTGAACGCTTTCTCGGCCCTCTCTGAATCTTTTTAGCCACTTGTGGACGGTTGGTTCCTTCACAGCATCATCCCCATAAACTGTTCTGAGATCGGCAAAAATTTCACGGCCATTCTTGCCGAGTTTCGAGAGAAACTTGATTACGACGCGCTGCTCTTCAACGGAAGCGGGCTCCATGCCGACGGGGTTTCGTTAAGAGGTAACTTCACAGATGGCGTGACAAGCCAGTTCGCACCGCACGGCGGTCAGACCAGAACTGAAGCATTGTTAGGGACATAAGGAAGGGGTCCTGCGCTTACCTGGCCTCCCCACTCCTCTTTCTCGCATTCCAGAACACTTTTATACGAACTTTCCGGACAGACCTCGTATTTGGTTTCCAATGATTTGCTGTTTTTACATATGCTGTGAATTGTGTTGTAAATGCTGTATTTGACAATATAGTATTATAATATATATTTACTTATTTATACGAAATGTATTTGCATGTATATTTAATTTCTATATTTATTATAAACTAGGCCTACTTAATGAATAAATGGTTTACAATGGCGGGACATCAGTGGAGGCTGAAGTCAGGTCAGTAAATAACTCATCTTGGAGTCAATTATCAAAGTAGGAATTAACCATGATAAGTTCGAAGGTGGGACTGCGCGTGAGTCGACCTAACGAAGTATTATTATTGTTAGCAATGGAAACTAACAATACTACATAGGGGTGGGGGGGGGGGGAGAAGGGATTGTTAGTAATGGAGATTAGAAATCTCAATGCTAGCAATATACTCAACCAGGTCGACCTCCACGTGGTCCCCCCTGGAAACCATCGTGAATAATTCTTGTTGAATTCGTCATGATGGGCCTGTTTTCTTCCTCATCGATCACCCTTCACTGGTGCCCCGCCAGCGTATCCCGTTAGCGCAGGCGGGGTTACCATTTCATTATCACCCATTGAAAAAAACAATACCAATCACTTACAATCGACCCCAATGTCTATGTAGACATTGGGGTCGATTGTGAGGCGCCATTTCTCTAAACCTGAATTTAATAACATGGCGAAATTGTTATTCTAATAACCAATATGATTTGACAATGAAATATTATGATGAGGAATTCAGCGAAACTATAAAAATCTGTAATAGTGTGTTGAGTATAATCTAAGATTGAGAAATGAAGAATTGGTTTTTAAAAATGGCGTTTCTGAATTGATGCTTATTACGCATAAGAATCTGTAGAAGATACGCAGTTTGTGATCTCTGTTGATACTTTAAAAAGCTTTAAAATGACATTGACAATCCAAAGTAATGTTATGTCATTATGACAGTGTCAAATTTTTTTTATTAAAATTTGTACAGGTAGAAAATTTTAATGTGATCATTCTGTAAAATTCCGTTTTCAGTTGTCTGTTTACTTTATTATACAAATAAATTGGTGAAAAGTAGTAGTATTATTACTATCATTCTTAGTATAAATTCATAAGGTTAAAGTAATTTAATTGCCGCCGTATTACTATTATATAGGCTCCATTCGATTTTTGTGTACTGAAACAAACTTTGTGCAGTTGTCATTCTAATAGTATGTCAGCAGAGAAGAAAAATAAGCAGACCTTAGAGTTGGCATCATTAGAACCTGCTGTAAGGGTAAAACAATTGGCAAATTACGGTACCATGGTAGAAGTGGATCCAAACGTCCCACCGAGAAGGTAAATTGAAAATATGTCCTTGGATCCTCAGTCCTGACTAACCAGTATTCAGTGACTCAGATTACATACATAAATTTTTTTAATATTTTAATATACCTCATCTATATACTTGATTGTTTTTACTATAAACTTTTTTAATGTGATAAAGTAAAAACAAACTTCTAGTACCTTGTTAATACATAATTACTTATCTATATTACATGGATATGTGATAGCTAGGGATATAGAGATTGCTTTATGGAACATGTTCACAAGAGAAAATGAATAACTTGTTGTAAAGATGATAATATAATGGGCAGAAATAGGTGTAAATATGGGTGGGGCTGGATGGGTAGTATTGTCTGGTGCACGCCCCAGCATTAGAAGCAATGTTTTCAACTTTGGGCAAAGATATATTTGAGAGTATATATGCATTTTTTTAAGGGGCTAAGCCTTCCCTAGAATATAATATTAAATATACCAATGGACAGAAAGGGTGTGAAACATGTGATATGAATCATGATTTTACACTGAAGAGACATTAATTTAAGATGGAAACATTATTTCTGATCAATGCAGGAAGATGTCAACTATTCTAGTAACAGCCTTGCTTACTTGTTTGTTTATATAAGCTTTATTCTACATTAATATTCCTTATTTATATTTATACAAATAATTTTGCTTACATACCTCTAATATTTATGGGTTGTATATTTACTGCTCTATTACACACAATATTGTGGATCATAAACATTGGGTTATGTTTTCTATTACTTTATATATTAAATGTGATTATCTTATTACCTTGACACCACTACTGATCATGGGTTTCATAACAGGAGCCTATTAGGAGGGACAGGGATTGTTAGTAATGGTCTGCATTACTAACAATCCCTTTTCAGTCCAATTGCTAGCAATATACCCTATCAGGTTGACTCCACATGGTCCCCTTCTGGAAACCATCGAGCTGAATTCCAGGTGTATTCATCATGGTGGGCGAACTGACTTTCATTTCACGTATCATCCCTCACTGGATATACTGCCTCGCCAGCATATACTGTTAGCATAGATGGGGTTACCATTCCATTATCATCCTTTGAAAAAAAAAACAGGAGTCTATTAGTCGGTCTATATATAGTTTTTTGCATTTTTCTTAAAAAAAGAAAAATGGTATGTATAATAATGTCAACATTATGATATATATATATATAATTACCTGTAACCCTTCCCAAAAAATAAGCTTTCAAATATTAAGAAAAACTAGCCTTAGTACAGAAAAGAGAGTCCAATTTGTATCATATTACATTACTCAAAAAAAATTTGAAATCTGATCAAGATTAGCACATTCAAATAAACAAAGACTTCTGCTTCAATATATTATTATAGATTATAGTACTCAGTGTATTCTATTCAATGTTGTAGATATTTTCGATCAGGTCTGGAAATGGTGAGAATGGCTAATGTCTATCTTGATGAAGGAAGTTTAGAAAATGCATACATTTTATATATGAAGTACATGACATTATTCTTGGAGAAGATCCGTAAGCACCCAGAGTATGGTACTGTACCTGCACAAGTAAAGGCTGTTAATCAAACTATGTTAAAGGAAGTTGTACCAAAGGCTGAAAAACTTAAACAGAAGCTATTGGATCGGTATGCTGTAGAACATGCTCAGTATATAAAAGATCAGGTAAGATGGGGTTTTATAAATAACTATAAAGGTGGTATTTGAAATTGATTTTTATGAATAGGAGTGAGAGAGTGGGTTGAGGAAAACATAATAAAGGCATTATCTATTTACATATTTTTTTTATACCACTGAGGTGGCAAGCATACGGCCTACCTGATAGTAAGTGGTTACCATAGCTTATGAACACCTGCAATACCAGAGGTATTATGTGTGTGTTGCTAACCCTGAAGAAACCTCTTTACCCCCCTTTTGAAGAACCCCATGCTGTAGGCTCTTGGGAAATCTCAGCAGAAAGCTCATTCCATAATCTAAATGTTCATGGAAGGAAACATCTCTGAAACTACGTACGCAACCATTGAGGTTGAAATTCTTGTCGATGGTGAGCCGTACGATGGTAGAGAGTGGCTGTGGGCATCTAACCAATTTCTCACTATATTTTTTTTTTATTAAATGAATAGTGACTGGGCTCAATTTTGCGTGGGGTTAATTACCCCTATAATATTTGCTCATAATATATAGCTTTCTATAGGTGTAAGAATATTTAAAATTGGTTGTGTAGTTTTTGAATTTATGCATTACAAACAACCAAAGTTGTCCTCTTTACAATATTAGTATAGATAGAATATTCAAAAATTTTTTAAAATAAAAAAAAGAAAATTTTGGTTAAAAGTATAAATGTTGTGTATTAGGAAAAAAGACTCAAAGCTGAAGAGGAGAGGAGAAAGCAGGAACATGATGATGCTAAGTTAGCAGAGCGCCTACAGGCTGATGAGAACAGACGAGATGGACACTCCACCACACCACATTTATTAAATGCCGTATGTATTAATTCAATGTCGTGCAATTTTAAATATTGCTATTATGTGAGGTTTTCACGCTTTAATACCACACACTTTCTTTCATTTTACTTATGTTTTATTTAAAATGAACGATTGGGGCGTGCTCCTGATTTATTGTATTCAATATGCGATATAACAAAATTGATGCAGAAAAATTACTTCACATTAAAAACTTGGTTTCATTTGCAAGTAAGCAAAGATTTTTAATGCTTAGCTATTATAGCTTTATAATTAGCTTTTAGTGATTGATAAGATTACAAAAAAAATTTGACATTCTATATGTACTGCGCAGGAGGAGTGGGCGGTAAGTCCGTCGGCGCCGGCGATGGATGGAGTGCTGTACCCGGACGACTTCGCGGCTGAGCCGCCGCGCGCACCGCCGCACCACTATCGGCCCGCGCCGCCGCTCATACCACCTAAAACGCACAAGTAACTACTGTATTATTTTTCATACAATTTATTTGTTTGTAAGACATTCTTAGTTTGTAGGCTATATTGTAACATTTATATTTTAATGCTTTCATTCGGTTTGGGTGGTGCTTAAAGCATCAATAAACACATCAGAAGCCTAATGTAATTTACATTTATACACACAAATATGTTTAATCTGTCATTTTGGTGAGTTTTCCCTACAGTACGCAACCAGCCTTACACCAAAATGAGGGATGGGTAGGCAGTGATAAAATTAAAGGAATTGCTTGATGTAGCTTTTCCTCATACGTATAAAGTGTGCACCTACGTACGTATACTTATAGAAATAGGTCTTGTTCTACTGATAAGTTCTTACTATACCTACCCTAGTGATAAATCAGTCACATTAATGTTTATGTTCATAATACACAAAAGTGATAACGTAATAATACCTCCTGCTTGTAGCGCTATTTAATAATGATAAGTACTCGCGTAATGTTTGTGGTGTTGCGACGCAGCGAGGGCGGGTTCGGTCCGGCGCCGGCGCTACCACCGCTGTCGGCGTCGCGCCGCGTGCGGCCGGTGCTGGTGCCGGCGGCGCTGCTGCAGCGCTTCCTGCGCCTCGCCGCCGCCAACACCGCGCGCAACGTCGAGACCTGCGGCATACTTGCCGGCAAGCTGGTCTGTAGCAAATACTAGTTTTTTTTTTATGAAACTGGTAATGGAAAACAAGCTGTCAGCTCACCTGATGAAAAAAGGACCTCATAGAGTATATTGCTATTCCCATGGTACCCCTCATGCTTATGCGTTGCCATTAATGTAATTTCTCATTTTATAGTTATTCTATGTATACATGACAACAGTAGACAAATATTTTACCTGGGATATTATATGACTGTTTTCTGTTTAACTAGCTTCAATTAATCTACACATATTTTTTTTTTTTATATTGTCAAGTTGTATTATTACGACATGCTAAAAAAGTATGGACACTAATTATATTGTAGTGATTGAATGAATAAATTATTAAATAACATTGGAAATAAAACAATAACAAAAAATTCGATTTTAAACAGTTTTTCTTAAAAAAAGAACATTTTCACTTAGAAATTGTCTTTTTATATAAACAAAATTTTTTATTAAAAAATTACTTGAATAATAAAACATATGCCATAAATGGCATATGTTATGTAGTATACATATTATATAGTTATATAATAATATACATATACTTATTGTTTGGAATAAGCTAGATACTATTGTATTATATTATATTATTTAATAACATTACAAGATTACATTTGTCAATTATAGGAGCGGGACCAACTGAAGATCACCCACGTTATTATCCCGAAGCAGACCGGCACAGCAGATTCCTGTAGCACTAACAATGAAGAAGAGATCTTCCACTATCAGGATCAGCATAACCTTATCACTCTTGGGTGGATACATGTAAGTAACAATGTTAAATGATCTCAAAGTAGCTAGCTAACTAACTCGCGCCACACCTATACATTCTGTGTAATTTCTATGATGTTAATGTACTGTGAAAACAAAAATAAATGTTTAAAATGACTTATATGACAGTGTGGACGAGGATGTAAGAAGCTGTGTGGATAGTATGGCAGGGAATTGAAGAGAATGTTTAATTAGTCATGTTGTATACATTAATTTTATAATTTCACCTCTTCACAGTGAGACTAACTCGAAATTGGGTTTTACTAGCCATGTTTGTTCAAAAATTTTTATAATATTATTCTATTTAAAAAAAAAAAGATAACAGAAGAGAAAAAGAAAGTGAAAAGAGAACTTCAGTATTTATATCTATTTTTGTTTATTGAAAATAGGTATTTGAATGTAAAATTATAATTAGTATTATAGTAAATGTAATAATGTTAATTCTGAAATTTTTTTTTTAAATACATTATTAATAATATACACCCTTATAAAAATTTGTATCATTTACTCGTAGACTCACCCAACACAGACGGCTTTCCTTTCTTCAGTGGACCTTCACACCCAGTGTTCATATCAACTTATGATGCCGGAGGCTATTGCTATTGTATGCGCTCCAAAATACAATGAGTAAGTATCTGTCAGTTTGTACTAGATAGATAGATAGATAGATAGATAGATAGACAATTTATTTGCATTACTTACAGCACACAAATTACAATAAAAAAAAAAAACATACACGTAATACACAGCAAAAGAGACAAAAGAATAAAAATAAAAAAACAAAAATACAAAAACAAAATACATAATCTAACAATCTCCTTTGTTAACATTCCTTCATGCGTGTGCCATAGTAACACAAAATGGTCACAGCTCAGTTTATTGCTTTGCCCTTAAAAGAGCAAAACACTGATATTCTGCTGTGGCCAAGAGTCAGTCGCGAAACTTTTCATTAAAAATTTACAATATAAATATATATACATATATACACACATACATACATATACACATACATACATATACATATATATATACATACATATATATATACATATATACATATATACATACATATACATACATACATACACACACATACATACACATACATATATATATACACACACACACACACATACACATATAAATAAACTGCATTGTATGTGTCCATTATATTTGCCTCCACTTGACATTATATTCTACATAAATAAATAAATAACAGATACCATTAGATGAGGGGTAGTCAGAGATCACTTTCTGTCACATTCAGATATTCAGGCAATAAATATTTCGGCTACGTACCTATTGGGTATTCCAATTTTTTGTTTATTAATTAAAAAGATTTTAAGTTTTTTTTTAAAAATGTGTTTACTATTAGACAATCTTATTGGGGGTGGTATATTATTCCAGCATTTCGTAGCTTGGTAGCGGAAACTTCCCTCAAACGCCACAGTTTTATGAGGACGCCCTGCTAATAAGTAGCGCGTGGGTCTTGTACTATATTTGTCATGGAATGAATTAAATTGTAATTTAGAATATAGATATTCCGGTCGCCGATACTTTAAGATGTCAAATACTGTACAAGCGAGATGAAAGTTTCTTCGAGAGGACATGTTTAAGGTGGAATAATTATTTAAATATGGCGTTACGTGCGTTCTAGGCGGAATATTGTGACAAAATCTAGTACATGCATTTTGTACTCGCTGTATAAGACGTTGAGTTTTAGAATGCAATCGAGGTCCATACACTAAATCGCCGTAATTCAATTTAGACAAGATCAATGATTCACAAAGAGTGACACGAACTTCCTCATTCAGAAGATTTCTAATTTGATATAGAACTCTTAGACGATAAAAGCAGCTTTGAACTAGTTTTAGAACATGAGTCTCAAAGCGTAGTTCACTATCGATTACTATTCCAAGATTCCTAGCTTCTTTAACATAGTCAATTCTTTCCCCGGAAATATATATGTCAGGATTCTGGCTAAATATAAATTTTACTTGTTTTTTAGATCCTAGAACCATGTATACAGATTTTGTGGGGTACTAATAGCTAATGTTATGACAATAATAATAATAAAGTAAAAGGTTGTCTGCAAGAGATTGCCCTAGCGATATGACCGCCTTCTGTACTTTTATGTGTATATTTCAATCTGTATTTATGTTACTGTATTTCACTTGAATTGTTCAATTGTCATTGTATATTTTTGTTTATGGTGCAATAAAGAGTTAAATAATAAAATAATAATAATAAAGCCTTTATTGCTGCTAGTATTTAATTCTTTTCTTTAAACATTACACATACTAATTTACTTTATTTCCAGCTTGACCTTTGACATAAGCTTCCTTAAGAGCCTTCCATTTTTCTCTATCTTTTTAATTTGTACCATAATTTTCCTGCTGTTGTTTTTATTACTATAGGTAATAATGAACATTTGTACATTTAGATATTCTTCTATTATACACGGATTTGTATGAAATTTGGTACACAGATGAATTGCTCTAAAATGCACGCGGGTAAACCCGCGATCTACTGCTACATATTCATAAAGCATTATGTTCATAAAAATATTAATTAATCTATATGTAGTCAACATCTAATCCAGATTTTCTAACATAAAGTGAATGCAGGATTCGGCGAGATAAAGGAAATGATGTCAATATAAATTTACGTTTGCACATTTGTTTCAGGACTGGCTACTTCGCCCTTACACCCGAGTATGGTATGGAGTTTATAGCAAACTGTAGGCAGTCTGGCTTCCATCCACATCCCAACGATCCGCCGCTGTTTTATGTAAATATATATTTTTATATATATTCTCTCTTTATTCTTGACAATTTCAATAGTTCACATATTTACTGCGATGAAAATTCATGCCCGAGTCATTGTCTTTGAACAAAGTCTCAATTTAAATTATTAAACTTACTAATATAATTATAACTAGATGTTGTACATGGGAGATATTTAACAAATATTGATATAAATGGATGTCTGACCATCTATCTGTTTGTATGTATGTATGTTCTGGCATCACACAGAAACTATTGCACTAAATTAAATGCGATCTTCACAATTGTATTCCTCTTGAGGAACCTTCTTCTAACTTAAAAAATTGTGCTAATGTTTTATCTTAATATCCCAATTAGAAATGGCCTATTTATTAGTTTTATTACTTCTGAAATCCACGCACGAATACGAAGTAGTGGGTAAAAAGTTATTTAATCAATAAATTTTTAATGAAGTGATCGTAATTTTTTTAATGTATTCTGTTATAGGATGTCAAACATATACGTTTGGAGGACTCAGCGCCTGTAGAAATGGTAGATCTCAGGAGGTGAACTCGAAACTAACTAGTTGGTATATTTTTCACTGCAATGCTTACGATAAATAGTTACTACTCATTGGAATTTTCCTTTATATTATTTTGTAAATGTGTCCTACGATATTTTTTCTTTGCAAAACTTTAATACTGAATCGTATTTACTGTTAGAGAAACATATATTGTTTTTAGTTTTTGTACAAATGAATTGTCTTCTTGTATAAATCTGTAATAAGTGGCGTTTAGCGGTCTAGCTTTATAAATTATTAAGTTTAATTATAAATTATTTTACGTGGCATTTAAATAGTGATTGCGGTAATGACTAGGAATCGGTTAAATCTTGTATTTAACATTACATTTATCTTATTTATTAATAAATATCAATTTATATGATGTACTTCTCACGTAGACATTACGTCTATGTACTGCCGGTCAATCAGATATTCTTATACATATATACTGGTCTCGATTTTAAAGCTATTCCCTATGTCTATTTCTAAAAAAAAAATTACTGTGATATTATGACGAAATAATTTTCCTAAGAACAGTATGAACAAGATGTATAACAGAATTGAGTTAAAAAGATTTTTAGTAGTATTATATTATGGACTACCAAGCTAAAAAAAGGAGTGGTCCCGGCATAGAATAGCCATTTCTCGTGGGGAACTTAATAGTCGAAGGATGAGCATTAGTGTCCCTCTTTAAACAATACTAAAGCCTAACTGCGGTTGCCGACCCGCCTGCCAAGCATAGCAACTACTGGCAAAACCCTTCCCTTCTGGGAAGGCCTGTGTTCAGCAGTGGACAGTTAACGGCTGATGTGGTGATGATGATGAAGCTATTTGACATATAAAATTAATACAATAATGTGAAATTACAGGGTACAGAGGAATAACATCTGAGTCCTCGGGAAACTCGGGAATGGCAACGCATGGGGGGTATCATGGGCGAAATAGTATACTCTATTATGTCCATGGTACTGCTCACGTCTATAGGCGACGGTTACCACTTTCCATCAGGTGGACCGTCAGCTTGTTTGCCATTCTAAGTTGTATAAAAAAAAAAAGCTAAAACGGTAAATACTGCTTTAAACTGACATCAAAGTTAAATATAAGTTTACACGTACTTATTGTGGTTATGTTTTTGTTAGTTTCCTCTATTTTGACATTGTTATAAGCGTTCTGGTTACAGGTAGACTGGTTGGCCAATCTAGCCGTCACTGTCTTGTTGTCTGCTTAAATGTGCTAACATGTGTAAGGTTGTAAATAAGTGCGATGTAGTTTTAAAAGTATTCACTTTAAATTTGGTTCTTGTTAGTCGCATATCTTTAAACTGTCGAATTAAATTTTTATTTTTAGGGATAGGTTTAGGGAATTGCATATAAAAATCGATCCCAATATATACTTTCCTATCTTAGGTTTTTTGAAAATGCATCATTACATTTATGTACTTGTGAAAGTAATATATATATACATATATATGAAATATTAGAGGTATAAGAATACACGGGTGATATAATGTATTACTGTGAGTCATAGCCGAAGACTGATGCTTTAGATAACTGTTGAATATTCGAATTATTATTGTACGTATTGATTTTGTTAATGTTTTGTTTGCGTCACGTAAGTTGAGTGTTGTTGAGGTGAACTAAAAAAAAAAAATTGTTTCAATCTTAGATTATATACATAGAGCATCGAGCCTTAAAAACGGGTCAACTTTTTGCCAGCTAATTGTCACATTAGCTGATACGTTTTTTATTATTGTTCTATATACTTAAGCACACAATGTATCTTGACGTATTATTTAATAAATTAGTGTTTACGCATTAAAAAATACAGAAATTAAATGACAAACATAAATATAGAAGTTATAAAGAAATCACTCATATCTATTTATTACGCAAAGTTGTATGAAAAAGTTGACTAGTTTTTCTCGAAGCATTTTTATGGAGATACTCTATTTATTTAATCTTGAGGTCTCAACATACTAATAACACAGTATAGGGAATAATCAGTGCTCCAACACCTTTGGCATGTACCAAAAGTTTATATGACAATTCAGGACTCATTACTCTATTTAGATATGTCCATTAGATGACTGTTCAGAAAGAGTTGTCTAGACTGTGCTAATATTCTAAAGAGGGTAACATTTGTTTGTATGTATGTTGTAATCTTTTAATGTACGGTATGTTGTAATATGACATAGTAGATCGCTAGACGTGGGACACGATCGTTCGCGCTGTGTTAATTGGATGTGTTAATTGGGCGATATTATCACGTTCAAGTGTAACAATGTATACACAAGTTGTATGTATTGTATTATGTATTACTATTTATACCATTTTTTTTTTCCCTTAAAAAATGCTATTTCATATTATTTACAAAGTTATTATTTACCTAAATTCTATTATTGTTTACTTTTTTTTTAAGCATGGAACAAAATTATCTCTGTTATATCAAATGCCTTATAAGTATTTTTTTTTTGATGTCTCATTATCTTAGAGCCAAGCTCTAGTAAATTAATTGTTGACACAAAGAAGACTAATGAACACGCGGAATATTATGAGGGATAAGAATGAGGGGGTGGAGTTGAAGTAGATAAGGGCTCTGGTTGAGTATCAGTTTGAAGCTGAACTGGGTTTTGAGAGCCACCAGTTTGCTTGAAATGGCGCAATTCGGCTTTAATATATATTGTATTTACTAACATTGTGTATACGGGTTTCATAATTTTAAACCTAGTTTATATAATTTTGTTTCAAAAACATAAAATGTTTTGTAACAATGGCTAATGTATTGGTATTGTTATATTTATTGAAAGAGTTGTAATTTTGGATGGGAACAAGGATTCCGCGTATTTAAGTTCAGTATGAATGTCTGTCCGTGTTGTCGATATTGATTTGGTACCTAACGTGCGGCCAGACAACGTTGTAGTGCAGTGGTAAGATCATGCGGAATATTTTTTTTTCTCATCCGTTATATATAATTGTAATAGATACCTGTATACTATATTGTTTAAAAATGTACTGCTAATACGTGTCTGAAATGTAACACGAAAACAAAATGGTTTCATTGATGCAAAAAGAAAACATTGTATGTTTATTAAAAACAAAAAATAACTAAACGAAACTTACAGTAAAAGGTGACGTTATGTTATCAAGTTTAGGTAATGCGGTGTGTGTTCTGTTAGTACAGTATATAAAAAAAAAATATTGTTAAACATTTGTCATGTGGTACCGGTATAGAACGGGCCACTCTTCCCTTTCCGTGGATGTCGTAGGAAGTGACTAATAGAACTTAAAGGTTGAGGGGTGGACAGTAGCGTTGCTCTTAAAATATCACCCAAGCCTAACTACTGTTGCCAACTTGCTTCTCAAGCATGGCAACTACTGGCAATACCATCCCTTATGAGGAAGTCCTATTTTCAGCAGTAGATATTTAATAGGTGATATAAAATTGTTACATATTTAAATATTATTTTTTAAAGCGATTTTTATGGACGGTTTATGTTTTAACACACGATATTCACAAAGTATTTGTGGTACATTTCTAAACGAACATGAAGTGAATGTAAATTTTTAATCGTCACACTCATCGCTTTGCTTTTTGCACGGGTAATTTGCACACTGATAAATAATACGGGGAACGATTCAATGTGCCATTTGTATAGTAACTAATAATAATAATTGCTAATAAATCGTTGTAATAGAGCTGAGGCTTGCTTTGTAAGTAAAATATGGTGTATACACATTGGCATATTTAAGATTATTTTTCAGGGTCTTATAAAAGACGTATAATTTTCGTAGTTTAGAGCTCAGCTCGTACCACGAGAGGTGAACTGGACAGTTCTGGGTGGGCATGGACCACCTAGTACTCCTTAAAAATGTGCCTATGTATATACGTTTTTTTGCAAAAGTAAATGTGTGGTCTGATGACTGTAATTGGAACCAACGTTGTATAAGATGTTTAAATAGAACTCATAGGCGATATACAGATGGAAGCTTGGTACTTCCAGCTGTTGATGTTAGAAGATACTGTTTTGTACGTTGATAAAGAAGATTAGATATTAATTAACTTTGCTAAAGAGAGCTTTTGTAATTAGAGTGTTTAAACATGTTTTTAAGCAGATCAATCCGGTGGGCTTTCCCCCGCTTGTTTTCAAGTTTGGAAACTATCTTTTCACCCAACCGACAATTTATATTAACAATTTCTGTTATTACGTAACTATATAATATGAAGACAAAGTTAACAAGCCACAAAGATTATGCCTGGAATATCTATTGTTCGATTGAACAGACTGTCGATGAAGTGCTAAACCTGAGAGGTTTAGAATGAATTATATTTGATTTTAAATCTGAATTTAATTGATTGAAACTGAATTGCATCTCTCTTTGGTCTTAAACTATTATTAAAGCAACTTAAGGATTTGTTGAACTATTAATGAAAGGGTTCATTAAGAGGTGGTTTAAGTTTTCATAAAAACTGAGAGCATTTAAACAGGTAATGTAAATATAATTTTGTTATGTTGTTTTATTTGTTTCGTCACGGCAGAAGGAGTTAAGATAATAAAAAAAAAAAAAAAGCGGGGGCAGCCTAAAATTATATTTTTGCCTTTTTTTTTTATAAACAATGAGTATAAACATACTCATTGTATATAAAAAAAAGGCATGTGTTTTGTAGATAAATGTTATTTGTTGTACTCATACAATCTTACCCTAACATAAATCAGTGTGCAATAATTATAAGATCTGAGTCTTATGTTTGTGTGATTAATTATTAATATGGACCAATGTGAATAAAAGTCTATTAAAACCAAGTTTAGTTTCATTTACTTTATTGATTATTATAACATGGTAAACATAAATGTATGTATGATATGTAAACAGAACATAATCTTCTTTTTATTGCTATTGACGGCCATTTTATTATTTAGATATTGAACACGTCGTCAATTACAAATTAACAAAAACATTTATCAATTTATTTGCGTGTACTTATTTTTTGTTTTAAAAATTAATTAAATACAATACAAATATACAAAAAATGTGTCCTATTAATGCCTATATATTCTCTTACTGACCATATAACAGTTTTTTTATATTTATTTCTGTACTAAAAAGCGTTATTATATGAATAGTGAGACATTTATATAAACGTAATTGATGTATTAATCATATAGAAATAATTCATTAATCGGATTTAAGAAAATAATATTTAATTCAATTGAAATAAAGACTTATCGATGTATGATAAGACACGAGATTACAAAATAATAGACATTCTGATTTTGAGTAAGTTTTGTTGTAATGGCTAATTACAATTTTACAACAAAATATTAAATACAATACTTAGTATTAATGGGATACAGGCGTGGCAGATATGTATGTATGTATGTACTTAGTAATGCTTATAAACAGCAAAAGAATAAATAATTTTGAAAGCCAATTTTTATTTCGCGTTCATTATTGCTGAATTTATAATAATACCAGTTCTAAGACATGCCTCATCTATAGTTACCAGTGATCGAAGCCTGTACTTACTACTTAGTGCGATCCTAATTGAGTACATAAAAATACGTTGCTATAAATACATTTATAAATATCTATCTATGTTCACGCCGGGCCTTTACTAGAACAGGCAGAAAGAGCAGCGTCGGAGGCCTCTATCCTTATACAACTAGATATCATGCTTCATTCCTTTTCATAACTCATCCCACGGTCTCATACATACATGGTTCTGAAGATTCTATACTTTCCTCTGATTCTTTATACATTCTTAAAATTATTATAGGCGTACTTGGATCCTAAATCCTTCCATTTTGGTATTATAGTTATATAATGTTTAACCATTCATCTGACATTCATTCCAAATCCCTAACCAACATAGATTGCCCTTTGTCTTTTTACATCAATACTTTATTTCAAACATTTGCTTACACTATTATAGATAAGTATAGTGAATGCGATCTGTTAGCCTTACTTTGTAAATTCTGCGCAATGCATATTTACCTCATTCAGGTATTCTGAGTAGTGTGGAAATAATCACGTTCAATCCTAGTGAATTTTCCATGATAGGCTAACAGGTCTGTTTTCGTCACAGTTTTATCCTCCATACTGAACTATGGGGACAAATGTGGAATTGTATACCTACCGCCAACTGCGCATTTTGGATTTATTATTAATTCTATTCCTAGCATTCATTTTATGTATTGGCAGTGTATTTCCCATCTGAATCCACACTTAAGATATACAATTTCATCCACTTGTTCCAGTAGTTCATTACCTACCAATCTTTAAAGTAGGGATAGATAATATATAGCAATATCTATATATTTTAGTTACAATATATATATACTGACCCAATAATGAATATGGTAAATATGTCTTATTTAATATGTAATATCAAAATGAAGAAATCGATCGAAATTAGTATAAATATCCGACCGATATGGACGATATCCAAATGGGTAATGATGCAACAAATGACCTTTGTTGCACCATCAATGTTCATAGGATCACAATATATAGATATTGGAGCTGTATATATATTACCCATGCCTACTTTAAAGTTATTATTTATGTTATATTTATAAAATAATCTACGAAAGCTCCATACGTAAAACTTCATTAAGTCCACAGAAACCCTAATCAACAGTCAAATACTTCTCCACTATCCATTTATAAATCTTTATAAATACTTAATAATAATAATTAGATACTTAATATGCCGCGAGATCAATTGGCGCATTAAGCTTCAATAATTTTTCTCATTTATACAAGTACAATCTATTATTAAAAGCAATATACAGACTACTATATAAATAAGGCACTCGGTGCTTGATATGCTAACAAATATTGTTATCAAATAAAACAACATAGAATTAAGTAATACAATAGTAGTTACATCTCTACAATTTTATATATCATTTGAGTATGCCATCCGCCCTTGGGCGTAGGTACCCAGTGTCTGGGAGGGTCTTGCTTACTGCGCGGTTTTTTTAAAAGTTAAGGCAAACAATTTTCGAAGTATTTAAACCCCCACACCAATAGGGTTTGGTGAGGGGGTTTAAATACTTAACATTAAAAAGGTGAAATTTACCTACATAAGAAAAAATACAGTTTTTTATTATGATATTTGCATAACCTAATAGGTGCCTAAATATTAACTGAAAATGTGAATTACCTAAATATAATTTATATATTTTCTACTGTTATAGACACGTAAGGCTTGTACAGTGAACGTCCTTTATGTGCAGCTAAATGACAAGAGTTTTTATTAGTCCTTCAGTGTGGGAAAATTTAATGAATGAATCAAATACTACTTAGTATGTTACACAGCCCCGTATAATGTCACACTAAGAACAGCTTTGCATGGCTTGTAGGAATTTCCTACTATGAATATTAGACAACTAATAGATATTTATTATATTTTATAATATTTTAATACAATGGAGCTGATTCTGAGGTACTATTTGTCTAAATTTGTACAAATAACTTGTTAACTTTTAGTGTATTAGTTTAGATAAACGTTTTTTTTTGTTTTAAAATAAGAACAAGAGCATGTTTTCAGTGTTGCAAGAAATTAGATTAAAAATTTACTATATTTTGAAATTAGAGTTGGGAATTATTTTTCTGACATACTATAAATATACAAAATGTAAATATTGCTTACAAAACAAAAACGAAAATATATTTTGTGTCTTTACTCAGTAAAGATTAGTATTATTACGAATCACCATGCACTGTTTATTTGGTTCTTTCAAATATAAGAATTTTGTATTGTTTTTATTTTCCAATTGAATTTTACAATATATTTTTCCCCATATCTTAATAATAAATGTACATTATAATAATCCTATTAAAAATGATTAAAAAGTTGACCTGTTTTAAGCGAAACATTTGTACGGAGCTAAGAACAAGGAATTACACAATCTTTGGTACGGAGACACTATCTATATAATATAAATAGGATATCGACATTAGGCACAGACTAAGGCAACTTGTTTTTATTGCTTCCATTGCTAATCCTTTATTTACAATTTAGTATCACTTAATAAAAAAAAAAAAGCTAAAACCGATACTATTATACCTAAGTTACAATAAGTTAATGGCTAATTAATCCAATTTTCAATTTAAGTGGTTTCAGTAAATGAAACGGCGGAGTTCAAATAAAATACCATTGGATTAGAACTAGTAAAGAAATGAATATGAGATCACAAACATGTACTTATAGTCTATACATAGACAATTGGCAATAGACACCATGTTGGATAACCACAAAAAGATCTAGATAGGTATTTGATCTATATATAAAAAAAGCTTTAGACTTACACATTAAGGAAAGCTACAGGTACACGTTTACTGCGCTTACTTTAATTACATTTATTAATATCTAAATTATTTAAATTACTTATGTTCACAGAATTTTTCGTTTCAATTAAGTTCGTATTTAGAAAGCGTGACTTCACTTCATGTGATTTTAATATGGTATTAGAGTAATGCACACGTTTAAAGGAGTACCAAATTCATGCTGCGTACATAACAATCTATCTACTATACTATTGCTAAATATAAGCACATTGCTTTTTGTTGTACTAACCTAATATATTTTTATATATTTTATTTGGGTAGATATATTAAATATTGATATTAAAAATTTGTACATTAAAAGTCAGCAGTTATTAACGGGGGAAGGGATTGTAAATAGTGGGGACTAGAGATCCTATTGCGCCTAGCAGTTTACTTTGTTAGGTCGACCTCCACGCGGTTCTCGCTGGAAACCGTCGTGGTTTATTCTTAATGAATTCGTCAGGATGGGCTAAATAATCTGCTTTCATTCTCACTTATCATAGGTCACTGGTACCCCATCAGCGTATCTACGGTTACCGTTCCATTATCTTCCATCAAAAAAGAGTATAGGTATAAAAGCAAGTAATTTCTGTAATGGTACTTTAGTTTAAATATATATTGTTTTTATTTAAAAAAAAAAAAACTATGTTCAAATTTTGTTATTTTTTTTCGTTACATATGTATATAGGCATCCAAAATATATATCATTAAGAAATTAATTTTATCAGTTACAGTGATATAAGGATTCATCCAGCGTTAAAGTTTAAAAAAAGCCAGATTTAAATTTAAATAAAACAATTAGCGAATATAATCACTATGACAGTTGTGAATATTTGTTTACAACTATTGGTCGTGGCGGAATTGGTGTTCATTTTCTTAAATTTGGAAGGCAGCTGCATGGGTACGGTCTTATTGGACATCCAGTAGTAGACGTCAGTCAGACCTTGCGCCTTCAGCTCCGGCCCCACCACTTTCCTTATCCGGTCGTTGTACGCGTTCAACCAGTTTATCTATATTGATATAAAAAAGTAGGCATTGTACTATTAATTTGCTAATGTGTTAAACCGTTTCTAGATATAAAATATATAGAATATAAAAAATATATGAGATTATTAATTTGACCTTTAATTATACTGTAAAAACTATATTCAAATTGGTATAGCAATTTTTACGTGATGTCGGAACGAACATAGACAGACAAACAAAAATTTTGAAATTATGGTTTTAGCCTGTGTCTTATTAAGACTTCTCATATCATTATTTTTTAAATATCTCCCATATACAGACATCGTCTAGTTACAATACGCACACAGCCTCATCCATATTAGCTTGGATTTAACACATAATGCCACGTAGGTGACGGGAACTGGTGAAGGACTTTATTTCTATTTTTTTTTTCTCTTATGTGGTGTTCTGGTATGATAACACAAAGTGTTATATAATTAGATCAAAATGCTTTAACGAACATATTGTGTCACGGAAGATTTAGGTGAGATTGTGGTAACACTACCTCTCGGTTAGAACATTATGTTTTGATATCATGAGTCAGTAAAAGAAAATTTCGATTGATTTTCGAATTTACCTCATAATCCGTTAACATGTTTTTGTCGATAAGTTTCGGTTCGAATGGTATCAATGTCGCTTCACGGAACCCAATATATCCGCTGGGTTTAGATATCACCTCTAGGACGTTGCCTAACTGCACTCCGAACTTCATTCCTTCGTACCAGCCAGGTTCTGTGGTGAAATATTAACTATTATATAAATATATAATTAGAAAAATTACTAAATGAGTAAATTTTAGTAGTAATTAGGCATTTGTGCCAATAAATTTTCGGTAGTACTGTACTGTAGAAATATACTTAATAAGTTGGTAAGTATTTAATTTTTGTATTAGAAAATGTAGTATTTCTCACCGACAGTAATATAATATCCTTCTCGGAATGGGTGTAGGATGACATCCTGCCTATAATCTATAACCACTGGATCTGAAAATAAAAAAAGGCTCAAAAATTACTGTATAAAAATACGTACAACTAAGTTTAATTGAATGAAAAAAAAAATTGTACCAGTTATTTTTCACTTTTTTTTATCGCGTATATACATTGTATTAAGTCAGGATATAACTTATACATGCACCAAATTTTATTTAAACCCGTTTAACCGTTTAGTCGTGATTGAATAACAAATATATTTATAAACTTTCACATTCATAATACTAGCCACATTTCACGGCTTCGCCCGTTTGAGTTAGTATATAAAGTTTTTTATATATTAAGTTAGGATATAACCTATACATGGATAGGTTATATCCTAACTTGACATATTATATATCAAATTTAATTTAAATTCGTTTTATCGTTACTGTGTGAAAGGGTATTTATTCATTTTCACAAACTTTTGATGTTTATAATAAATAGTAGGAAGTAGGATAGTTAGAAATTAGGATTAGAAGGATAATTATAATAGAGTGCACACCCTCGTGGCGGTTGAGCGCGGCGCCGACGCCGTGCCCGGTGGGGTGTGGGTAGTCCTGGCGGTGCGCCCACAGCGGCGCCCGGGCGGCGGGGTCGGCGTGCGCGGCCGGCAGCGACGCCGGCGGCTGCAGCGTCGACAGCGCGGCCAGCGACCGCAGCACCGTCGTGTACGCTTTGCTCTCGTCCCTCGACGGCTTTCCGTAGTGTAGGGTGCGGGTCACTACTGTTGTACCCTCTGAAAATATAGTTCTTTTTTGTCTACTGTCCATCTGATGGTAATCGGGTACTGTAGTGGGAAGTGAATTGTTAGTAAAGGGGTATAATTGCCTCATTACTAACTATATTTTCAGTTATAAGTCCTATCAAGTCGACCTCCACGCGGTTCTCCTTAGAAACCATCGTGATCCTTAGAAATCATTGTTGAATTCGTCGCGTTGGGTTAACTTTCTTCATCCCCACTTATCATCCTTCACTGGTGCTCATTAATTCTCACCCTTTAAAAAAAAGCCAAGTATTGTGTGTAGACATTTGGTCTCTAAGACACGTCACAAGGGTATCTATAGATAGAATAATTTGGATTAGCGTTTTCATAAGCAGATTTCATGAGATGTCGTCATCTCATGCTATCTCACCAATTTCGTAAAATTATGATTATAACGGTAGTTTCGTTTGCCACTTCTCTAGGGAAGCTGACCGTTTAGATAAGTGGTATCGAATCTTTCGATGGATACGTTATTGCTTACGCGTGCATGAGACCGAGGTGGCAACGTCCCATATGTCGTACTGATACGATTGCTAAAAAAATTTGTGTAGATTTGTTTGTTTGCGTTGATTTTTTTTTGTCTGTTTATTTATTTAATAGATAATGAATAAGTACAATGTTGGTAGGTATTTGTCATCTTACGCGATATCTTATAATAAGAATGAATATTACAGCTGTAAAAAGAGTAGTTGCATTGTTTATTTATTTATTTATTTATTCTTTATTGCACAATAAAATTTTGTACAAATGGCGAGCTTAATGCCATATGGCATTCTCTACCAGCTAACCATTGGGTAAAAACAGAAAGCGTATGAAGGGCAGATGTGGTGAAAAATATGTGACAATTATAGTAACACATTAAGGCAATACACAATATAAATATAATTGTTATTTTACTCTAAATGATAATATTTGTAAAAATTGACGGTGACAATTAAGAATCTAAGCGATAGACACAAGACTATAATTTGGATTAATTTTATACTGTAAATTTATTAATACGTACCATCATATTGTCCTCCGGAGCGTATAATCAACGTGGAGTTAGGAAATACACGTCTATTGGTGAGTATAGTGGGGACATAGTAAGGGTCCGCCCCGTTAGGACCGAACGCGACGCGAGTCTTCATAGACAGGCCAACGAAGCCCGCCTGCGTCTCACGCGTCACTTCTACAGTCTTGGAGATCGACATCTCGGATTGTGATGTACCCTGCAATATGGGATTATACAGGGCGTAATCTAAACCATCTTATTATTGTCATTCATAGCATGTAGTGTACCACTGCTGGGCAGAGGTCTCAAACAAACAACAAAAATGTTGTGTCATGCAAGCAATTATTTTGCGGTAAAAATACATGAGGTACTCAATAATACAACTAGTCTCCCTCTGGTAAAAGATCAAGTTTTATTTTAAGATTGCTACTCACACGTCGACCCTCGAGGTAGCTGAGTAACGTGCACATAGCGACAGCGTCTCGCAAATGTGCCTTCGTCATACCATTGCTTTCAGCTTCATTCTTCTGTGCCTTCAGGTAGATTATCGGTGACAATAGGAACACACGTTTGGCTTGAGGGACACTTTGTGCAATGGCGGCGGAAGCACCGCGCTGGAAGGTGCCCGCCGCTGGTATCAAGATTTTGTTCTCGGAGGCTCTTCGCAAGTCCGAGTATATGTTGTTATAATCGTTCACCCTATGCGAGAAATAATGAGTATTATGGATAAATGTGATTTTTTTAAGTAACTTAGAATGGCGAATACGCTGGCTGTCTATCTAATGAAAGTGGTAACCATCGTGTATATTGGTATTATGTTAAAAATATATTGTATTGGGGAATAATTAATTTCTTATTATGTATCTTTTAGACTTCGATGACTTGCGCTCAATCGATTCTTATAATTGCTATTTAACTACCCATATTTCATTTAACTAATGAGTATATTAAAGTAAGCAAAAGGTCCTATTGTATTTTTTTAGTATCTTACTAGATTGTGAAGTCATTTACTAACTATAATTTATAATGTTTCTATATGTGAGGGAACTTTAGTAGATTGCAATAAAATATGTCCCATGTAGATATACTCTATACCTACCTCAATATATCTTGAGTTGAGAATAAACATAATATAGCTTTACTAGGCATTTCTCTGCTGCAGACAATTTTTTTATTTTAATGTAATAACTACCAGTTTTTCTTACGTGCAATTAGATCGAAAAAGTTCGACTAGTTTCGGTATCAATTCGTGATCCTTAGCACGAGCAACTGTGACGCTAGCAAGAGCCTGATTGGGTACATCTTAACTTTTAATAATAAAACTTTCTTACTATAGACATTTATGTTCGTATTTATTCTAATATATAACTTACCTTGTACAATTATTGTTGAAACAATTATAAACCGCCAGAGCTTCCCGGACGGGCATGGACAATTTTCCAGGCGGGGCGTACACCCTTACGTCTCTCGTACTAACTATTACGAAAGCTTTCAGGAGTGGAGCGTATGGTAAGTCCTTTCCTCGTATGTTAAGAAGCCACGCAACCTCATCCAGTGACGTCACCACCATAGCATCAGCTCCGATAGCACGCAGCTCGTTACGAACCGTAGACACTTTATCTCGCCATGTCACTCCTAAGTGAAGATTATACAGATTTTTGGTATTTCTTAAAGAATGAAATTACAGGGTATAGAGACATAATGCCTTAGTCCTCAGGACTGGCATGAAGGGTATCATGGGCGACACAGTATATTCTGTTATGTCCATGGTACTGTTCATGTCTATAGGGACGGTTACCATGAGTTGGGCGGTCAGCTAGTTTGCCATTCTAAGTTCCATAAAAATATTAAATTTGCAAGAATGACTATGACTGTTACATTTACATAGGTTTTTATTAAGATATATGGTAGGTAGGTAAATGTTGTGTTTCAAATACAGAAAACAGAGTGCACTATGATGCCATTGATTCTCTTCATGTAGATGTGCCCGCTGTGTTTCATTGCCATTCTAGTGGACTGTGGTTATATGCTTACTCCTTCTGTATAGTACTCTGTTCTCAGTATTATAAATAAAGAAATCTTCGAGTTTCAACATAATATACTATAGCCATTTCAGCAATTCAGGCACAAATTTCGTTCTTTACGAACCTGTATAATCGGTGTTATGTAGCACAGCAACGATCTTGGAGAAGTCGGGACGTCTACGCGCGGGGTCTAGTTCCTCGTTCCACAGTTGGTCTAGCATAGTGGGCGTGTGGATCAACTGTAGACCTACTTGCTGCAGGTCTGTCGATAGTGCCTGCCACTCTTTGACGGATGTTAACCGCGCGTCCGCTCCGATGCGACCAGAACGGCCGAGACGTTCCTGGAGGAATATGCATGATAAGTGTATAGGTAATATGTATTTTTTTTGTATGATGATGGAGAATAATATAATGTAATGTAACTCTCTTTTTTCTTAAGGATATCGTAAAAGATGAGTATTAAAGCAATTAAAGTATGTACTAATAAAAAAATTAATAATTTAACTAGAATAAAATCCTATTCAAAATCTTCTTGCTAGGGTAATTTTTTTCTTATTGAAAAGATTCATGCTTCAGTACTAGGTTACTATAATAATGCCTACCTCTATTTTTTCCAGTGTTGCTTATGGTATACGCGATAAAAAGTTATGTGCTATCGGTTTACGCTAGTTATTTATCATCATCATGTTTATGGATTGAATATGGCTTATTAATTCACCCAGAGAGATTATTTATTAAATAATAACTCTATTATATACTTAGTTATGTTGTGTAGTACTTTGAATGGCTAAAAAAAGGAATAAAAGAATGCACTTAATCTAGCTCAGTATGTCTTTCTTATAAAATAAGAGTCAGACCAATCACCTATGTTCTAGCTATTTATGATATAATACTCTCGGAAATGGTCGGTTAATTAATTACAATCGTTTATTTTCACTATGAAAAGAGTTAGAGTGATTGCCTATATTCTAGCAGCTTATAATGTGCCTTTCTTACTGCGATCCATTCCGGAATGGTGGGTTGGTTCACATCGTCCCCGTCGAGCACCTCCCAGGCGCAGGAGAGCGTGGCGCGCGCCCGCCGCAGGTCCCCGCTGGACACCCACACGGCGGCGCCGCCGTCGCTCAGTACCGCTGCGGTCCCGGCGCCGTCCCACCCACTGAAGTACTCTAGCCGACGCTCCTCCGGTGATGGCTCTTCGCTCTATGATAAAAAAATAATTAAGATATGAATTTACTGGGTACGGAGGAATAACACCTGAGTCCTTAGGAATGGCAACGTATGGGGGGTATCATGGGCGAAACAGTATACTTTGTTATGTCCATGGTACTGCTCATGTTTATAGGCGACGGCTACCACTTTCCATCAGCTTGTTTGCTATATATATATATATATATATATATATATATATATATATATATATATATATATATATATATATATATATATATATATATATTAAAAATGTGAAAGTTTGAAGGATGGATGTTTGTTATTCCTTAACGCAAAATTTACTGAAGGGATTTAATTGATTTTTTGTATTTGAATATCTAGTAATATTTGTTGTATCCTAAATTAGCACACAGGAAACTTAATGTACTGATTCTCAGCTGTACTGGGATACAGCTTGTTTATAACTTATAGTGACAGAGGTAGAATATAATGTATCATCTTTAAGGAGCTTAAAAGCAGACGGTGAATCCAAAGCATAATGTACCAATCAAAAGAGAAAAAAGAAGAAATCCTGAAATGAAACTCAATACCAAATTATCTGACTGACAATAGGAGGTGAAATGGCCTCTTATCTTCGAATGACGGATCCCTATGAAATACGTATGGTATAGGTATACATACTATGTGAGCTAGAGAAGGAATAGGCCACTTTTTATGCAAGGGTAAAAACTATATGTTATATAAATGTGAATGTTTGTAAATATGTTCCAGTTAAACAACACTTAAACGGCAGAACGGATTTGAATAAAATTTGGTACATGGCTAAATTGTACTCTAACGTAACACGTGGAATACTTTATACTCGTATATTGATTAAAGCGTGCAAAGTCGCGGGAAACGGCCAGTCATATAATAATAATAATAATAATGTTTATTTATTTCTGACAACTTTTTTGAGTACAATGAACAATTTATAATAATACCATAGATACAGTAAAGTTGCAGAGAACTGGTGCCTGAACTGGGTATCCGAAGAACCCGTATCACAAGGCACCAGGACCCCTCCCTGGCATGAAACATTTTATGGTAATATATACAGTTGGAGAATATAAAAGTTGTTAGGCGTAGCAGATACAATACGAACACATGATCAGATTACGAGTCATAATACCATATACGAATATATTAGCATACCAAATGTTCATCACTGTAGAAAATAAGGAAGGCGTCAAAGAAAATGTTCATTTGTGTGTAGCTCTTGTTCCTCATAGCGCTCCGGAGCTTGCCGAGGGGGCTGGAAGTGCTGGTGGCGTCTGCGCACATCACCGGCACCACTGTTGGCATGTTTTCGCTCATCACTCTCGTGGTGAAAGCGGTCACCATCGACGGTGTAGGCAGAGTTGTCGTTGTCGTCGGTGGGGACATCTGTATGCTGTGACATGCTGTAAATAAAATTTATTTAAGTTTTAAATGCAACATTAATTATTTCTTTTTTATGATAAAACACAAGTATTATATCTGTATTATTTTTAGGGGTCATGTATTATATGTAGATATAGATACGATAAGTAACTCTGTTATTCCTAATCTATTTAAGAAAGTGTGGAAATAATTAACAATATTAAAAGCTACGATTAAAAGTAAGTACGTCACGAGAATAGATGTGACCTAATAATGGGTTAAACACCATTAATATAATTTTGCATGTAAGCATTAGGGTAATAACACTGATTTGGTTTGTACTGTCATAATGTTATAATTATTGTAATGAATAAATAAATAAGTGATAATTTTTTTTTAACGGAGAATGTGAAATAATGTTAATATGTATTTTTTAATTTATGTATGACCACAGATACAAGGATAAAATAAAAAGAAAATATAATATACTGTCAACAAGAAGTGATCAAAAAAAAATAAGAAAAGTAATAATAGGGAGAACTAATGATAAAATATAAAAATTTATTAATCTATACTTATAATAAATTTGTAGAGAGGTCAATTCTGTACATGAAATATATTTCCAAAATAACTATCAGGGGGTGATTAGTGATCGATACTGCCTGCCAAAAATGCAATTAGTAAAATTTTTGTCTGTCTGTCTGTATGTTCGTTATAGAAACAAAAACTACTCGACGGATTTTAACAAAACTTAGCACAATTATTCTTCATACTCCTGGGCAGGTTATAGTATACTTTTCATCACGCTACGATCAATAGAAGAAGAGCAGTGAAGTGAAATGTATCTGTTACATGAAAACCACTGAACCGAGAGGAAGGACATAGGCTACTTATTTTACGAAAAATGACGGAAACGCGAAGTCGCGGGCAAAAGCTAGTTAAAAATAAAAATCGTAAAATGGAAAGTTGAAATTATTGTTTTTTTTTTATACCTACCCATTTTTTTACTGTCTACATACGACGTCCCAATAATTAAAATAAAATGGATTGTAATATTTAAGCCACAAAATACAATTTATTTCCATATATAAAAGCCATACATTAATGATAATTACGAGATAGGCCCTTTTATTTGACTGTTTTTGTGTTCTAGCTGACTGACGCTACTGAGACCAGACCATTGACTTCAGTTGGTGACAAAGAAGCAGTGGTCTAAACACATTCGCCAATGAGCTTGTATTTCACTAATGTCACACAGATGACCCAAGAATTGAAAAAGTTTAGAAAATTTCCGAAATCGATGTATCGAAAATTTATAACTAAATTAAAATGATCACTGAATAAAATAAACTTTACATACATTTTCTGTAATAATAGGAAAAAATATCTTTTAATTATTAAACGGAACGTCTAAATCAAATTTGTTTTGAGACAACATTTTATATTATAATAATAGAAACTAGAAGAAATATCATACAATAGAAGTAATTCATTTGATATCCATATATCTGTTTTTATCTTTTAGATAAGAAACCATAAAAGAATATAAAATACTTCTATTATAGCTCTATCGCTTTCTATCTGTATTTATCTCTCTGTCTCTTTCATCGTACGCGAGGTAAAATAACGCTCGCATGAATGAGGGAGGGCGTTCCTTTAAAGGGCTATTTATATAAAACTTACATCAGAAGAAGAAAGCGGCTAGCGACAGCGGCGTTTGTGGCGCGGGAATGTACCAGGGTAGCACAACGTTTATAGAGCTCGAAAGAGTAGAGCTTTCAAAAGCTCACGGGTGTGAAAAGGATAACAAGGGACACAAATTGCTACCCTCCCTCTTTACTGCGCGAGATGTGGCGAGGGGCGTTTCATAATAAAAAAGAAACGGCACATTTTTTTTGTGAAAAACATTCGTGTTCGGGATAAAGCTTATGGTTAGGTATGGTTAGAGTAGAGATATCACAACAACTTTAAAAATTATATGTAGCTATTTTTTTGTCATTGAAATGACAATTTGTAGAGTCAATTGTTTTGTTTCTATATTTTCAGATGAATTTAAATTTATATAACAATAGAATGATGACGTGATATATATAAATATGGCAAAATATTAATTATACTGTAATAAAAGTCAAACTGATAATGCAAAACAAATTCCAAAAAAGGTCAATGTCCGAGAGGTACCCAAGGGATGTATGTGGGTTCTATTGGAATGACGTCAACAACTAATAGGACTTCAGAAGTTATCAGGAGCCTTGTTTAGTCCTTAATCGATTTCGCTCCAAACAATTTGTTTTGTTAACATCACACGAACCAACCCCCACGCAAATTTTGGTTACACGAAATCTGAGAAATGCGGTAATTTGTTACACCGAAATGGTCGACATGACGTAGGGTGTTATTGGGGTAACATAAACTTGGAGCGATGAAGTTAATAAATCCCAATGGAGTAAAAAAAAAAATGCATCAAGGGGAAGCACACTGTGACTATAAATAAGAAAGTTAATATATACATATATATGTGTAATATTATGTAGACATTTATACTTAAACACACATACAGTCTTATATTAGTTAATAGAATGCTTGTAACATAAATGTAAAAAAAAAGTTAACGTAAGCAAAGAAAAATATAAAATAACCCACTGACTTCAATGTTCGTTTATACTCGTACCGATAAAAGAACATTGGGGTCAGTAGGCACTTATGTTTGTCAAAACAAAAATACCTAATATGTTTCATATGTATGTTGTTGTTACAACGCATATTATAAGAAAACAAAAAATATAGCTGCTTTATGTAGCGGTAAACAATAAATTAATAAAGTGAAATAGGGCAATACATATTTTTTTTTTATCCGTCGGTATCCCTTACAGAAAATAGCACATTCCCAAAGGGACGAAATATCCTGCGAGTTACTAGGGTAGCATATAATGAAAGAGACTGATTACAACGCATTGTCCTGAGCAAGGATAATTCAAGGATAAAAGGCAAACGCACGCAGAGTGCAACGGCATCAGTCATTCACCCGGTCACCTTGCAACGAGTACGTATCATATGCACTTATAATACAGGCGTCTTGGTAGTGATAAATAATTATTTTTAAATGACTAGGCTGCGACATTGGTGCGTGGAATTTGATAAAGATACGTAGAGGACATTATATATATTAAAAAAAAAAAAAAAAAAACTAATAACAGATTTCTATTTTGAAACTTAAATATATTATTTATATAATATAAAGTTAAATAACGTTTCTATTATTAAAATTTTACAACATACCAGAGTGTTATAATATTTTTTTTTCTGATACCTTGAACCTGTTTTTTTAAAGTCACGGCTCTAGTATCCTTTATACGAGTATCAATATCTATTTTAAAACTGTTAGATTATAATAGAAAAAAATAATTATCACTTAGAAATCGTTATATGGAAAGGATCTATCAGTTTTTTTATTATCCTATAAACAAAAAAGTAATAATAATAAGTTGTCTTCTAATATTACAATAGACATACGAATATAAGTGTTCTTACCCCCACCGTAGAAAAAAAATGCAGGTAATATTAGAATTGGAGAGATCACTCGGTAGAGAAGGAAATAGATTTGTGACGTTCGTTCGAAGATTAATTTCTTTAAAATAAATATTATCATATTTTTTTTCTCTGTACTGTGTCTGTATTGAATGATTGATCCATTTTGGTTGCTTCACTCTGTATGTACCTATATGACATCTAAACCTTTGCCTTACTGTTCTGTTGAATTAATTTTTTGTATATACCATGTTAATTATTTTACTAATCCTACTGTTATTGTAATAATTATCCTACTTATTAGGTACTATTATTATAAAAGCTAAAGTTTGTAAGAATGTTTGCAACTTTTTCTATAAAAAAAAGCACACTACTCATACATATTCTGGTATTATTCTATTTTCTATTTCCTTCAATCCGATACGGCTCGCTGATTATTATTTTTGTATGAAGCAATAAGAATGAAATTTTGTATAATAATAAAGTATTGATAAAATAATTAGCGCATTGGTAGAGTTTTAAGAGAACTGACTACAATAGTCAAAAGATTTACTCCCTTGCAAAGATGTTTATCGCAGATAAATAAATACTACTTGGTTAATATTAACTTCGATGTCGTTCAAGGATCAAAATTTAAAATAATGCTTCTCAATTAATTAAATACAACTCCCTTATGACTCAATATACTATTGTTTAATTGTATGTACTTATTTTTATGGATGCAAACATACGCGTTTTATTACAGTTTTTATATCGTAAATAAAATAGAACTTTTGATAGAAACTCGATACAAACAAAACAAAGAAAATAAAAAAGTGCGTGTGCGTGAGAACAATGGTTTGCCCCCTTTTTATACCAGGAATATATGGGTCGTGTGGAGATACAGCTTTTGAGACGACTACAGTAATATTTATGTGGGGGTAACATTGTAATGGCGGCCCGCAGCGCCTGTATCTACAGCAGGGATAATTTAAACTCTGTACATTGTAGTATGGTGCGGATGACAATGAATATTTTCAGTTTTTATTTTTGAACACATTATATTTTTGAACACATTGAATTCAGTCAGATTTTTGTAGACGAAGTCATAACTGATATTTTCCAACAAATGTTTCGTTAAATCCGTAAGTTATGTTTTATTATTAGGTACTTTTATAATGATTTTGGATTTTGCTTTGTTATCACTATCACTACATAGTATAAAACAAAGTCGCTGCTATTACACAAGTAGATTTTACACATTAATAAAGCGACTCCTTGACATCGCATAGAATTAAAATATTTGAATTTAACTAAACTAATAAATACACCAAGATTATTTATTAAATAAAAAAATGTATCTAATTATGCCAATTAGGCAATTAGCATTCGAATATTATTTGAAAATTATTATTTGAGTAGTAAATTAGAAAATATTCGAATATTTTTTTATTTTATAAACCTAAATAAAATGAATGGATTCTCCTTTACAGCGTTATCAAGGGAATAGACCAAATTAGACAGAATGATGCTT